TGGCTGAAAATCCTTGATATTCTTGATATATTCTGCGTGATGTTCAGATATAGCAAAATCCAATTACTACTTGTTCCAGTTACTGGGACTTCTTCCAAGCGAGAAATACATTTGTGATTTCAATCCGAAATTGTGGTCCCAATCTATCTCGAAACTACCAATTGCGCTTCTTGGAGAAGAACATCCAAGGTATACCTAGTGAGTGGTCTAACGTTGTACACATGATCAAACTACCGTTGATCGACAACCGCTTTTAATGAGGCTAGAGATAAAACAGTTTAGCATGACCTTCATTGGAGATTTTTTTAACCCATTGACGACGACGCCTAATTTTGCGTGTCGGCCCTGTGGGACGACGCGATTTTGCACAACAATTGCGGCGCGGGAAAGTTTCGTGCTTATTTGCAAAATGTAAAATTGTTTGTGAGCAACTACAGCCATCCTCTTGGACGACGAAGTCTACAGGTTCCAAGAATGCAAAAAACTGGAAAAAATGCTGAACTCTGGAGAAAATACCAAACCTGGAAAGGATTTGATTTAGCAAGGGATGTGGACCACCGGTGATCCACATCGTCCCTGGCGGCAAAAAGTGCGTAGGCCACCGGTGGTCCACATCGTCGTCAATGGGTTAACTGTTAGTTTGGCTTAGACAGATCATTTCGGTACCCTATTTTCATTTAGAATTTCAAAATTTAAAACAAACACATGTTCTTACTCATGCAGCAATCTTGATTAACACTTATAGATTAGCTCTCCTTTCCGAGTTATAATCAGGGCTCGGCACAGGTGGCTTATAAGCAAGCTAGGTCGTTTTTAGGACAAAAAGCAAAGAGGGTTTGGTTTTTGTGGCCGAAAAGACACAAAAATTGCGAAGTTTTTTTAGTCTACGTTTCGTTTTTTGGAGATTTTTTAGTGGTTATGGTCTAAGGTCAAAGGAGACTTCGTAAAAATTTGTAAAAGTCAAGGATGGCTTCGTTTTTTGCATTTTCATCTAGCCACCTCGTGCCGAGCCCTGATTATAATTCGATTGGATAAAGACAACACATATTATATCTATGACTATCTTCTGTTGCTTTTCTTTGCATTTACAATCGAAGATACTTATACCTTGGTTTAAATTATTCTATATCAAGCGAGGGAGCAAAATTGAGTTTCATAATCTGTATCTGCAAACTCATTTAAGAAGCTGGGCATCAAGGACATGAAAATATCGTAGCAAAGGGAGCAATTCTTTCATCAGTTCGAAAAGCAGTATGTAGAAGTGATCGTGAATAACATTTCGTACTCACGGAATTTGCTCAGCGCAAGTTACTTCCTAATCTTTTTTCTGGAAAGCACAAAAACAGTAGAGAAAACAGCGGAGATAGCTTTCTACGCTAATGACGCATATTTTTGGTCTAGTCCAGACTTCATCTACTTACGAGGAAATAGTCAGAACTCAACCCAACCATTTCAAACAAGCTGTTCATCGATCTATTTTAGAACGTGATTCCAAATATATGTCTATTATCCGCCAAGCGATTGTGGGGGAGAGGTTAGAGCGTTCAAATATGAGGAATTTTTTGAGTTTCGACGAATATATTCCCTTGAAAACAACGTGATGGCGCGGATTTACAGTGGCTATGATTATTTTAATTACAAGGAGGAAGCACAACAAACACGAAATCAACAACAGCCTAAATAAGTGTTTTGAAACTCATTTCGTGGAACATGGGCCACTGAACACTTATCAGATCGCATCACATTCAAATGCTTATAACTCCTAGATAGTCGCTTGGCAGATAATAACATACATATATTTGTGACCAGCGTTTCAAGATGAATGCGATGATATACAGCATGTTTGATATGGCTGGGTTAGGCCTAAGGCATACCTCACGCGATTCCAGTCGCTGCGCGATCTGGCAGCAGTCCAATTGGTCATAACTCATCGTAAAGGGTTTCTGGATGTACGGAAGATAGGGCATTTTATCAGCATACGAAAGTTGTACGTACTATGCCTTTGGGGTCTATCAGTATCAAATTTGAAGATATCTGGCGAATTGCCAGATCGCGTGGCGACTAAAATCGCGTGAGGTATGCCTTAAGCCTTAAGCATTTCCGGTTCAGTAATGAACTATTGAAAATACTTAGAGAGTCTTGCTAACATACGTGATCTACAGGCTATTTTTTGAAGAAAAAACCACTATCTCATTGACTCATCTCTTAATAAGGAGAACAAGTAAAAAAGGACCTATGATCGGAATGGTCCATGATATGCAGAATGAAGTTGTCTGCAACTGCCTAGATTGGTTTCCATTATCATCGCTGCTCTCGTATTCTAGAGCATGTAATTTTTGCCAATTTGATACTACGTCGACGCCAGTGCCAAGCAAACGTGCTCACCGAGAAATGTCTTTAGACCGTACGTAGTACACTCAATTTTGCAAAATAGCCGCTTCAGTTGAAGATGCGAAAGTTTCACGCCAAAGCTACCATGTCCACTCCAATTGTCTAATTTGCACTACTGGATCTGTCGTGAGCAAACACATTATTCAAATATTTTGCGATCTTATTTGTAAAGATTTTACAACATCAAGAAAACGTACAGTCGAGTAGATTTCCTGCTTAATATAGTGTCCCTGCAGACGCGACAACGCTGGGACGTCAATAAAATGCCTTGCGAGTTCCCGAGCTAGTGTTTTCCAGTGTTTTCCTTGCTTATTTCATGCTTTTCAGTTGGTTCGTTGCTGATAAAGAGGAAAAGGGTAAGTTCAAGAGTAGCTTCTGTTTTCTGAGAAGTTCTATCATCGCATATTCACGGATATCCACGTGGAAGCATTTCGCGTCAGCTTCTTGTCTAATTTTTTGTCATTTCCTTTTCTTCTGTCACTTCTTCTTTAGAATCTCCTCCTTCTTGTGAGGCGTTTCTTTGAACGCTAGTTGGCTTGTCTTGCAGCAACTTCGGCTTTCATCCACAAGAAATAGCATTTTAATCAGGTACTTCATGTGATAAAGACAATAAATCAATCGTAAAAACCTACTAGCGTCCAAGGAAGTACCTCACAAGAAGAAAGAGACATGAAGTGACAAAAAAAATAGACAAAAAGCTGACGCGAGCTGCTTCTATGTGGATATCTGTGATTATGCGATGATAGAACTTCTCAGAAAACAGAAACTATTCTCTAACTTACCCTTTTCTTCCCTATCAGCGACGAATCACCTAAAAAGCATAGAATAAGCAAAGAAGACACTGGAAAACACTAGATCGGGAACTTGTCAGGCAATTATTGACGCCCCAGCGTTGTCGCGTCTGCAGGGATACTATATTAAGCAGGAAATCTACTCAACTGTAGCTGCAAGTAAAAGTTGTGCAAAGCTAAGACCAACTAATCTTAATCAACAGAGCATTTTCTATTAGAGTTTGGTTCATGAGCCTTCTGGCAGCATATTCGAAAATCGTATTTTCTAGCATCATTGAATTCGCTTGGTATGATTTAGATGAAAGAGAGAATTAAACCTTTTCCAATAGTGCTTGAAAAAATCAGCGTCGACGTATCAGATACGCTGATAAAGAGGAACACTCAAATCGTAGTTTTTCAAATTTTGGTAACTAATGCTGAAAGGCCCATCGAAACCCAATTCCTCTGATTGTGGTTTTACAGCCTACCTTATTTGACCGATTAGAATTCGTACTTATATCCAAGAATAGCTTTGATTTTTGAGTTTTGTTCAATTGAATCTCGCTTTCTTAGATAAATCTCTAGTATGCTAAGTGAGATGTAACGTGTCTAAATAGGTCTCAGAGAGAGTAGCTATAGATCGAAACTTTTTTAGTAATTTCAAGGTGAGTTTTTTTAAGCTCAGAATCTATGAGTTCGTTTTTCTAACGCATGTATTACATCACCAAATTTTTGCATATGTCAAGGTCAATTATATAGAAAGATTTCTGCTTACCTTATTTTGAAAAGCCAATGATGACTTTTGATACATTATACCAGGAAAAACCAATCCAACCAGGTCCCTAGTAAGTACTAGATCTAATTCTCTCACAATCAGATCTTCCTATAGATAGAGACTCACAGTAAGCGGCGGTAGGAGAAGATTCCTTCCCTGACGAACCGAAAGGCCCCGCCCCTCTCACGAACAGTCGCAAATTTTTCGAAATCATTCAAATTTATGAAATGTGCAAGTGACTTGTTTATACTAGTAAATGATTGCATATCAAATTAGCCTTTTAAAGCCGCCGTCCACCCAGATTTTCGACTTCAAGGGTTTGGTCGTTTCGAGGGCTTCTCATGTTTCTGTTGCGAAAACCTCGACAATCTCTACTTGGAAAACCGCAGACCTCTCCGGAAATGTGACTGGACGGGCGCGCACGGATGGGCGGACGCTACTGGAAAGGGCGGTGCCGACTTGGCGGCTATTAGCGAATTTCTCGCTTTCGGAGCGACATTTTACGTCTTGGGTATTGGCTTAGTGGGAGGTCCTACTATCGTAAGCTGCCAAGAGCTCAAGACCCCTAACTTAGTTTGGACGGTGCCATTGATGTAATCTTCTGGGTCGTGGCTACTGCCGCGCTTCATTTTACAAAAATTCTGCCTTATGGGCCACAAAATTTTGGGAAGCATCCCAAAAAGAATTCCCGTGTGCTTGGCTGAAGCCACGCACCCTTATTCGGAAAAAATTTTGGCCGCTTTCCGCGCAGGTTGCGCAGGTCCAAATTTTGTGCCAACTGATGTTTGATGCATCGTCGTTGCTGAATGTAAGGCGCAGAACTTTATCACTACGCCTTTTGGATAGCGGAGAGGGAGAAAGGAGGGGAGAGGGGCAAAAATGCACATCATAGCTTCTCGAAGATTTCAAAAAGGATATTTCTTAGTTATGTTTCAGCTGACGCTGTATGTACAAAAAGTGGAGAAAAAGACAATTCAGGAGTCGAATAAAAACAAGAGATTGGATAACTTAGACATATCAAAAATTATTTGAATTCTTGGGCTGTATCATGCATCTTGTATCATAGGCATGCATTCTTTTTGAAGCTCAACAATAATGAGATTTTTATTGACTGTGACAATATCATAAATTAAGAAAGTGCAAATATTACCGGTATATCATATTCATAATGGCGAGTAACAAACAAACACAGAGGTATTTATGCTTCCATGCTCACATCCCCATCATCAAATACGTGAGTGCCACCAGGCTGATCACCCGCTAGTAGGACCTGTTCTGCTTCAGGCAGAGGTTTAAGAGTAGTATCTTCGTCTTTATGCTCTTGCTCTTCTTTCGCCTTCTTCATAAGTTCGGCCACCTAAGTTAACCGATGAATTCAATATGAGGAAAGAAGTTCATTGTTTGAATACAATTATTCTAAATATTTTAAAGACTAGAAAAACAATAGTATTTGATGCGCACCTTAGCCACGTTTTCAGCGTAGTTTATACGTCCTTTCTTTCGAGCCTTTAACATTTTCCTCGCTTCAGCTTTGGTTTCTCCAAAAAGCCGCTTCTAAAATGAAACAATAATACTAGGACCAAGGGTAACAAAGAGCATTAAACAGTTTTTCGAGAAAACTCCAACTGAATAATAAAACTGTGTTTGACTTTATTATGACTGGTCTAACCCTTTCACATATCGTGGTGAGAATTTCGGGAGCTAGCTGGAAACTGTATATGTAAATATTCGGAGCAGAATGAGCAAGAATACCAAAAAGGTAATAAATTCACCAATCACTATTTTTAGTAAGAAAAAACAGGCTGACCTTGACGTCTTCAGAGATTTCCGAGTCCAGCTTGAACAATGTAATGAAGACTCCACCGGGAGTACGCCTTCTCTGTCCATTTTCAATCTAAAACAGTACTAATCTACCGACGGATTGTCAATATGAAAAATAATACCATCATTCCACCGTGAGATTCTACATTGCGAGTTTCCTCAAAAAGTGCAAGTGCCTAAAAACACAGCGATGGTCACGTTAGCGATACAGGGTTCGTCTTACTTTCTCCATTCCGCAAGCCTGTACAATACTTTTAACAGTTCTTGGATCACGCTCGCCCATAGCTCTTGCCATCTCATCTCCAAGCTCTTCTATCGAGATGTCAGAAGCGAACTCAGTTGCCATGAGCGTTTCCAGCGAATAGGAGTCCAGAAGAAGACCAGCTGCACTTTCTACCTAAGAGCCAACAAGTACTTCAAAGCAAGTATAAAATGTTCAATTTTCTACCGGTTTGCCAGTCCATGACCGCTTCAGATTATTGACAGACGCTCCACCCCTGCCCCTCAAATTACCTCGATGTCCACCACGAAACAGACCACGAGGACCGCCACCTCTACCACGAAACCCTGTAACATTTTGTAACATTTTGTGCTGCAGTTCAAAAAAGTGCATAATCTTAGAACACCTATTTCGGGCTGATTTTACCATACCACCCCACATAATGTAAAAATAGTTGGGTACAGGTATCATTCTGGATAGTTCTCAGGTGTTGGCACCAGTTGCGATATGATGAGTTCTACTAGTAGTGCTCCGCGGCAACGACAACACATGCGGGGAAGAAGTTGCCTTCTAATGACGAAGACAATTTGCAAAACACAGCACACGTTTTCGAGTTTTCTATGGCCATTGCGCGCTGTCAACATCATACAGATGTAAATGGTCGCATCTCACCTCCTCGGTGACCGAAACCATTCCGAGACCGCGGCACAGATTTATCGTCCAATCGCTCGCAAAATGCAGTCTCCGGCAGATCAACGGGAGCATCCCCAAACGGATCATCTGCTGCAGCTGGTACTGACTCAGGCTCCGCAGACTGAAAGAAATGCAGATGTACCGAACAAATGTTGATCGAAAACAAGCAAAGGGAAAAAAGTTATTGAGTTTCTACTCTTTACCGTATCAAAATCCTCCTTTTCCACTCTCGTAAAAGTAGAGGGTACTTGATAGGATTCAACGCCACGAGGCACACATAAATCCTTCTAAAAATACACATAAATCCTTCTGAAAATATTTTCAGACTTGCATTTGACAAAGAGTCATACACTTACATTTTTCTCCAAAGCAATTCGAGATCCTCTTTGCAACAGGCCTTGCTCTAAAAGTGAATCAGCCCAGATATTAGCAGCTTTTTTCTTTTCAGACGGTTCGCCATCCTAAAAGTAAAAGCGTCCTGCTATCGCAACTGGAAGAGTATGACCAAAAATTATACTTTTAAAGCATCAAAAGTTCCAACACTTTCGCAACTACGACTACATGTTTTGCAATATACTAGAGATAGTTTTAACATATGCTTGAGAACCGATGTTCTCCAGACCATACGGAAAACCCATTCTACGACCATGTTCAAGACATTCCAACATTCCAGCTTCGAACAAATGTGAAAACTCAATCAAATGAGCAAGAACATTCCCCCAAGAAAAGAGCTTAACCAGCTAGAAAGTGGAAAAAATCATGTCATTCCCACTATTCACTCATAACGCGATGCATGAGTAACTTTGATCACATTACTGCAGCAACGTAAAAGTTGTGAAAAAAGTCTACGAAACCGTCCAGAAACTGTATGCCGCAAGAAACTAAAAAGTTCGCTCGATACGACTTCGACAATCAATCTCACCTCTTTGTCCGGCAGATCAGGTTTCAATGGTAAATCATCCTCATCCTCTTTGTCAGAGGTATCCGAATCTGAATTCTTGCCTTTTGAAAAACGGTCGGCGTAAGGGTTTAAAACTCACCTTGTTTGTTAGTTCTATAAGCCATTCTTAGAGATCTGCAAATGATGTAATTGGGCTACTGGAGATTTTCAATTACCACCCCAGAAAAAATTTGGAATTGAACCAACCGAGTCTTCAAATCTCTACAAAGCATGCAGTTTTTATCAAGACACAAGGCTATGTCCACATTCGTGAATATTCTGTACAAGTACACGAGCAAATCATTAAAACGCCTGTGATACACAAATTCAATATTCGCAAGAATCGTATGTGAGGAAGACGTTCGTTGATGTACATTTAGAAGCAGACACATGACAATTAATAAGTATAGAATCAAAATGGAGAAGCTAAAACAATACACTATAATGGTGGAAGAGTGCCACATTCCGTCCAATACCAGCGCAAAAGTATTCTCTGAAGTTACCCTTTATTGTGAGTGTTACCCCATCCTCTACGGTGATCGTCCTTATACTCGTCCCATCTCATCATCCTGGCTCTGGACTCGTCATCGTCTTCCTCAGCATGTTCTTTCTCGCAGGTATCCCCAGCCTGACTGAAATATAGATGGCTCGAAACACAGCTGCAAATATTCGACAGTGTAACGGCAAAATAAAACGCATTTGAGCCATTGGATATTCTGTAATTATACGCAGCAAAGAAATGAATTGTATTTAGAAGGCAGCCTTGCAGAAAGCTAGGATGGAAAACTTATGGTGGTAGCGTCATATATGCGTAGATAATGCGATGCATCCGCAGCGGTCAGCCAACAAGAAGAACGAACTCAAAGTACTTTAGCATTTTGAAGAGGTTTATTATTTTATGCAAATTCGTAAAGCACAGAATTGAGACCACAAACCAATGATGAACAAAGAGATCGCGCTATTTGCCAGCCTCCTAATCAACAGCATATCACCAAAACAACTCACCCTTCGGAGCATCCAGGTTGCTGACTGTTCAGCGTCGATGGTGCTTTATTACCAAATTTCTGATTATACCATTCATCTACCGTCATCGAAGGAATAGATGGATAACCAAGCCCGAACACCTCTTTTTGTTTCTCGGTGCGTGTGATGATGAATGGTTTCAAACCTGTAGGAAGCACAAATTACCAAACACAACTTCGATGCTACGTACCTGGCTCAGCTTTATCGTGTTTCGGTGCCATGGTCACAGGCTGTTCTGGTCTATCATTCAGATCACGTTGCCGTTTCGCCATCATGTCTACCAACGGTAGTTCTTCTACAATGGTTTTTATAGATTTGGTTTTTACAAACTTGAATAAGAAAGCACATTCTTACAAAAGATTATGCGGGGCTCAAAGGTCTAAATCGGAAAAGAGAGATTTATATTTCATAATGCTATGGCGTTCCCAAACTAACGCTGTGATTGCTTGAGGAAGGGCTATCTTGATCCCGCACTTTCGTGAAAGGCAACAACTATACACCAAACATTCCTGTGCTCAATTGTGACCAAGAAAATGCGGATTTAAAAAAGCTACCTTCGATAGAATGAAGCTCCTCCACCACTTTTTCAATCCAGAACTTCAAGACTGTCAAATGAAGTTCCCGCTGGAAAATAAAAAAATAACCAATAATTGTCAACAAATCCAGATTTACCAAAGATGATTCGTCGTCTTTATTCATTTGCTGCTGCCTTCTCAACTCCTCCATAATCTGCTTCAATTGCTTCTGCCTTCGAAAACGTGCAATTTTTTGTTCCCTGATGTCCTCCCCAGTAAACTTCTTCACTGATGGCTGCGGCGCCTCTGATAAGTCATCTAAAAATCAACATCTACATGGCTAACTCTACTCCCTCTTTTCTAGCATAAGAGACTTTCAAAACAACTGAAGACAAAAACTTACCGTCAATTAAGACAGCTGTGCTACCTTCAAATTCAAAACCGTAATTCCTCAGACGGCGAAGAAAATCTTTGTAATATGCCTGGAAACAGTCCTTATTAGAAACTAATTCATGGCTTAGCGTAACAGAAATATAATTGGAATCGAGCTTTCCATTCAAATAAGGAGAGACTAAATCAAAAAAATGAAAATCATTTCTCAATAAAACTTCTCCAATCAATGAACAAACCTTTGCCAATTCTAGCTGGTCACGTCGTTGCACGGCATCACCTGTTGACTTGTTGTGTCGGGCAGTACCAAGGTAGCATGGTAGGAGAAGGTAAGGTAGCGAAGCTGTCGGTATATCTTCAACCTAAGCCCGTACAAAAGTAGCATATGAAACGAGAGACAACGAGTTGACTTTGGTAAATAGAGACATGGAGATTGTTCACCTGTTCGTTAGTAGAAAACAAGCTCAAAGAGGATACAGCCCGAGTGATATTCTCCAGCACCTTGATGGCTTCTTCGATGCGGTCCTATAACAAACCTTTATTTGCTTTTCACTCGTTTTTTGAAACTTTTCGAACAGAAAATGGATACATATCGCAATTCAATGATTGACAAACGAGTACTGTTATCAATTCCTGATCAAAAAGTCCCAATCCGAAATTGCTGAGATTTTGATGAAGAACAGTACTCTAAATGAGTGATTGCCCAAGACAAAGCGAGAGAATCGGTTCAGGGCATAAATGCTGCTGGGACAACCACGCCCATCAACGTGGGTGGTCTAGAGGTGTCGTGCCCAGAACTAGATTTCACAGTTTCTAGAAATGTCAGACATGTGTTCTCCACAATGAAAAGCAGATTTCCGACATTCCCAGGTACAGGGGCTTTCAATCTGAGTGTCACGGTCGACGAGGTTGGGTGGTGGAACGAAAGCCGCCAGGTCCAGCCGCCTTTCGCGGCCAGCTGGTCCTTCCGCAGCGTTGTTGCATGTCGTTCCAGGACCAGCAGTCCGCGGAGGCGGCTGGACCTGGCGGCTTTCGTTCCCCCACCCACGAGGTTTAGGTCCTCAAGAGTCGCCTCGCTTGGGTCTTACGTAGTATAGGCCGTCCGCGCAGGGCGCGGAGAGGGACCGTAGATTCGCCCGCAGGAACGATTACTTTTGGATTGGAGCAGGAATTGTGTTTAGAGCGCTCAATCGTCTCTCGTTCTGCTACGTGCAGTTATGAATTTGACGGAACTCCTTTTTCCAGTACCAGTTTAGTCTATGTTAGCTCTTTACACTGTGTTCTTGTGTGACCAAGAGGTTTAGGTTCATCTTGTAGGTCTGAAGTTCTAGAGTTCTCAAGTGAGTTATTGTAATCTTTATTGTCAAGTTTACTAGAGGTGGAAAGAGCAACTGGCTAGAGGTCACTGTCAAAAGTAGTCTACAGCAAACTCAGCCCCGGTCAACATTTTGACCCAGTTGCATCTTGATGGTCCCGTCTCATTCGGTTTTCATATAACAAGGCGGTGACGGGGTTGCATCGAGGTTTTTGCGCTCGGATGTCCTACACAAACAAAGCCATCGAAATGTTTGCCACTTTACTTACGGCTGACACTTATTCTGCAGACGCTCTTGCCGCGTCTGTCATTTTAGCGGACTTCTTCAAATGTCATGCTTGGCAACAGAAATCTATCCGAGAATATTTAAATTGGCAACAAATTTGTGCAAGTTGTGTGCATTATCAACTCTCTGCCAGATAAACGTGGAACAAAGATTGATTTCATGAGGGCATCGCAATTCAATGCTAAACACTAAAGCATGAGGAATAAAAAATACATCGCAGTGCTTTATTGCTCCGAAAAGGAGGACATTTCACAGTCAAGCTCTGCCATGATTTCTTTGTAGTATTTCAGATTTACTTGAATCATTCAGACCTGTTGTAGAATCAACTTTTCTCCTTCTGGTGTAAGGCACATTTGATACAACAAACTTGCATTATGGCCCCAATCCTCATATTTCAAGTCACCCAATAATTTACAATGCAGATTTTCAGATTTGAGAAGAGCACTGATTCAGGAAACAATTTTGTGCCAAGTACCAAAAATTAGGTATGAATGAGTCTATTGACGTTTTATCATGTTCTTTTAAATCTGAAACACTGCAAGGGCTGACATGAAAACTGAAGTCATGGTTCAAGTTTGTTGAAGGTGACATTTGCAATTCTTATTGCAAACGGTTTGGTTAATGGTGCGTACATTTTCGACAAACTAAGTCGTAAAACCTAAACATCTGCATTTCAAATTCTTTTGCAAAATTATATTCTTGGCGAGCTTTGAAAAATGAAGTTCAGTGGTCTTTTCCCCGCTTACATTTCTGTGACCGAACCGTAGTAAAAACTCGCCGAGATTACCATAAGTCTGACTTTTTCTCAAGTATATTTGTATGTATATTTGTATAAGGCAATTTCGCCTGGATGATGCAAAAAGTAAAAATTTTTCAATGAAAAGGAGAAAGCTCTGTGCATCTGATACTTGAATTAGCCTTTCAGGTCCAAGCAGCATGATGTATGGTGATAAAAATCTGCAGCGCATCCCAAATACTGTGCACACTGTATGATCGTTAATAACTCTCTTGCCTTCATGTCTTCTTGAAGAGGGCTGTACAAATTTTACGGAGCTGAAAGACTTTGACAAAAGCACAAAAGAACAAATCTTGCCAGCTCTCGAGAAGTCACAGCAAGAAGACGACGATCAACCGCTGATCAGAGCGCAACATTCACAATCAGAGACAAACTACGATGTTAAGAAGCTGGTACAATCGTAGTTTCTTAGTGCCACCTTTTTTGCAAGAATTTCGCTTATAGGTAGACTCCCCAATAGTCAAGGCATTCAATGAAGTTGAAAGGAGACGGTTGTCCAGATCGAAAAAGTGATATCTACTAAAGAAAAAAGGAAAAAGCAAATCAAACTTTTATGTGCAAATTCAAACCGCATTAGTAAGGAATTTTGTACCTGATGCTGATAGTAATGGAGACCTAGAGCTTGAGTAACTCATCTTATGCTGTAACTCTGCGCGGTTTCCCAAAATCAGTTTCCGCTGGCGATACCCATTTGTCCAGATTTGCCTGGACGCCGGAAGAAAGTGTCGGCAAGCTTGATACGGAGATTAGAGTTGCAGTAGTAGAGTTGCAAGACGCAACATTGAGTTATTTGGTAAGCGCATCTTCAAAATCAGCGTTGGAAGGATAAGGTGCTCTACGGAGGATTGTGCTCCAATCCAAAAGTAATCGTTCCTGCGGGCGAATCTACGGTCCCTCGGGCGCGGAGAGTGCGCAAGGTGTGTATTGCGCGTTACTCCTCTTTCCTCGTGCACTCTCGCCGCCTGTTTTTCTCTGCGCTTCTTCCAGTCGTGAACTGCCTTCAATGTACGCAACAGCGTTGCTCTCCGTGCGCAGGGCGGACGGCCTATACAATACCGCACCCGATAGCGCGAAGGTAGCGGTGAGGCATTGCACCACGCGAGACCCAAGAAGGCTTGCCAGGACAAGAACCACGTCGACCGTGACACTCAGAATGAAAACCCCTGTACCCCTGGTTTTGGGGTTATAAGGCGCTCGCATGAGATAAAGCAGGCGGAACACTGCAGACAACTGATTATCGATAGAACTCCATTCTAAGGCACTGTTTTTTTTTTTTGAACTTTCTCGCTATCAAAGACCGCTGGGCGTAGTCTGCAGTGCTCCGCCTACTCTAGAGCAAGCGAGCAAACGATATTATATAACTCTAAGCTCGCTGCCGAATATGGCAGCATCCATCTTGCAATTTTCTAGTATCGGAGTAGGCTTCTCGCGGAGAGACTACGGCGATTACTTGGTTCAAAATTCGCTAGCCTACCGCATTGAAAACTCTCCAATCTTCAATTTAGGTAAGTGGATTTGTGGACCTCCAAAGACTCGAAGTTATGGAATGAAAGCTGGTCCTCCCATCAAAACATTTATGGAGTTCGCAAAGGCTTCCAATGCGACAATATTGATGAGACAAGCTAACAGACGCATAAATTCTTGGTTTTCAAAAATTGGCACGGCAAACAAAAATTTGCATATGAAAAGATCCTATAAGATATCTCAAAAGAGGTGATTACCTGCAGATCATTGGTCGAAAACTGGCCACTTTCTATGTCGTTGATCACCTTTTCAGCTTTGCTAAAATCTTTGGCTAACGACTGCACATCATCGGTATACTCAGAGGCTTTTTCTTCTGCCATCTGTAACTCATGTCTTCAATAAAAGCACCAGATTGAAAAAAAATTAGACGACATCCTAAGGTATTAACGCTAGCGAGACATCTTGCAGGCAACAATGAGCATGTGTTTGTTTTCGAAGCTGTGGCGATCTTTGATGTTGTCGTAAAGCAGGTGACGTCGCGATTGCAGATTTGATGTTTTATAAATCGTTGCGTTTTTCTCTTTCACTTAGAAAGGGCTTCATCGTTCTCTTTTGATCCAGAAGAATGCCAGATTATACTTAATCTCAAAAGCCTTTTTACTCTATCGTTTTCCGCCAGCAAATCGAATAAAGATTCAGTTGGCAGATATGTAATTTATCAAGGAGGATTGCTTGTATCTATTAGAATTCTCTGGCACACAATTTGCAGAGTTTGCAATTGCAGGCATTCCTAACCCTGCCAGAAGCTAAATGGGAGGTGGAGCCGTTGCATTCGCAATCTTCGACCGTGATGTAAGTGCTTAGATCACTTTATTTCAATAATAATCGTGTTTCTCCTTGTTATAATGATTTATGAAGCATCATGTTACTCTGCCTCAATAAATTTTGGTTTTCTTGCATCTCAAAACTGTAGGTTCTTTCGCTTGTAACATGCAGAGATAGGGCGCCAGTGCGGACTTTGTCGGCGCCTCTCAGATCGAACGTACTCTTATATTCCTTCAACCGTCTGCTATCTCTCCCAAACATAAATCATTTTGTTGGGACGCAACGGCGTGTCTGGGTGCGATGACTTGCCTAAACGTACGTTTATATCTGCATGATTTCTGCAGTTCTGTCAGCCTATTTCTTTTGGCGAACTTATAGTGCATATTTAAATAAATAAATAAATGGTATGGTTTGTATAGAAGAGTATCCGTGATTTTTAAATTTTCGTTAGCCTGCATCATTCGAAGGCATTGGTTCGGCAACTTTCGACAAAATTTTTTCGCTTACCTGGTGTTACGCTGATCCTCAAAAATCCACCTTGAAGCGCGCAGAAATGGAGAAAACGAGCGTTCCGTAAGGTACCTCTTGAACTGAGAGAAATTGAACAGTTCTTGCCAAGAGAGGTGCAGAATCGTTGCGCGACCATTGGTTTATATCATTGCCGTCAAGGCTGCATTCATAGTGACCCCGAAGTTCGGGAAGAGTTCCAGCACAGTGCGCGAACTGAACCCCATTCGCTATTGAGCAGGTGACTGAATTGGCCAATAAGGCATGGATGACCTGGCGTACCGCTTAATCGGAAAGTATGGCGTTTACCGTGCACTTGGTTAGGTAGATGCCCCTTACCCTGCTTAACAGGTTCATTCGGTTCACCTCCTCTGCTATTGGTCAGTGCATTTATTTGACCTATAGCGAATGAGTGAACCGAACGAACCGGTTAAAAAGGATAAGTCTGGCACCTGCCCCAGGGTTGATCAACTGCCAGCAGCGTCTTACATTGGAGTTTTGCTATTTTGCTAGTATCGGTTTCAGCTTCAAAGCCTTGATTTTGTCTTGTATTGTTTTTTTTGCAGAACGTGAGGTTACTGAACATTGTCAACGATGTTTACCAGAAGTATGCTTATGACTTGGAGCTGTTCATACATTGCTCATTGGATATTATTGACGAGAAGTCCTCAAAAGCAAACGAGATGTTTTTAGGACATTTGTACAGCAATCAGAAGTACAAGGTCAGTTGTCTTGATTTTATTCTGTATTTCTTTATCATTCGAAATAGTAAATGGTATGATGACAAAATTTATATGGATTGAAAACTCTTCTCTGGTTGGGTTACGACATACCACGGCTCTCAGTCGTTTGCTGATAGCAGTTCAAGTGATGGTCGAAGAATTTTTTTAAGTGGGAGGGGACCGAATTTCTTTGATGAAGTTTCTTGCTTTTCAGACAATTGAGAGCTTTCAAGATCTTTTTACATTTTTTACCAAGGAATCGTGGAATCAGCGCCTTCTTGCCCTCTCCCTTCTCAAAAAGAAAAAGTTCTGATTTACAAAAGTGCTTGAATTCACCTTTATTTCAGTCTTATGGTTTTATCACAAACACGGGTGTTCGCATGATTTTGGTGCTCGAGGCAAACAATATCGAGCTCAAAGATTTGGACGTGCGAGGTATCTTCAAACGCTTCCATACTTTATACTGCAATGCCATCTCGAATCCGTTTCACACGTTCGGAGCCGAAATTCAATCAAAGTTAGTTTCCTTAGATTTTTACCGTCTCTTCCGTTATTTTGCATTCATTCAGGTCGATCTCGAGAGCGGCTGCGCAAATATTGTGCAGTAATTCTGAGTTATAGTTTTTTTTTTCAATCATGGATTACGATTTTTTGTACATATCTTCAATAAAGAAGATTTGCTTGTTTGTATGTTTCATGAAGAAGAGCGTTTATCAGTACTACATCATGCAGTTTGAGATTATAAGAGCCCTTTCTCTCCTCGGTTTTTAGATGAGCGAAGAATTTAGTGGCGTAGTGCGTTTGACAAATATTAGTGACTTCATCGCTCCAAATCCGGTATGTTTTGGATAAACGTCTATTATACTCAAACGCTCAATTTTTGACAAGTTGGAATTTTGCTGAGACAAATTTCTCCTTTTTTGTCCACATAAGCAATGAGTAATAACATAAACAGTGTTGTGAGTTTCAGAACTGCATCATACCTCTGGAGACGAGAACCGTGGAAGAGCCATTAGTAGCTGTTCGGAAAAAACAGCGGGATGAGGACAGACCTAAAAAGGCAGCGACAAGTGTTTCCATATCTAACAATCAAATACGCGAGTCTTCTAGGGCGCCATTAAAATTTCGCTCAATGATTGCCTCGCTTGCAGTGGGTGCATAACCAGCGCAGAGACTGTTCTGGTTGAAGAGCAGTCACTGATGAGGTACTTTTTATAGGCCGTCCGCGCAGGGCGCGGAGAGTGCGCAAGGTGTGTATTGCGCGTCGCTCCTCTTTCCTCGTGCACTCTCGCCGCCTGTTTTTCTCTGCGCTTCTTCCAGTCGTGAACTGCCTTCAATCTACGCAACAGCGTTGCTCTCCGTGCGCAGCGCGGACGGCCTATATCATTTTGATGTTGAATCTCACTCTGCATAGAATTATGGTCAGCGGTTGTAAATCTAGAGAAAATGGAGAAACATTTATCAAGGTGCAGAAGACTCGGATAAGCATAGTGCTTTTGGGAAGCATTACAGTATACTCAAGAACTTCTCAAATATTTGCCTCCATAACACTGAAAACTCTGCGTAATAAGTTTTGCAAACTTGGAAGATCAGTAACTTGTAGGTATCCAGTTATACGGTTTAGACAAATTCATTGTTCCAAGAAGGGCAAAAACCTTTTGAACGATTTTGATATCTGCTTCGACCACGGTGGTGGCAAATGGAAAAAGGCTGTGCTGTGGAATGCAATAACTTCGTTCTAGCTTCTTCTTGCTTTCAGGTTTCATTAAAATTACCCAATGTGCCAATCTTTGTCTTTGTAGACTACTTGATGGATTTTCTGAGAAGAAGCTCTGTGTTGTTACTGTATCGCCTCAATCTGTATGTTCCATAGCAGTCAAAAGGAATCTCACATTGTCCGAAACGGCTAAACTGATCTCATCTTTCTTCTTTTCAAAAGGTCTGTTTTGGTACGTGAGATCCATAAGGTCTTTGTTCTTGAAGCCTATAATCACAATCATTCTAGGTGCACATTATGTCATCGACTCTTCTTTCGGTCGGTGGTTTGCTTTAGAGGAAGCTTATAAGGAGTACAGTTCCGTTGCATCGAGGCCCATACTGGTATCGGCCTGTCCGGGCATCGTTTGTTATGCGGAAAAGAGCAATGACGGACTGCTACTCCCGTTCCTGAGCAAGGTTAGGTGAGTAACACTTTTAGGTCGATCGCTATTACTTATGCTTGTTGCAATATTACTCCATTACAGATCTCCACAGGCTGTCTGTGGTGCTCTGGTGAAAGATTACCTATCTCGCAAACTTGGAATCCCTATGTCATCCATATATCACGCTTCAGTGATGATGTGCTTTGATAAGAAGCTGGAGGCGTCAAGGCCAGACTTCCATGTACCTGACACTGAAATCCGTGAAACAGACTGCGTTATAAGCACAGGTAACAGCCTTTGCCTGTAAGAGTTGAAGGCAGTGGACAGGCAGAATGTTCCCTTCTCGAATTCTGGTGGAATTAGGAATAGACCCCCAAGTACCCTGTAGCCCAAACCCCACCTGCCAATTCATGCGCTAAGTTCTGAAACTGCGCTTCGAAACTCTACCAGCCCCGCCCATATTAAGTGGGCGGGGCTGGTGGAGTTTTGAAGCGTATTTTCCAGGACTTAGCACATGAATTGGCAGGTGAGGGTTGGGCTAAGCGCATGAATTGGCAGGTGAGGGTTGGGCTACATTGTACTTGGGGGAGGGGGGTCTACTTCCTAGATTCACTGAAATCCGAGAAGGGTCCTCTGCCTGTCCACTGGTAACTAAGCAAATGGTAAAAAACATTTAGCGACAGCGCTTCTTTCTCGAAATCTTATCTCCTCTCACGGTTTTTTCGAAGCTTTTATAAAAAGTGATACCTGCTCCCTTTCTATCATAATTGGGTTTCGGCTGTATTAAAGTGATTTATGTTAGAGATCACTGCACAACGCCCTTGCTGCGAATGCGTAGTTGGTATGGAAGAGGGAGCATGTGGTTGACACAAACTGTAGATAATAAATCAATACTTGTTCCCTTTGACTGTTCCAATCTTCTACACAGCTTCCTTAGCCCGTAGATGACACAGTTTTGCTTTTGGAGATGCCATAACTACTGAGCCGCATCGGACACGGAGGAACTTTTGATCCCAAGACTAACATTTCAGTCAAGCTGAAATGAGTGTCTTTCCCCTCCCCCGCCCCCGTGGATTATCAATAAATTCGCACTTTCTTGCCATAGTTGCCTGCTGCTTTTTTTTTCATTCGCTTTCGGACTATGGCGCAGTATTTTTCGAGCTAAGCCATTTTTGAAAATAATGGTTCTTTATTTGAAGTTGAGATCGACTCGCTTCTGGATGAAGTTGATACGCTCGTTGAGTCGGAAGATCCAGGATGGCTTGGCGACTTCAGCAGAGGTTTTGCAAACTTAAAGTTTGCCTTCATCAAATCTACTTCAATCTAGGAATTCTATATGGTAATGAAGGTGGAACTGCCGGTGGATTTGTAGATGTTCTTGTCAAGAAGTTTGTAGAAGAAAATGGTGGGGAAGTCTCGGAGAAGCGGATGTAAGTCTTGCTACAAATCTTTGCAAACAATTCCACCTTTTATAGAGCGAGGAATGTGGATAACATTACAGTCACTCGCGATGATGAAGTTCTTTTACGAGCAGCGAGAATCTATGGGTTCAGGAATATCCAGAATCTGGTGCGCAAAATGAAAAATAACAAAATAGCATACGACTACGTTGAAGTTATGGCTTGTCCTAGCGGTATGATTTTTTTTCCTATGAATCGGTAGTGATGTGTTGTCCTTTAAGCATGCGGCAACGGTGGTGCACAAATACGAGGCGAGACTGCAGAGGACAGAGAGCGGATACTCAATGCAGTGGAAGAAACGTTTGCAAAAATCAGGAATGATGCTTCTTCAGAAGCGCGGTTAGTTCAACAAAAACGATTTCGATCACGGCGTTAATTGGTATACTTTAGGAAGGTAGCAGAATCATGGTCTCAGTTGAATCCGGAGTGGAGGAATTTGTTATATACAGATTACCATAAAGTTGATACTAATATTGCACAGAAATTGCAGTGGTGATTGTGATAATTTGTAAGTATTGAATAAATCAAGAATTCTATCAAACAAACCTGGCATGCTTACAGAGTGGCAAAATTGCGGCAGAGAGACATGTCCCAAAAAGAAGCCACTAAATTCGTAGTAGTTTTAGAACTCCATAAGACAGCACCTGACAGTCGGTCACATAAATTATTATAAGGAGATATAAGCATCGTTTGTTTATTGCAATATATTTTGCAAGGGAACAGGAGTCAGTCATGTGTCCAGAAATTTATTTCCGTTTTATTCGGTAATAGTTATTCAAAAAACAAAAAATATCTTACCAAAAGTACATAGTTCATACTAAAATTGAAAATAACGAGTATAACTCGCAACAAACAACAAAACCACAGTTGAACGATGAAGAAGCTCATGGAGCATAGTGTTTTGCAAGAGGTGCATAGAGATCATTGTCAATACCTTTCTCGAACAGGACTGAACCTTCTTCTATCCCTATCAAAGTCATCCCCATTGCGCCTCATACCAAATGATCCGTACCTATTTTTGCAAATTCATTGTAAGCTCACAATCCAAATTGACAAAAACGAACCTTCTCACTGGTCCTGGTCCAACCCCAGGCATAGTAATTGCCACATCAATGAAGTCTCCAATCTCAAACTTGCACATGGAGAGCTAAATCGGGATTGAAGTCAAACAACAGTGATTACATGTATTCTGACAATAAGATGTGGTGTCTTGATATCAGCTCTCTATGCATGAGTACACAAAGTTACGAATGAGAGAAGGGACGACGACGAACTTCAGCAAGTCACTTTGGAAATGCCTTTTGAGTAATGCAAGCTATTACGAAGGATACTCAATTGCTACGAAAATATCTGGTTTATCTGAGCAAATCAAAAGCGTTAGCGTGCGCGAACGGCACTGTAAACTCTACCAAATCGACCTAATGTCAAAGTCCCATTTATTATACCATTTTCTATCAAAATTCAATTATGATCAAAGACGCACAGGCACTCGAATCGATATCAAGCTTGCGCATGCAAATGGGCGCTATTTCAGTTTCCTGGTCCCAAATTTTTTTGAAATGGATTCTGCTAAAACTTGGCCCGGGGGGGGGGGGGGTATTCGGCCCGCTGATGCTGAACATCACATTGATTTTGTATCGCAGCGTCTTTTCCCGGGTTACAATGGGTATACGGTATGGGGTCAAAATCTCAAAATTCGCTGTAACTTCGCACAGGGGGATTATTCAACATACCGATTAGAAAAATCACACTTTTCTCAGCACGAAACTCCCCCATGGTTACGGTAGGTTTAGGTTAGGGGTCAAAATCACAAATCGACAAATGTATCCTTCTCCTGTGCTTTGCTTAAGCAAAAGCTGCAGGCAGGTGTGTCGCGCGCGGCAGCTGTCGTGTGTGCAAAGCTTCACGATCGTCCGAGTCGCTCACCCGTTTCAGGCACAACTATGTTTTTTACCTTTTTTACCCGTTATGTACCTACCGTCCCGAGAAAATGACGCTACGGTACAAAACCAATGTGATATTTGGCATCAGTGAGCCGAATAACCCCCTGGGTCAAGTAAATCCATGATTTTGACTCTTACCGCATACCCACCGTAATCCGATAAAATGACGCTACGGTACAAAACCAAGATATTCGACATCGACATCAATGAATAACCCCTCTGGGCCAAGCTTCAGCAAAATCATGCGAAAAAAACTTGGGGGCCGGATACTGAAATAGCACCAACAAATGGTATCAAATTTTCGGGACAATTTCGCTAATACTGAAGCGAATAGAAAAACGTCTAACCGATTTTCCGTCATCGACGCCCCTCTGGCCATTCATAGTATTTCCGATGTCGCGGATGGTGTAACGGTTATTCATACGATCAGGGGCTACTGCAAAATTCAAGCTTATAGCAATCTCTAAACGTCTTTGGACAAGAAGAGGAAAGAAACATGCAATTTGAGTATCTAACCTATAGCGAAGTCGAAGGTAGTGCCGCGACGACGCGCATCAGGGTTAACCTCCTTGATGAGCGAAGTAAGTTCACGGAGGGTGCAATCCATCCTACAATCAGATTACAGAGTAGCATACAGGGACCGAAGAAGTGGGTAAATTTACCAAGTATACATCTGAAGTTCATTTGCAGGAACTCCACCCCTCATATAGTCAGAGATCGGATTATGTCTCCCGTTGGCACAGAAGACTCGTAAAAGTAGTGGGCAAGTCTAAAACGGCCTTTGAAAAGAGGAATTAACAGTAAGTATACTGTTTCTTCTCACCTTCTCTCTATCGACAGGCTTTTCTAGGTTGACAGCAACTTGAGAAACTACTGTAGCCATTATAAGAAGGTTCTAAAAACTAGATCACTGCATGTACAAACGTAGATCGATATGAGCTAACATCGAACAAAGGAAAGTGATGGAAGTTAAAACAATGCGTCGAATGGCCAAGATGAGATGTGCTTAGCGAATAATAAGGTTTGAGTACTGCAAAACCCGACCATAGTATGCGATAATCTTCTATAGGTCTTTTACATTGGCAGCGAAACAGATTTCTATTTGATTCACAAAAAAGCAGCAATTTACGGAATTGAGAGTTTGCAAGTGAACGTAAAGCAGGCACAAGGAAATGTCCACCAAATCAAGCAACACAACAGAAACTCATGTTAACTACATAAACTTTAGAAAAGTGACCAAGTACAGCCGATATAAAAGCATCGCCGTACGAAAGTTGAAAAGAATTCAAAACGATCCACAATGGGCACTATTTACGCGGCAAATACTGCGCTCAAGACGCAAGCGCGGTCCAGCGTGAAATGTTCCGTGAATGCACCCTTGACCAGTTTTTTGCGTCAAATTTCGAAGTGCGCTGGCCATTATAATTTGCAGTTTTCGAGAGGTGGTGACAGTTGATAAATCTAGCTTGTAATGTCGGATGATCCGAAGCTGCAGGAATTTACTCTTAAAGAGGATCATGAACTGAGGTTTGAGGTACACTTACTCTTTTTTATCGCAAATCTTCTTTAAAAAGCTTCATCTTTTTCTGTAGGTCGGGAACACGGAGGTAGTTCTGGAATTAGTCCAGGGGAGAGCAGAAGTATTTGGAACTGAGCTGGAGATGCACAAGAAATATGCTTTTCCTCCAAGTAATTTTTTTATTGAGCTTGGGACTACTTGTTGCACACAACTTTTTTTCCAGATACTCGCATAGCTGTGTTCAGTTGGAAAGGAGCTTCTGTTGAATTGATTGGCCCAACAAATAGTGCTTATGTTGCTGAGCATACTCCTATGGTAACAGAGGCTATTTCTTTCAAATCAGAAAACTCATCAGTCTTGTCTTAGGTTATCTACTTGAACACACACGCAGCACTTGAGCAACTTAGGCAGCATTCTGAAGAGCAAGCTACAGTCGACGGTGTGGAGAATCCGAAAGGACCACGAATCATGTTAGGTAAAGTTCTTCTACACGTGCTTTCTCATACATAATAACATCCTCATGTTAGGTAAGTTCTATAATAACATCCTTTTTCCTTTTTCCTTGGGTTTTTCACTGTTCGTCTTGGTGCAAAAATGGCTAGTTTTGTACCCTAATGCCGATTAAATTTCAACTGTTTCGATGCATTAATCTCCAAGAAAGGTTTGGTCGCATCAGTCCTTTTCGGGAACTTCTCGTATGCACTATTGTAATTCTTGCTGCTGCGCTGCTCTTATGCTTCCTCAGCTACTCATTTTTTGGTGTATAAACGCATCAGAGACAGCGGAACTACTTACGGCGCTGCTTATGAAACTTGCCAAAGGATAGCTCATCGTCATTGTGCAAGTTTTAATTCTTTGCGGAAGTCTGTGCGTGATTTTTGCATCAAAGTGGCAGATACAGCAATTGCTTTGTTTGTGTTTCGGATTCTCATTTGAAATTGTTTGTCGAAGTCTGTTTGACCACCGATTCAAATTGACTTCATCAAACATCCTGTAGAAATTAGCCGATAAGGACAGTTTTTGTTGTTCTTTGTTTAGCCCACTGGTGCGAAAAACGTGAATAAACCACAGTAAAATTTTAACGCTTTCGTGGGTGTCATAATCAATCTGTGCAGTATCGCTCTGCTCTTGTGACCGTTGACGATTTAGTGGGACCAATGGACGTCGGGAAAACGACTGTGTGCCGCATCCTTTGCAACTATGCTGTTAGACAAGGTAGATCACCTGTATATATCGATTTGGATGTTGGACAGGTAATTTCATTTACTTAAAGTAAGTCGTAAGCATGGTAGTCGTAGTCGTACATTTAGGGTAGTATTTCTGTTCCCGGGACCATTGGCGCGCTTTTCATCAACAAAACAGCCGATGTTGTTGAGGGATTTGATCGTTCAAAGCCACTAGTCTACAACGTTGGTTACCTCGCAGACTTCTCATGCTTGTTACTAATTCTATTTTTCAGTTTGGTCATGTATCGCCGGGTGACAATCTTCCTCTGTATGACCTTTTGGTAAAGGAGCTGGCAGACTCTGTCACTCTTCGATGCGCCACTCATCCAGAAGCTAATCTAGGTGGTCTTGTTATCAACACTTGTGGATGGGTTACCGGCGAAGGGTAAGTTCTCCTCTGTTACGCCTTATTTTTTACGCTTTCTTACTTTTTGAGAGAACTTTCTGGATTTTAGTTACGGTTGTATTGTGGCTGCTGCGGAAGCGTTCGAAGTGGACGTAGTAGTTGTTCTGGATCACGAACGATTATATAATGAGTTACAGCGGGATCTGCCGACATTCGTCAAGGTAGGCAGTAATGTTGATCTGTTTTGTATTAGCATAAAATAAGCGAATTTTGTAGATTTTGCACCAGCCGAAGTCAGGTGGTGTGGAAACCCGATCTCGTCAGTGTAGAACCTCAGCAAGAAGCGCTTCGATACATAGGGTCTGTGTTTTTGGATAATATAAGTGACTTCGCCGGTCATGAGACTTTTTTGCAATAATCTTCGCATATTTTTTAGTACTTCTATGGCGTTCATTCCAACCCATACTTTCCCTTCACCTTCGAACTGAACTTCAGTGATGTCATATTTTGCAAAATTGGCACGGAAAAGTTGCCTGAGTCGTGCTTACCTTTTGGCTCTAAAATTGAGGATCATCAAACCAAGGTAAAATTATAGCTCTCGTGTTATGAAATCATTCAGAAAAATTCAGGTTGTGACTATCAACCCATCTCCCGATATGGCTCATAGAATGTTTGCTGTTACTCCATGTCCTACCGTATCACAAGCTGTATTGAAAGCTAGTGTTTTGGGTTTTGTTGTAATCACCGAGGTTAGTTTTCCCGCTATGTAACCTGATAGAGTCAAATAGTTGATTATCCATTCGAAGTGTTCCTTGAAAAGTGACATTCTAGATCAACATGGAGGAGAAGCGCTTGAGTGTGTTGTGTCCTCAAAGTTCCCTAAGTCACAAAGTTCTTGTATGGACAGATGTAACCTTCCTGGATGACCAAGTGACACGTACAGCAGAGTGAACCGTTTAGTTCAAGCTCGGATGTGATGATGTTTCTTTTGGTCTCATAGTATAACGGGTACATGCGATACTAGATTACCTGAAAAATGTACAATACTTCTTGAATCTTCTCAAATAAATGTCTCTTGAGCAACAGTTGGATTTGCGCTCTGTCTGCTCGATTGCCGTCCTATCATTACTCCCTTTTTAGGGTTTGCTTTGGTTTTGGACATAAAAGGGGAAATTTTTTAGATTGTATGGAAATTGGTTTGTAACTAGTGTGCTATGTTTGATGTGTAAAATGTTACTCAGTTGGTAATAAAAATTCGAGTCAATAAATTTTGTGTTCACATCAAGCAGAAACCCTATGATCTGTATCATCCTTTGTACTATATTTCCATGTGTAGGAATACATTCTTCCAAGTCAGGTGCGCATGGTTGCTTGCGCTTTGGTTTGGTCTGAGACAAGAAGCGACTGAGCTGTGGTATCGTCACTTAATCTGTAGTAGCGAATGAGGTGAGCATCCTAGAGGATTTTGGAATGAGAGAGGCTAAGATGAGTTAGCATTTTACTGTAGTTGTCTATCTACAGAGTAAATCCGCTGGTAAGATGTAAGTAGCAATAACATCACCCTACTGCGATCCGAAATACTATTTGATCTATTACCAAGTGGAGCAGAAAAAGATTGAATGAATGGGCTGACAGGGTACACCAAGCAGTTGACTGGCTTACTAGAGGTACTCTCCCGGCGAATCTGTGCCGGTTCTAAATGGACATCGAAGGACCTAACAAGGGGAGGGAGTCGAAAACGGCTTTGCATATGAAATATATGCCAGTTTGAAGAGCATCAAAGGCTAATTACAAAACTATGTTTGTCTGCCTAGCTCCTCTAGACATTTTTTTGGCTTAAAAGTCAAACGCGCAACTGTAACAAATTATCCAAGATTCAAATGGCCCAGCGATCGATATCAGAACACTTTATGCATGAAAATCTTTTGTCTAACTTGCTCGTGCTTAACACCTCTTTACTTGAGCGCTGGAAAGACCATAATCACTGTTTTTACCAAGAACTATCGTTTTTCGCTCAAAAACACTCATAACTCAGCGCCTAAAGGAGCTTGGCAAAAAATAAAAACTGTTAAGAATTAGCATTTGATGCACTTTAGAATGGTGTACGTTTCATTTGGAAAGCCGATTTCGATTTTGGTCCTCCCCTAGTTACACGCCATACTTAACTAATCTGATCCATGTATTCCATCTCGCTATTGGCCATTTCTTGATTTGACGAAGCTTGATTACGCTATTGTCCAAACTGATCAAAGGCAAGTGCTTAATAACGCGTACCCTCTTCACGGCTTTGTGGACGAAGTTATGAGTTAAATTATTGCAAGGATGTTGCGATCAAGAACTCGTTTGCGTGAACTCAACAAAGAGACAAATTTGTGAGTTTTTGGCCTCACCTGAGATTATCCATATGTCCACATAGGACTTCGCAAACAATGTCCTTGCGTCAAAGCTGCTCTATCTACGTCCATAGATATTTAGCTGCATACGGTCAGCGTTTCGAGCAGCATCAAATTTTATGCAGTCTCTGGGCATGAACTCTGCGACTTCTTAGTAGTTTTTTGTCTGTGTTAAAGCGGATGAATCATACACGAGCAGAAAATCAATTATCGATCCCCTCCGAAGCGAGACGTTTGGAATTTGGTTGTAAGCGCATACAGTCTATCTGTCACTGAGTAAGGTACAGAGAAACTTTATTCCGTTTCCGGATCCTTTCAAGAATGCCAGACGAAGTGAGCTGGACGCTAGATTTCTAAATTCATCACTTGCAGTGGCGTATCCAGGACTTCCGTTCACGGTGGGGGGGGGGGGGGCAAAAAAATTTTTTTGATGGAAGTGCGTGGCTAACGCCACGCACTCCGAAGAAGTGTTTGGTATGCTTCCTGAATTCTAGGATCATAAGCCCGAAATTTTTTTTGTAAGGCTGATTTGAATTTTTCAAATTTCAAAGATTATTTTAATTATTTACAAACATAAAGAATTCACTTGCACACTTTTATGACTCATGTAAGTACTTTCAAGAATTTCGCGACACTTCTCGGGCGGGGTATGGGAGGGGGGGGGAGCTTTCCTATACTGCCTTGATTATTACAATAATAAAGGCCTTTCCTATGCTGCCTTGATTATTGTAATAATCAAGACTGCATAGGAAAGCTTTTCCTCAAATTACAAAGGAGGTGATTTATTAGTCGTGTTCTAATAGTAATTCCAGAGGTTACACTGAGCGCTAAGTGGCCATAAGTGATGCAGAAGTCTCTCTTGAGCTGGAATTGTGTTTCCCACATGTTATGGAGCCATAACTCTCAATAGTTTCCATTTGAAACGCGACTTCCTTCCACGGGAACCAAAACTGTCCCTGTTTTTGTTTACTCATGAAGCTACAACTGTGGTAGGCCGAGAAAACTTCACAAATTGTGAAATTCTTTAGATTGACACTTTCTCTAAACAAGGGAGTAAAAAGCCTTTTATTATGTTAGGCGATCATAAAAGAAATGCTAATCGTAAGCAAAGCGAAGTTTGGTGCAAATTCTACATTTCTCTCTGCCCTTCAAGAGTAGGGTAAAAAGCGGTTCATTGCAAGCAAAAAAGTGCAGATCAGATCAATAAGCATCTAAACTCAACATTGACCTGATTTGACAACAAATTTCCTATTTGGAACCTTTCTATTCCAGGCACGTATTCATGTCACTTTGTAATATCGACACTAATAACATTCGCTTGGTAAAGAATCTTCATGCCGGCGTGTTTCCAGTCCAGTACTCCGAGGCCTACTTTCAGAAGGTAAACGGGAAAGTCGTCTCTATCTTTTCTCTCTATCTCGTCATACCTGTGGCCGTATTCATCAGCGAGCGGTAAAATAAACCTCGAGGGCGCACACCCCTATGCTTATTCAATTGCTTGTGTTCAAAAGAAGAAATTTCAAAAGAAAAGTACATTGAGCCGTTAATTCATATCCACAAAGATCTGAGTAAAATTTACTTTGAGATAATGTAAATGTACTCAGGGGGTCCATGCTAGAGTAGAATCTGCCTTGATCAAGGTAACTTCTACTCTGAGGTATGCTCGGATTTCCGGTTAATGGCTCAAAATATGCTATACATATTTTAAAATAGGCATTTGATGAGCGTAGAGGTACGCGCTCTCATGGTTCAAAGGCAGTGGCTTGTGAAAATTGCGAGTTCGAGCTTTTCGCACCTACATGGCCTTCTGGATCCGCTGAGTCCGAGACTATGCTTGAAAAGTTGAAACGTGCCTTTTTCGGCGTTTTCCGGCTTTCGACATTGCTGAGGGGACCGAGCGAGGGATTTCCGCTACAGACATCAACTAGCTGTAGATATTGTAACTCCACCCATTTTGGAGGCAGTTGGCTGATCGGCTCAAGCAGCCAATCGCGACTCAGTTGGCGATTCCTCGCCCACCCCCTTCAACGATCTCTTAGACCGGAAAACGCTATGAAAACTTCTTTGAATTCTCAGCACAGCCCTTCACTCAGCGCATCCAGAAGGCCAAGGAGGGATGGAAAGCTTGCAATTGCAATTTTCCCGAGCCACTACCTTTAAAGGCGGTGTTCGGGGAAAAACTCGACTTTGAGATTTTGTGCTTACCTCGGCCTATTCGGTATGCTGAATCTGAAAATCCACACTAGAAAGCGCGGAAACGGCAAAAAGCGGCTTTAACACGGTCGGGAAATCAGAGGTGAGAGGGGTCGTCCCCACTGTAAATTCATGCTCCCAGCTTTCGAAGCGATCTTCTCGGTTCCGACTCCAAGTCAAGGGTTCGCATTTGGCCAGTGGAGATCTCAGGGCGGCTAGCGAAATCGACGAAATCGCTCCGGAAGCTTGGATCGTGAATTCACAGTGGGAGAACTCCTCCCATTTCTGATTTCCTTCCTGTGTTAGAGCCCTTTTTGCCGTTTTCGCGCCTTCTAGTGTGGATTTTTTGATTCAGGATAGCGAGTAGACCCGAGTAAGCACAAAATCTCAAATTCCTTTCTGCCCGGACACGCCTTCAGTTACCTCCGAGTTCGTAGATTAGTACGATCACTGGATTTTTTACGTGAATACTGTTTGCTAGGCCTTAACTACCCATACTTCAAGCGGCAGCCCAAATACTTCATCTGTAAACGGCAAATACTCTCAATCTTGTCAGGTACCGTACTCGAAGACACCGGTCGATCCGCTTAAATGTTTACGGTAGGGGGCGAGAAATCAATTTTGAAATTCTTGGCCACCAATGAGTCTTGTAGATGCCGCTTGATGTACGTAGTGTTGGCGGTTAGGGCTTTTCCGTGGGAAGCCCAATGATAAAACCTGCGTGGAGATTTCTTTGGTATCTCGTTGCAGGTGCAGAATAATGACCTGTGTGCTGCGCTAGTTGTGGATGGCGAATGTCTTGGTGTAGTCTGCTGCAAATTCGAGATTGTTGGCTGCTCCAAATTCCTTTACATAATGTCGCTAGCAGGTTGGTGACTCCGTGATTTTCCTCTGATTTTGATGTATCATTGCAGTGCACCCGCTATATCGATGTCGCGGGATTGGAAGCAGACTTCTCGATTTTGCTATTAATAAGGCAGAAAGTCATAGTGTGTCAACAATAAGACTGCATGTGCAAGTGGGTGTATCTGGTTCGCCTGTCAAGATCAATCTATTATGACTGCCAGCGTCAAATTAAGTTACTGTATCGTATGATTGAGACATTTTTAGATCAACAACCAAAATGCCATTCATTTCTACAAAAATAGAGGCTTTACGATACTCGAAACAACGAAGAATTACTATCATCGATGTTTTCCTACCGATGCTTATCTTATGCAAAAACAACTCCAAATCTGATTTTATAGCACTGCGTATCGGAGCCTGTGTTCATTATTGCTGATAGTTTTGCAATTTGGTCAAAGATGTGCTGAGAATCTTGCTTCAACCATATCTTGTCGTGCAATTGGCACGTCCTCTTCGCTAGTGAGATTTGTGGAACTCATACATGGAAATTATTCGTGATTTGAAACCGGGTGGCGAGAGACACATTGTACAACGTACATTACAGAGCACCCAACAAAGCACAATCCAGAACCTGCCAATTCGCCTGTAATTTTCACATTTTATCATACTAATACAGGCTATAACCTTTGCTACGATACGGTGTGTTGTTTATTCTATTTTTGTTACGGTGATCTACTACCCTGTGCTTGCCATTATTCTTATTTCTTTTTTATGAAAAAAAGTTTGCTATTACTTGCAGTTTTCTTATCTACTTTTATCTTGAAAGCTTTGGACATGATGTTGCAAGGAAATGAGCCGATTTCAACTTGCAGAACTGATTTGATTTAAAGCGTTTTGCGTAAAATAGAATTAGCAGGTCTTCACCATAGCTGGCTAATACCGCAAAAATCAACTGGCTTATCGTCAACGTAAGAAGAAAAGGTGTCGGCGCCTTTACAGAACATCAAAAGTCAAAAGAATAATTGTTCCAACTCAAAATTTTCGAGTATGTGTTTAGAGATAAACAACATGGTACCCAAAAGCGTTCAAGCACAAGAGATAACCTCTATGACGTATTGCAAGCAATGTCCTAGCAAATTTGGATATCCAGACTACTACTGTGACATAGATTTGGAAGTCTTGACTAAGCCACCCTAGCGGTAGAAAAAAATCAGCAGGTTGGCGGTAGCTCACATTATTTATTTACGAACGATTAGTTTAGTCAGTAAACTCTCACCCACTACCGTAATCAAGCAAGCTAATTTGCCCGCTGAAGAGCAGGGGCAATTTGTAATACAAAATGGCTCAAGTGAGACTGATTCAACGACTGCCGGTCAGTCTCATCGCTTTATACCATCACACATTCTGAGACAAATTTGAATCTAATGAGTCGTTCAACGCTGCTTATCGACTTTAAAAACTGAGCAATCAGTATTCAAATAACCGTTTCTTAGTACTTGCAATCACAAAATAACCAGTTACCTGTCATTTTTGGATTTTTGCATTCTGATGTGAGTTTCGATGAGTCATTGAAACAAGTTGTTGACTATAAGTTCAGATCCATTGATTTTTGACAGAGTTTTCAGAAGATTCATTTGCTTACATTGTACCCCAGAACTTATTCAAAGTTGCCAAAGAAAGCTTATCTTTCCTGACACGCACTATGTAGTGGGCTTCAGCTGTAAAATTTAGAAGAAATCAAATACGACGAAAGGATTTGATTATGTTGCAAAATACAGTACAAGAACACGTCCTTCTGGGTCATATTTGTACATACGTAGGCAATTTTGATAAAGAAAAGCAGGTAAGTTTGGAGCACAGATAGCAGACCGTACAGCTGGTAGCATATGACGAATGAGCCAGACACCCTTCTGAGTGCCAAGCGTTCCTTGGAAGGAAATGTTCGAGCTTCATTCGGTGAACAAAGGGCTGTTAGTTCCGAATTTGAATTTGTTCCAGTGCTACATTCGTTCCGTGCATCACTTTCTGTGCTTGTTCTGAGCGGGAACTGTGAGCATCGCAGCGTTCCTTTATTATGGCGCAATCTTCACAGTATTGTTTGCTAGTTGAATTGAGCAGACACTGACCTCTATATTGGTGAGATGGCCCATTAATGTCCATAAGTGTTGTATTACTGAACTCTAAGCTATCCACTGTGCTATGCAGTGCTCTGCTATTCAAGCGAACTTGGAAGGAAATGTGTGCGTTTAGCACGCCAAATTTGCTATGGAGTCGTATTCGGCCTATTCTATAATATTCTACAACTATATTCAATTTTCCCGCTTCTGATATTCACCTAAGTATTCGGGTTCAACGCTTTGTCATCATCTTTGCTCGCGACCATTCACCGCTTTCGCTCGATTTTTTACTTTCCCGTGACTTGTTCGTCACTAAACTGACTGCAATCATACTTGAGCAGTTAAACTTGCGGACATGGTAAAGGAAATGTAAGTGCTTTTGCTGCTGTTTGGCTAAATGGATGCGATCATCCAACTAATGAACTTTCGTAACCGACACCACGATGCTCTATGATTTTGTACTACTGTTTGTACAAAATTCAGAAACAGTTTGCACGCGTTCTTGCATTTCCATCACCGTGTCAACAAGTTTAATGTGAAGCAATGGACATTTCAAGAGGCGAAGAAACAACTCAAGTAATGGATATTCCAAGGCTTGCGGACGACGGGGAGGAGGAGGTGGAGCCAGAGGAGGAACTCATGGTGATTGACGAAGAAGAAGTCGGGGAAGAAAACAGTGCTATGCAAAGACAGGAAGAAGGTCTGGACGATGACGGATGCCTCGACCAGCTACTACAGGAAGCCGGAGAGACTCCCCAAGAACTCGACGAACCAAGTATCCAATCATTAGAAGAATCTATACCAAGAGGGAACGTCGTCATCGAGCAAGCGGAGGAGGACATGAGGAGAGTACAGGTCCAAGGACAGAGGCCTCAGGAGCAAGTTGACGCTGAAGTTCGAGACAAGATACCAAGACAGGGTCAAAACGAGATTCAAGAGTTGCAGAATCACATCCAAGAATTGGAAGCCCGCATTCAAGTAACGCGGGAGGAAAATCGAGCAAGGGAAGAAGAGGTCTACGAAGTAGAGAGGGCCATCCAAGAACTCCCGCGACGCATCCTGCAAGACGCCCCTGAAAAAATTACAGCGAACATAATCTGTGCCTTCTGTAAGACGCGGGGTCGACACTTTTCAGATTCCTGCTACGTCATTACAGATGGAGACGAAAGGTACAACCTCGCTTTGTAAGAGGGATTGTGCCATAGATGCCTGCTTGGGCACGGCGGCAGGTGCAGGAATCCCTTTCGCCCGTGTTTCTACTGTGAGAAAGTCTCAGGGACCCTGTCGGAGGAATTTTGTCCCAGAGACGAAGATCATCACAAGGCTCTATGTCCCATACCCAATGCGGAAGACAAACTCCAACAACGAATCCAGAGGATCATGGACCACTATCTCGAAGTCGGACAAGACATAGAGAGAATGGAGGAGCAAAGGGACAACCTCAAGAATCAAGTAGAACAGATCCTTCGTCAGGATCCAGCACCACACCCGAGACCATAATTCGTCGCCGCCAGTGTCGTGAAACACGACTTCAAATCCAAGGATTTATCAAGTATGTATTGATCCAAATTCATTATTATTTTCGCCAAGTCTTTCTTACAGGAATGCTTTATTTACTTGCAAGCGCGGAGCCGACTCCAGATGGTGCGAACGATAAGGGGACGATCGTCGTCTATGCAGCTCGTCGGCTGCTCAAGCAAGTATCATTTTCACATAATTTGCATATTTTCTTTATCTTCATATATCATCTAGGTTCACACTATATAAGCTTGTCCGACTGTAGGCTCATACTTTTCCGACTTGAAGTTTTACCACTTTTGTATTATTTTCTTGCACCTTTTTGAGCAATTAGATCCAAAACAGCATAATAATCAAGTATTGAGTAGGATAAGCATAATTAAGTATCATAGCAGTGAGAACTACCATTAGCAGCCTACTCTCAGTGATTTTTGTCAGTAGTATTTGAGATCATCATTCATTTGTATCTGTTATGTAGTTTAGTTCATTTTATTTGTTCTATGGTATTTTGTCGAATTTTGCGTATAATAGTCAAAGTAAAAGGTTTAATTACCCAAGTTTGAGTTGAGGTACACGTCGACAATAATACGCCCGCGTGGCAAATCAAGTTCAAGTGTCTCTTGGTATTAGACGATTGTTGTTCTAAATATCTTGCGTATCCTCAACACATTTATTTCTTTTCTTTTTCTTTTTATTTCTTCTATTTTTTCGAATACATTGTCTTTGTCTTGTTTTGCCATTCAAAAGAAGCTGTCATATGGCAGCTTCCCGAACACTTACAGTCTGTCTCGCCCTTTTTTATACAACTGTATCTTGTTGTTGGAAACCCTTCTTTTGTCTGAGTAAATAAATTTTTGGAAATTTTTAACAGAAGCACGGTGAAAAATAAGCTACTGAATCCCAGCATATTTTGGTGCATTCACCGAAAAAACCCCAGCCAAAAACAAGCCGAGTTTTGTTGAATCTTGTTGAATCAAGATATCAAGATACTGAAAAGCCCCTTACCATCAGCGCCAAGACGCTGAAAGGACAGATAACTTCAAAGAGTATACGAAAAGCTGGAATAAAAGTAAGTAATATCGCACTAAACTATCATCAAGCCATCGTAGGAAAAAAATGCGTAGCCCAATGCGACAACAAGATGGTAGGACATGACCTCAGTGGCACATATAATTTCCTATTAGAGATAGAACCATAGGAACTACCTAAAAAAGGAGGACAGTCACAGATGTATGGAACAGACTGGTTGCAGAAATAAATATTCCAAACTTAAAACCCATTTGAAGTATGTCCACTAATAATGGAAAAGTGACCCCGGCAATTCTGGGGACTATAACAATCCTGTCTATAATAACATAGTCATTTAGACCTGCATTACTCCTAGCATTGACCAAACTAGCATATATTTGCGTTGTAGCGATCGTGAAGGCAAGAATTCTGTTAGCCCACATCTTGTATAAATGTCTAGTGAGAGCAGCCGAAGATAGATATGCAGATTAGACGGTTTTGTACAAATACCCATTAAAATAATCTGTCACACAAACCTAGATGTCGTAGCCGACGCTATCGTAATTGTCATTTGATGATCTTGTACTGATGTTTTGTACGATTCCGCGAACCCAGTTCGCAAAACAGTGTTTTTGTCTTGTTTGCGATTGCATTCAACAAACGAAGCTACCAGCTGGCATCCTTCCGAACACGATTCTGACTCTCCTTTTTGGAACGCCAGGAACGCCAGTTGTGATTGAGTTGTAAGCCGAGAACCCAGCGTTTTTGTAGTGTTTGTTGAAGTGTTTTGCCGGGGAACCCAGCTGGAGAAGAAAGCAATTATCCAACCGTGTTTGACAGAAGCACGGTATGTCGTAACCGACACGATCGCATGTTTTGCGGTCTTGTACTTGTATTTTGACCGCTTCTCTCAAACCGTGCATAATTTACCATTTCCACTGAACAAAGGAAGCTGCTAGCTGGCAGCTTTCCGAATACTTACTATCTGGGGTGCGCCCCTTTACTTTTTAGTGTTCGCTGAAGTGTTTGTACAGTTTGCCGGAGAACCCGGCTCGGAAATAAAGAAATCAATCCATCCGTGTTCAACAGAAGCACGGTAAAACAAAAAATCCACTGAACCCCAGCACATTTTTGGTTGGTCAAACCCACACATTTTTGGTGCATCAAATTTAATCAACAAATTCATTCTACCATTACAGATGTGAATTAGTCTGCGAAACGTCGTCAGTCCTATCCTCAACGTTGATGTCGCTCCACCACCTACAAATTCTTCCGTCGCTCCACCGCCTAAGAAACTCCACCGCCGTCCAGATCCACCGTCGTCCATCCAGCATGGTATTTTGCCCATTTGTGTTTTTGTTCCCCTTTTTCCCTTTCATTAGTTTGCCCCTTTCCCTCTTTTATTTCTATCCATACTTTACATTTGATCGTTCATTCTTGAATCATGTATTTGATCTAACCGTGAATCGCTCCTTCTCGTTGCCATTAAACTCCTTATTAAACGATACATCGAATTGCTGAATGTTTTGTCGCTTTGTATTTTTACCTTGAAAGTGTAATTTTCCTTTCTCTTGGGCGGGAGTGTCGTAACCGACACGACCACATGTTTTGCGGTCTTGTATTTGTATTTTGACCGCTTCTGTCAAAATGTGCACATGTTCAGAACATAGTTTTTTCGTATTCACCATTTCCACTGAAAAGGAAGCTGCCAGCTGGCAGCTTCCCGAATACTTACTGCAAGGCAAAAAAGCGAGGCTGAAATGGGAACAGAAGCGGCTCTTCTCAACCTTTCAGAGACAAGTGAGGACAAGCAACTTCCAGAAAGAGAAGAAGCACAACAAGACGTCCTAAGTTCGTGGACGGTGAGGAAGAAGTTATGAAACAAGAGGATGAACTCATGCTGATTGTTGAAGAAGGAGTTGGTGAGGAGCAAGCTGCCAGGAAGAGATAGGAAGACGTCATGGACTACGAGAGGTACCTCTGCCAACTATTACATGAAGCCAGCGAGACACCTCAAGAAATCGAAGAATCAAGTCTCCAACAAAAAGAAAAGGCTACCGAAAGAGTGGAAACTGTCATCGATCAAGCTGAAGAGGATGCGAGGAGAGTGCAGATTGTCCGTAAATAGAGGCATCAGGAGCCAGCCGACGCTTAAAATCGTGAACAGACCAAGACAAGCACAAGAAGAAATACAAGCGTTGCAGAATCAGATACAATATTTGGAAGCTCATATACAAGCAGGAGGAAAATCGAGCACGGGTAGAAGAAATCCACGAAATGGAAAGGACGATACAAGTACTCCCGCCGCTAAATGCATGATGCCTCCGAAAGAACCCAGCCAAATGTCACGTGCGCCTTCTGCGGGGCACAGAATCGACACTATTCAGATTCCTGCTATGTAGTCATGGACGGAGACGCAAGATATAGCCTGGCGTTACAAGAATGATTGTGTCCCAGATGTCTGTTAGGTTATAGCGGAAGGTGTTGGCATCCTTACCGCCCTTCTACTGTGAGAAGGTCTCGGGAACCATGGCTGACGATTTTCGACCCAGGGATGATGGACATCACAAAGCTCTTTGCCCAGTACCAAACGCCGAAGACACGCCTCGACCACGAATTCAAAGTGCGAAAGGCCTAAGGCATACCTCGCGCGATTCCTGTCGCTGCGCGATTTGGCACAACAGCGACTCTCTGTAATTCGTCGTTAATGCGTTTCCTTTGGTCAGAACTTAACCCATTTGCAACAACTTACACAAGTTACCCGTCTATGCCTTCGAGAAGCGCGCATGACAAATTTGTAGAAATCTGGCAATTCGCCAAGTCGCGTGAAAGTGGCGATTTGGTCACATCGCGTGAGGTATGCCTTAGGCCAAAGACAAGTAGATACAAGTCGGAAGGGACATAGAGCCATGGCAGGAACACCTCAGAAATCAATTGAACAAGTTTATCGCCGTGACCGGGCACACCGCGGGAGATACTAACTAGCCGCCAGTGTCGTGAATACGACTTCATTATACAAGTAAAGTCAAGTACGTGTTGATCCAATGCTTTATTATTTTTTCGCCATATTTCTCTTTTAGAATTTTGTTTACATCTTCTCGCGATCTGATCGAGTTTGATCAGTTTTTCTTTTGTATTCCTTTCCCCACTATTTTTAAGCGATTATAAAACAAGTCTAAAAAACAAGATCGAGTAGGAAAAGGACAAAGAAGGAGTTTATCGAAGTTTGGGAAGACTAGCAGATAGTTGTTTGAAGAATTCGACAAAATTCCCTATCTTTGCAATACAAAACAATGACTAACGCGATACCTTATTCAAGAAAGCCACGAAATATGCCACAAGAGCACAAGTTACTCAATGGCGACGGTAAGGCAGAAATACTGGATCCCAAAATCCCATGCACAGATGACCAAATTCATTCGCAAGTGTATACCGTGTCAAAAAATGAACAATCTACCTTTTGGCCCGATAAGTATCACCAATGAGGGAGGCACTATAATCAAGGGATATGGAGTGATAACAACATGTTTGGTCACAAGGCTGATGCATCTAGATCTGGTAGATGGACCAACAGAAGCTTTTCTGAATATGTTGAGAAAGTTCTTTGCCAGAAGATGGACTCCAAAATCGATAACAAACGATAACGCTCCCCAACTTTATATTGGGTGATACAATCCTCAAAGAATGCCACCATAGTGCTCTGAAAAATCCATTGCAAAATAAATCAGCAAAAGAGAAATCGAGTGGAAATACATCACACCTTATGCACCATGGCAAGGTGGAGTATATGGAGGCCTTATCAAATCGGCCAAAATAATTAGCAATGCATAAGACTCTCGGATAAACGACACCACTGTTTGAAGAACTAGAAACTACCATCATAGAGATAGAGTCAATGCTAAGCACAATACCATTTACATACATTGAGACAGAAACAACAGATGATCGAATACTAAGGCCTATAGATTTCCTTCAAAACGAATTCATATTCCAACCCTCGACGTACAAGATAAAGAAACAGAAAGCAAATCGGAAATGTCATTTTCTTGGTTTTCATCTCTAATCGAATGATTTTTTTTGCTTACGTACAGTATTCTTCAGACATTGGAAGTGAATGAGCCAAGCGTTGAGGGTGATGCGTTCTGGATGAGCGTTTTATGCTTTTGTGTGCGCAAAGTTCGCAGCAAGATCCGTCGTCACGGTTTTATGAATGAACTATACAACTTGACGAGGTTGACAAAGAATTTCTTTTGAAAGAAGAACGCGTAGCGAGTACAAGACTAAGAGAAGAAATGCAAAGTCTAATTGGTAGAGCCAAAGTCTACTACAAATCTTTGTTTGCAATTCGGGAACTATCCTTACACCAAATCTGCGAGCAGCAAGAACATTTGGTCCTGCGATCTAGGGACCTGGAATTCAACCTCCATTGCTCCCAACTCCGCACTTGAAACAAATTGCAAAGAGATTTTGATGTTATAAATAGATGGGGTTGGGTCCCAATTGAGCAAGTCTCCCTGAAGATGGTCTAAAACGAGAAAACCGCTCCAGAAAGGAGAGGGAGACGGTCGAATGGCGCGTACTGATCGATTGTTACCTGAGAGAAACAAGAAATAAGTTCAGATTTGATTTGCTGTTTTCGGATTCTGACTGATATGCTGTTACACTTCCTGGTGTACTGACAAAACTCGGAATCTGGAAACCTCGCTTTTGTAGCAAACGATCCAGTCTCGGAATGATGGCTGCCAAAACGCGCGCCTTTCGATACACCCGAAAGGAGAAGCGTCACGCTGGCTGCGGCCGTCAAATGGATGATATGAAGATACAGTTCGAAATTGGTAGACAAAATGTCGCAAATTATATTAGGTTGTCCCGAAAGTTTTGTTCGTTTTTTTGATCGCTCGCTAAAACTCACAGAACACTAGTCCAAGGACGGCTTAGGTATCATTTGATTCAGTTATTTATCCTCTTTCTTACAGCTATATTTGCTCTTTGATCTACCCTGTCCTTGCTATGTTATCGCCATGGCTTTTTGAACAGCTCAGCAGTAACGCCAAATCTTTCCCGAATCTTCAAAAACTTTTATTCTGATGTTTTCAAAGACCACTGGTGACTATTACGTAGAGCAGGTCTTTGGCTATATTGTGTCCATTTAAGATTACATGGGCCACGTTTACCCAGTCCGTTATAAATATTTGTTCAATAAAAACCGCGGCTTTTTGATTACGTTTATCACGCAAAAGTACCGAAAATTCCAAAATGCTGCTTTTTGGAGCAAATCAAACTTGATTATGTTGCATAATTGTTTAAAAGATTCATGTTTCAATTCGCAGAAACTGCAAAAGCTTTCGTGTATTTGCTGCAGTTGCTGTTTTATGACTTTGCCAAAAATCGATACCTTCGAAGAAATAATTCTTTGAAGCTAAAAGCAGCAGATTAAAAGAACCGAAAAATATAATCTTGTAGTCCGAAAGTAGCTCTATTTGATCCATACTTAAACCTTTCCAGAATTTTGGAATAAAATTTTTAAAAATTAGCCTAACTTTGAGCAGATAAAATTGACGGATAGAGAATATTGGCAATTATCAAAAAAAGCACACAAGATTGTGGTTCGAAAATAAGAAATGGAAGGAAAGCTGCATCGAATGTATGTTGAAACTCCTTCAGATCTTTATTGTGCGTGGTTTTATAGTGGTTTGAAGAAACGTACAAAACTTTCGGGACAACCTAATGTAATCATGAAGGGCGAATCTGTGACAATTTGATATATCAAAGCACAAGTTTGCACCGTGTGTTAGGCAGATCACCCACGTCTAAGTGGAGCCAACGTGGCCGTTCCTACTTCTTGGAGCGGTTTTCTCGCTTTAAAATTCATTTTTGCAGAGAGACTGGCTTGCTTAGGGGCCCTGCTGTTACACATCAAATTCTAATCACTCTCAATTCGGGTGAACGGTGCCTTTGATCGTCAGTGGCTGAAGTAATCACCAACCATCATTGTTGCAACTACAAACTTGCATGGTATTTTTCTTCAGCTTGCATGTTTTTAGTTGCTCCTTTCTTTTATACCAGCGCTTCACCTCTGCTTCGCAGAGGTTCGCACTGGCATTGTGAACCGTGGTAAACTCACTTTCTGAGAGGTTGTCTCTCAAATCATTGTTCGGGTTATTGCAAAGTGAGCCGTAGTTAAAAATGAACCATACTCGCTATCTTAACCTCACATGATGTTTAGTATCGTAAATCATTCCTCACTGTAATTTCGTAACGGACAAACTCCACACAACTTCAGATTAAGCCGCTTATTATAGGTCATGATTGTCTCTCCCCTCCCCCCCCCCCCCATTTCTATCGCAATTTACTCCGTAACGTTCCTGTGTCCCGCACATTCAATCCAAGCCACGTATCATACTTTGTTCTCATGACACTTACAGATGTTTGCACGTTCCTCCTCGGCGAAAGTGTTGTGAAATAACGAGTTCGTTTCTATGCACTCTTGTTCATTCTAAACTTGCTTGTGCCGTCTTTTTTTCTTTTTTGTTCACGCTACCGTCTTTTTCGCAGTCAATTTTTCCAGATTGGCCATTTGGCGGAAACTACATTTCCGTTCTGCGCACTTGAATGAACAGTGTAATGAACCTCGAACGGCTATTCCGTCGAAGAGAACTAGCATGTGAGCAGGATACGGAAACCAGGCAATTACACAACAGAAGCATTCAAAAATAACAAAAACTGAATACAGAAGGAAAGCAGTCAAAACGCTATAATTCTGAGAACATAATATTCCATAGAACTGCAAGAGCTTGAAAAGAACTGGAAGGAACTGGAAGAGACGAGGTAGTGATCTGGAAGTGCCGGACACATGCTGACTAAGACGCAGTGGTTGATAAGTTGAGATCTTAGACATCTGGAATGTTCAAAGTCTCCAGGACATCAACTTGGGCCAATCTTTTTCGGAAAATTGCTGAGTTACTGCTGGAAGTGATTTCGCTTGGTAAAAGATTGAGCCATCTTGATGTCCGAAACATGAATGAATTGAAGGTGAGCGAAAAAACTCTGCGTTGTAATTTACGGTAGTACATATTAAACCCACCTGTTCGCGTTCCATGAGGCCTAAAAATCCAGTACTTACTAGGCTTTAATCTTGTCTCTAAACGAATTAGGCGAAAGCAGAACACCAGGTCATTGAAAATTCGCCGTATTATAGACTGCGCAATTTCAGAGTGGATAGCCTCAAATGGTACGGCGGTAAGGTGCGGGGATAATCAGGACTTGAAAAGCATCTGTAAAAGATAATTCGGGTAAAGTTTCTTTGCACCCTTTCCAGTAATTCGATGTCTTTCTTCAAAAAAGGACTCCACACCGGTGATGCGTATTCTAGTTGCGGCAGGACATATGTTTTATATAGTCTGACCAACAACGCAGGATCATCACAGTGAATATTGCGCAAAATTAGAAAAAGACTGGATAGGGCTTTCCTACTGATCGCGCTGTAATGTTGTGAAAATTTTAAACGATCATCCACCAGAACCCCAAGATCCTTGGTAACAGAACATCGTTCAAGTGGAACACCATCACAAACATAGGCTGGGCATTGAGAATTACCAAGATGCATCATCTTGGATTTCGAGACATTGACCGAAAGATTCCACTCTTTACACCAGAGGATCATTTTCTGTATTGACGATGAAACTGCTTCAAATGCCTCTAATTGATTTTTGCTCTCATAACAAAAGTAGATTTTGATATCGTCAGCAAACATCACGAATGAATTGTAAACAACCATTCATTTTTAGAGCTTTTCCACGTAAGATCGGTAATTTTGGGAGAAGAAATTTTCCCGCAGAAAAATAAATGCGATTTTGAATGCGTTACTGAATTTATTTTGCTTCGTAGTCGCTATAAGGATAAAGACCACCTTGAGCTACATATCTACTCAAAAATCCTCTCAATTCTTGTAGTAAAAACTTGGCAAATCAACAATTTGCTCAGTTACATCTTTTTGGCACCACTTACTTTTTGAGCTGAAGTCAATGTTTTTCGGATTTACTTGCTGAACAAATCCGCGGCTTCGCAAAAAGTCCAATTACCGACCCATTTTGGAGGGCCGAAAGTCGCGTGGATCCGTTTGACGCACTGTTTTTAATGGTTACACTTACTGGATCGGCTTGTGATTTTGCACAGTTTACCTACACGCTGACAGGGTGCTATGACCAGAATAGATCAAAACGCTGGCTGCAACTCACCCTGTGAATTTCGTGACAGACAGATATACACACACAGACAAACAGACAGACGCTCCCCGAGCCTGCCTTGAAGAATTGCCAAACTTAAGACAGCATTTTGCATCAGTAGTAGTACAAATAGTACTACTACTGAAAAAACTACACACCAAATGGTACTACTACTAATAGTAGTACCATTTGGTGAGGTGTCGTTCCAGAAAATGAGACTGTACTGGTGATCATTTCAAGAATCAACAGTAATAAAGACGGTAACACTAGAAACACGAGTAACACGAGCAACACCGGTAACATCGGCAACACGGGCAAATTATGGCCAAAGCCTTTGTCTTCTTATCAGATGAAGGACTTGAAGCTGAACCACCACATATCAAATTACATGGTAAGGTTCCCTTTGGATAGTGTTAACTACTTGCAAATACAACTGTACAAAGGCAATTTACCAAGTGCCCAAGATGTAATTTTGTGAAACAGCGAAAAGAGAGATTTCACTTTCCTATGTGCCAAGCTATCCCGTATCCTTTATTGGTTCACCTGATGTAAGCCCGAATATATCATAACTTTCCAGAAATATTCAGCACAGAAAGCAGCTTGGAGGTCTGCAATCTAAAGATGCTCATAATTCACACTTTTGGATAATCCCTTTGCGGCAGATCGCTGGTGCAAATGTCCGTTTTCTCGCCTATATTCTCCGCAATCGACATCCAGCGCTTTAATCGACGCATCTTTTTGAATCGCTTTATGTGAGGCTCATTTTCGATTCCTGCCGAAACTGCTCGCCAGCTAAAATTTTTCTGAGTATCTTCGCTTTCAAACCTCATTTTCGATCTAATTTTTCATCCAATATTCATCACATCATTATCAATGTTCTATTCCTCTTCTATTTTCAATATATGTAAATTTTTCCTTTGCCCACCTAGTTTTTGCCATATCAGACATTGTCTGAAAATATTTGTTTTGACTTCCAACCCACTTTTTGCCTATATTTACAAAACGCCAGTTAAATTGAGGATATCAGATGTCTTTTGGTTCTGAGCTGTGGCTTCTATTAAAGAGTGCATATGGCGTAAGATGGAAGGTAGGGGACCCTTTGAATCGTTTGTTTGCTGGGTTCAGTGTCACTTTACCCATCGCTCGTTCTAAAAATCCGTCTAGTTGTGTAAATACCTGAATGGCTAAATTTAAGATATAGGAGAGCCCCCTTCATGTATTATCCATATAAATTTCCTGCTGAGAGTGTCCTGTCACTCCGAAACGAATCTTTTTCAAGTTGAAGTTCATGACTCTTTCGTGGTTATTACAAAAGGCTGTTTTTCTTATTTGGAAAGGAGCAACTGCAGATGGCTGACTTATTCTGTACTAGATTGTTAACAACGACCTGCCCTTGTTCTTAGTACACTTACGACCAGGCGAATTTTCGATCATTGCCATTTTTGGACCAGCCAGTTTTCCACTGTGTCAAAGTTACGACTGAGGAGCCCAGTACGGAGGATTTTCGTAAGAATCAAGGAATTGCTTAAAAAGGCAGTAAAAATTTCCGAAATTCTCACATCATAAACAGCATGCTGATGATTTGTACTTCTTAGGATTGAAAATGCCATAAAACCATTGAAATCGATGAATCAATCATTTTTGGACCAAAAATCTTTTGCTATTCTATTTTTTTCTGTGCATTCGAGTTTCCAGATATTGCATCATACTGAAGAAACAACCCGTGCCTGTCTTGTCTACATTGTGCAAGCAACTTGTTTTCACTATAGGTGAAATAAATCTAAAAAATTTGCAGCATTTGGATTACCCCTTCCATAAAGATTTTTTCAGGGGCTTACCTTGAGCCACGTCTTTTTTTTTCTGATTTGGGCCTATAAGCCTGCGAAAATCTGCATTCTTTTGAACAGCCATTTGGAATTCTGTAGCTTTCTCCTTCCCCTGCCTTCTTCCCCAAAAGAATTTCTTGGGCCGCCACTTCAAAAATTATTCACTCCAAAAGCTTCGGTAGTGAGACTGTTAAGTTTTGACGACGCTTTTACAGCGAAGGAATAATTGCAAGATTTGATATCCTTTCTAGTCAGCGGCCTAGACCGCTGCAGTCGCTTCCATTGTGACCTTTGCCGATACAGTTGCATGGGTGCATGAGCCATTTGCTGATTTGCGCATCTTGTTCTTATATGCACCATATATGAACATATGATATGAACGGTAACGGTAACGGTAACGGTATGAACATATGTTCATACCGTGCTGATGCGCAACAAGTGAAGGTGCCGTTCAAGACCATCGGCAACAAATAGTGGTATCGTTCAACATTGTGCGTAACAAGTGATGGTGCTGCTCAACTTCATCCGCAACAAGTGATGGTGATGGTCAACACCACGCGCAACAATTGACGGTGCTTCTTAGCACCACCCGCAACAATTGGCGGTGTTGCTTAACACCATACGCAACAGTTAAGGGTGCTGCGCAACACCATATGCCACAGAAAACTATGCCGCGCAACACTATACGGCACAAATAACGGTGCTGCGCAACACTATACGGCACAGTTAAGCTGCTCAACACCATACGCCACAAATGATAGTGACTACTGCATTAAAACGTGGTACCGCTAGGTGCTGCTAGTGCCACAGATAACTGGGGCAACTGGGGATAATATATTTTCCCTTTAATATTGTGAATGTATACCGAGTCTATAGTATTTTTTTATTTAATACTCACGATCAGTTCATTCCAGTTGTGTGCCAACTTGTTCTCGAGGAGATGTTTCGCTTTGACATCAATTGGCAAAGGTAATGAGAACGATCGTGCAGCAGCAGCGAGCAGTGCAGGAAGTACAAAAAGCCGCGTGTAAAGCCTGGCGAAAGAACTTGGTATATCGTGCGCAAAATAGAATGTTCTGAACTTCGTCAATGGTTACTACGATGAAAATTTGGCAGATTTACGATGGCAAACGTGTGCAAGAATATTGCACGAATATTATGGCAACTTACAAAATAAAGTGGAGAGGCCATCCTGAAAGGGTAAAGTTTTTACTGGAAACAACGTGATTTTGCGAGAATTTGGTATTGCCACTCCGAAAAGTTCTTGAAAGGACTGTTCCGCATCTCTCATCTTCAATTCCTCCTTCCCCCCCCCCCCTCAGTTCTTTGGGGTTGTACTGTAGTGAAAACTTGACATAAAAATCAGTCATTAAAAGCTTTTTGAAACCTTCATTTCTAAAGACTTACGTTATTTGAATTGATCGCTAACCCTTTCGTTATTCTCAACATGCTCCAGAATTGTGTAGATGTCGGCAATGTTCTCCTCTGTACTACTAATAAAAAAACGCTTACGAGCCATCCAAAAACGAGAAGTAGGTAGCTGTGTGATCCAACGAAAGCCCCACGCTCTCAAAGCATTTTCTGCATAGATTGACGCTCGTGGAAGGTTTGGAACAAATCTTCGAAACTTTTACCGAATCATCCACATACCCATCCTAGAGCGCTGCTGGGAATCGTGCAAAGAGGAGCTTCAAGCTCCAGTTTGCCCAATTCGAGAGTAGTTACCGAACTGAACTGAGCGATTGCAAGTTGAATAGATTGTTCTTCCTCCATAACTCAGTTCACATGAATTTTGATAATAGTGACATAGTGGTTTTACGTCAAGCATCTGCAAAGCTAGTCTTAAAGGCAGCGTCCAGGCAGATCTGTACCTATGGGGCTTTTACGTGGAAAGTACTTTTGGGGTGCTAACTAAGGCACTGCCCAAGCGGCAGCTCAAGTAGTGCTGTAATGGCTGAGATATTCCTCTCGAAACTGGACCCCGCGACCGTGTTTCGCATGGATTCATGGCGCAAAGCGTGGATCCTGGCGCGAAACTGCCATGAATCCATGCGAATACGTTCGCGGGGGCCAGTTTCGAGGGGAATATCTCAGCCATTAGAGCACTACCTGAGCTGCCGCTTGGGCAGTTCCTTAGTTAGGGCCCCAAAAGTACTTTCCACGTAAAAGCCCCATAGGTCCAGATCTGCCTGGACGCTGCCTTTAATATCCAGCTGCAGACAAACGCAGCTGCGTTAATATACGCATTAATTATCTCCCGCATAAGAGTAATATCCAGACAGCGACAGCTGTCACTGGCAGCGCTTGCCTCTCCTTTTATCCTTGTTTCCAATTCTCTTACACTATGCTAGGTAAAAGAAGCTTATGAAGGGAACAAGTCGAAGCAGATATTTTAAATTCCCATGGTAATCTCCTGCTGAAATTATCTAAATAGTTTGTATTTGACGTGGAATTTGTTCTGAAGGATTCTCAGTTCTGTATATCCTTTTAAAGACTAAATCTAAATGTTCCGCTATATTCCAGCTACAGATGCTCTGCATCTTTACCATTTACCTCCATATTGCTACTGCTACATATTGTTTCATAGAGCAGGACATTTGTCCTGTAGATTCTATTTACCTTTATCTTTTGTGCTACCTTTTCTATTATATTGCAAACTCCTCTTGCGCGGGACAGTGAAATTGTCCAATTCCATTGAAACTGTACCACGGTAGCAAACAGCAGTTTTTCTTTTTATATGCATAGCGTGATCTATTCTATGTTTCGATCCCGACATACTTGGCGACTCTCATTCAGTGGGCGTAGTGAAAAAATCTGAAATTTTAGACTATATCCTGAATTCACGCAGGCCTCCCATCGGATAAGTCTATTTGCAGATAAATCCGGACTTTTCTGACGTATCTGGATTTATCTGACAAAATTTTAGAGTAGTCATAATGGAAAGAAAAAGGATTTGTCTGTAGGGCGGACTTATCTGAAGGGTCAAGACAAAGTGGACTTATCTGTAAGATTTTAGGTTACTTGCAGGTTAGCGGCAGCGAGACTGTACTGTGCCAGGTTACAGACCATTTCAAATGAAGTTTATCATCCCTAATATATATTTGAAAGAGTAAGTACTGCACTCCGCTATGGTAAACTCGTAACCGTGCAAAATTTGGTGTGCTCATTCCTGGAAAGAAGATTCAGGGTTACGTGGGTGACTCCTTTCAAAGCAGCCCCTCGGATTGAGCGAGGATTGATCCAGCCACAAATTATGTGCATGCACCGAAATTTGAATACACGGTACATAATAAGTTCAGATTAATTTTGTCCTGCATCACAGTACTGGTTTGACTGAGTTTCGTCTAATCGCACACAACTTGAACCGCCTTGAGGTTTGATTACTGGTGTGTGGAAATGTCCATATGCCTTTGCACCTCTGTCCATCGTATCAGGGTTGTCGCTAACACATTGTTGATGGCAATGTTACCAAAATTTTGAAGGAACGCAACTTGAATGCTTCTCAACCGCTACATATTTACTAACGCTTCTTGTTAATGCAATATTAAAATATCTATTTATAGCTTCACATCTACTACCTCAACGATCTCTGCTCTACCTCACTGGATGGCTTCGAAATCTGTTGATGGTGAACCTATAGATCTTCTAGTAAGTTCTTCAATATTTGTTAAAAACTTCGCGCCGCTGATTGCATTTCAAAAAGCAAATCAGACGTAAAGTAAAAGTAAAGCCAAATTGTTTTTACGAAAAGCTATTTTCAACAGCAAAATCATGGCTCATAGGATTACGTATTTTCAGTATGAAAACTTGTAATGTCAAGAACAGTTGCTTCATTTCATATGATCATGTGTGCCATTGCACACACAGTCCACTTTGGCGTCCTCATCCTGGATTTGCAATCGCAAAAACGCAAGAGACTTACCGATTGTTATCGATTACATCAATTTGAAGTGACTAGTAACTAAAAAGGAAAGAAAATGCTAAGAACACCTTGGAAACACTTACCTGAAGGCTTGTTTCTCCCAAAAATCCAGGATGGGGGCGCCAAAGGTGAACTGTGTGTGCAATGACACACATGATCATATGAAATGAAGCGACTGTAATTCTCAGTTTTATTCGCTTATAATAGATTCTGAAGATGAAAAATCGGATAAAATAAATTGCCATTATAATTGCAAATAAAAGCTACCCTAAATGCAAATTTCGTTTCTCACGCAAGCAATACCTAACTAAATGCAGTGAAGAAAAGTTCCAACAACATTAAACCCTTGCTTTGATGAACTGCATTTAGAATATCTTCTCAAATTATGATCGCAAAAATATCGATGCTAATATAATAGCAGAAGCACGGAAACTATGTTCTCAGTATCTGAGTGGAGCGTGGAGCACTGTTGACGATTTACATTTCCTCATCTCGAAAATTAGGTGAGATAATAAATTTGCCTCTGAATTCTTTCTGGAAATACATAAGTTTTCCAGTGGAGGCTACACAAATCTGATATTCTTGTGCTCATTGGCGCCAGAGGTCACTAGCGTAGGAACCGAGCCCAGATCTGTTTTACTCCGAATTCAAACACAGTCCGATTCTTTGCAGCTGATGAGAGAAATTGCCATATTTACTGTTATGGATGGTACGATTTCAATTTCATTCTATGCAGTATAAGTCTTACAGGCTTTCACAATAGGTATTCGAGAGCTTCTATTTCAAAACTGAACATATCATTCCACAAAATATCCAAGAACTTTCGCAAATACCCTAGGTTCAGTTCTAAATGCCAGACTTTCTAGTACGTTCTAATTTCAGCACATGGATTTGGTCCAAAACTACTGGGAATTTTTCCGGGTGGAAGAATAGAAGAATTTATTCCAAGTCGAACGCTAACTGTCAATGAATTTCGCGACAGTAGGTTGGTTTTACTTGCTGCCTCAATGGCTGACAAGTTGGGGAAGGTGGAGGGGGATGACAGATTGGAAAATACTGGGAATGGTAGACATAATTTCTTGAACTGTGCAAGTACGTAGTTCAAGCTTGCAGATACGAGTAAAGTAATTTTTGCGAGCGTGGCTGTGCCATCTATTTGATTGGAGAAATTTTCGTCGTCTCCTGGATTCCCTAAAATTTCCAGACCGCTTGAACCGCATCCCTCTGTTTTCTTCTAAATGATAAAACGATGTAGCAAACGAAATGATTTCTAGTGTCGTCGCTCATCTTGCAGCTTTGACTGCAAAAGTGAACAGCATCAAGCTGCCGTTACCGAAGGCTCCGCAGATGGTTCCTATGTGTCGATCATGGCTCGCAAAGTACGTCAACAATGGAGGTGGACCTATCAGTCTGGAGAAAACGGCCGTTTATGGTGATATTGAGGTAACTTCCATCTTGGATATCAAGTAGTATCAAAGAAGTTTTGAGCAAACTACTCAATTTTGGGGAAAAAGCACGCTAAAACGAAAATTGGACGATAGATTAAAGGCTTTCCACTTTCCCGCTATTCAAGATGTACAGATTTCAGTTCCCGAAGACCCTCACCGTCGAACAATTAGAGGAAGAACTCAGTGAAATCGAGCGGTTTCTTGACAAGCAAGAATGTCCATCAGTGTTTTGTCACAACGATATCGTGGTATGTCTCATTGTACTCCCCAAACTAATCTTAAGCACCAACTGTGGTGCTGCACTGGATGGCTTGAACCGCAATCAGTTTGTTCATTCATGAAGCTTTTCCGTTAAAGGATATTCATCGACGACTGCCCCGATTCGTGCATTTACACCACCGTGGGCGTGCCTATTTGGAGCCTTTCCAGCTTGACAGTATGCTGCAGCGTGCCGGGACTTGATAACTCGCAGCAACATTGTCCTTTAGCCCCTTTTGTTGATTCAAGTATTTCACATCATTTTCTCCTTCTTATTTTCGTATTTCAGTCAGTCATTCGTTTTCCCTTTCTCTTAGGTTCTCTCGATGCTCAAATATCCTACGTTCTTCTTTGATGACCACTGAAATGTAAGGAAAAAAATTTGTTTAGGCACATTTCTTGAATTCCTCTTCCTTTTTACATGCCAAACATTCTTTTACGCAATCGTGAACCATCGCCCCGGGCAAAATTAGGTGAAAGTGTGTGCTTTGTTCATAAGCAGTGGTGGCTATCATATTTTCCTTAGATGAGGCCATCCTAGTGTTTATTTCATCACTCCTACATGGTGACCCTGCTGTAGGAGTGCTGAAGTAGTCACTTCAGTGGTCTGTCCCAGGAAACTTGTCAAATCGTTACAAAAAATTGAAGGAAACATGCAATCCCAACCATAGCCATGAAATCCACCATTGCAACTACGAAGAAGGTCATTCTTTTCGCTACTTTGCTCGCGGCGATGATTTCATATAGAAAGTAGAACGGCTGTTTGTCTGAAATGGAAAAAAAAGAAGAAAAAACAATGTGAAATGCTTAAATTAACAAAATAGGTTAAAGGACAGGGATGGTGCGAGCTACCAAGTCCCCGCGCGCTGCAGCGTACTGTCAAGCTGGAAAGGCTCCAAAGAGGCACGCCCAAGTTGGTGTGATTGCACGAGTTGGGGCAATCGTCGACGAATATCCTTTAACCTCAAATTAATCCGGCTCATGACTGTCTTGTGGCTATTTTGATCTTATGGAATATCGTAGTGGCAAATATATTATATCATTGGCGTAGGAAAGAGAAAATAGTTGAACTGGGGTAGCAAGACTATTTCTGAACTGCCATAGCAAAACTATTTGGTGAAAGATAATAATTTATCTAATGATGCATAATATTTTAGCATAATCTTTTATGACCCAACTCATATGTCGCTTTCAGCCTGCAAATGTTCTGTTGCGTGAGAGAGGACCTGATGAGGGCGATGTTATAGATGAAAGTAGACTTGTGCTGATTGATTTTGAGTTTGGCAGCTATAATCACAGGTACAATTTTGTTTTCCTTTTGCGATACTTATTCAGAAAAAATCATACGATTAGCTATCCTTAGCTATGATGTCAAGTGATTAAAGAGACTGCAAGAAATATGTTGGTTGCAGAGCCTACGAGATCGCGAATAGTATGGCGGAACATGGAATGACCTATGGAACATCGAAACACCCATATTACGACACGGATATCCGAATAATGCAAGATGAAGATTTCGCGCGAACATACTGCACCGCCTACCTGGATCAGCTGTACAAGGTGACTGCGCTGCTCGTTAGCCTGAGTCATAAATTGCTTCAAAATCTCAAACCAGATGAGGGCGCATAACCGCTTAACTTTGGAAGAAGCACATTTGTATACATCTTTGCTTTTCAAATAACATTCTTCACCTCCGCCACAAATTATACATGAGTCAGCTTTTGCTATCATAATTACAGGGGAAGGGAAATTTTGAATTTGCGCAAACAAAGGCTTTCAGTATAGACAAATATTACTTCTTTACGGTCCCCAAACTTGGCTCGGCGAAATTGGGAGTTTAATAAAGTTCGACGGAGAAAATTTTGCACAACTTATTTCCATATGAATTGCGCAGAGAGAAATCAAAAACTGGTAAGTAAAAAATAATATACTGGAAACGTCTCACTTGTAACTTCAACTAACCGTAGCTATTACTGTGAAAATCCTCAAGATCTACAAAGAAACTCCGAACGTTTTTTTTTTTCATCGAGCTGGACGTACAGTATTCAAAAAGCAAACTGAATTCGTCCGTCTCCTGTCACTTTCTCATCAGCGAATTAATTTAGTGGTAGAATTGTTGTTGAACTAGATATTGTAGATGTGTGATTACAAATTGGAACTTCATTTTACCGCTTTTGCAGGAATTCGAGACTCCCGCTAAGCTGAAAAGCCAATGCTTGTCAGGAGATCGAGAAGCCGACGTTCTCAAGTTGATAGCTGAAGGACGACGCTATCTAGGATTGCCGCACTTGTTCTGGGGTATATGGAACATCCTTTTCGCTCAGGTAGGAGCTAGATCCGTTTTTGAGAATAGGTCACAATAATTCAATTGAATCTCATGCGGACCAACGAGACGCATTTTTGAGCTTGAAAAAGTTGTTAGATGATTTCAATTAAAACAATGCAATAGGCTATACTGGCAAATATCGCTGTATCCAATTTTTATATAGGACTAGCTGGCTTACCCGGCTCCGCCGTATGTTCCGAATAGAAAATTCCATTTCTTAACCGATCCGGACCAAACTTGGCACACATACACTTCGGACCCCGGCGGGTGTCACAGTCCACTTTTCGTTATCGATCGATGTCAATTTTATCGATTTTTTGCAAAATTTGAGCTAGGGGGCTGGAATTTGGCAGGGGGGTGTAATCGAGCATGCTGATCACCCCCACGGGGGTGATCAGCATGCTCGATTACCAAGCTCAAATTTTGCAAAAAACCGATAAAATCGATATCGATCGATGACGAAAAGTAGCCTATGACACCCGCCGGGGCCCGAAGTGTATGTGTGCCAAGTTTGGTCCCGATCGGTTCAGAAATGGAATTTTCTATTCGGAACATACGTACAGACAGACAGACATACATACAGACAGACATACATACAGACAAACAGACATTCAGCTTTATATATAAGATAACCGTATCTTACAAAAGCCCTTTCACTTTCCGTATAAAATTCGGACATAGTGCTATCGAAAACTCGATTTGAAAGACACACAATACTTCTTAAGGAGCACAAAGCGCTGGAAGGTATGGACTACGAAGCGCAGTTCAAGGATCGTATAATCATGTATTTCAAATTCAAACCGAATATGTACAAATACTAAACTGTATGTATGAGTAACTGCTGGCCAGTGATATTCACATTGTAATTTTTATTGACCACTCAATTTAGACGTGATTTGTCACTTTTCTAATTCACTTTCATTGACCATTCTTTAATTTTTTTACCGTGGGTGCACTCCGCATTTTGATTCTCACCAATTTCCAATAGATCATGATCTGATTGTTCACTTTGGACTGTGATATTCTGAAAACTCATATCAGTTAAGAATATCACAAATCAATCTGAGAATTGATTTCAAGAGCGAGAGTTATTATGTAATAACGCTCAAGGTAAATAATAATTTTCCAAATAATCATGATGTTGAGAGTACATTGCAAATTTTCAAAAACTACTTAGCAGACTTTGCTCAGGTTGCGTCCAGTAGCCCATACCAGCACTGTTCCAGCTCCGTGTCGGAGGCTCGATCATGGAGGGCGCGCGCAGGTCGGTCTCGGGACGGCGCTGGCACAATGGATACGGGCAACTGTGGACGCAGCCTTGATTCCTTTATGTAGCGGTAATACAGAAATTTGAAATCATTCATTATTACATCAGTTCATAAATCATGACCCTAGGGCAGCATAATATGTATAATTGAGAGCAATTATTGTGAATGAAGCTTCACAAACCTAACAAATAAAGAGGTCAGTAATATTCACATCAGTTGAGAAGTTTAACAGGCACTGTTAACATACAAGGATATTATTGCTGGTCTATTGCTGGAGATTAAGGAACGCTCCGCGCATGTAAAGTTTTAGCCGATCAGTTGACTACCAAATGAGGATAAAGCCAAGAAAGTGGAACCTGAGATCATTCATAAGGAAGGACTGGCGAAAGCATTTACAATTAGAGACTAACGTACAACAAGACTCGGATATGAGCATCACAGCACCTCATTTTGAGCCTTTGGAAGGGTATTGAATCATGTGTGTATAGAGGACGACATTTCCAATTTAAAGGAGTCGTTGAATAACGAGGGGCTCTGTCGGAAGTCGCAGGTGTTCCGCGCCAGAGGAGACGATCGTGACTCGGTGGTGTCCAATGGAGGTTCGGAACCTCGTTGGTCGAGGTCGTAGCCGCGACTGGACTCAGTGTTTGAGCCTAAGTCATGGTCTGCTTCTACTCCAGAGAGCTCTTCTTCGCCGACACCTTCGCCGAGGGGTTTGTAGGTGCTGCCTGGAAAGTGGCGATTGTCAAAGTTTCCACATTCCAAGGCAGTGTCTAAAAAATCTTGGTACTTGGACTTCTTATGCGACTGACTGGGAAACCTTAGCTACGCGATTACTTGAACCATACTTTATGCCCTTTATTCGTGCTTGAGATATTCCACTTCAAAATCTGGTCCACCCTACTTTCTCCGTACACGTGAATGCTGATTGGTTCGCTCGGAAAGAGTTATTTCTATGGTCTGATTTTGATTCGAGAACCGGATTTTCAAGCTACGAATGAACAAATGAGGGAGGTCCGTGCTGGGTGTTTTATGTTAGAACTGATTGTAAGGCCTTAACTAAACAATGCCCAAAAGGGAACCCACATAATTTATTCGTAGCCTAGAAATCCAGCTCCAAACTCCAGACCAAACCGTATTCTTTCCAAACACGCTCTGCGTCCACGAATACGGTATAGCACGGTCTAGGTCGAAAATAAAGGTAGATTTTCTCGGTCATAAATAAATCATACGAGCTACCACGTGAGCAGACTAAGGTAAGTTGCATAAGAAATCCAGACACCGATTTATTTGGACCCTGCCTTTCAGAGGGAGAATAGTGAATACATTAGAATGGAAACTTCGACTTGAAATATCAAAACCTTACCGTATGCTTCGAGTGAATAACGCGTGTCCAGAAGCTCAATGTTGTCACCGCGAAACTCGTCCTCGACATCAGCATCGCTTTGCAAATTCCGCAGTAACTGTTTGATATTGTTGAGTCGCAAAGGAGTCGATGCAATGTGCTCTGCGCTAGTGCTTGGCGATTTTGACCAACTATTAAGTGATCTAAATCACAAGAAACGTCAGAATGCTAGAACTTGATAAAGCTGAGGAAGTTTTCCTCAAAACAAACCTCATGTGCATTGGAGAGCTATTCGACATGATCATAGCGGATTCTGCGTAAATATGTTCATGAATTCGCTCCGGAAGCACCATATCTTGGCGTCTGAAACTTAATTTAGAAATTTGACCCAACAAATAAACCATGAAATTACCCTTACCCATATGGAATCATGTGATTATTTGGATCATACAGAAGTTGACTCCCAGTATTTTGGCTTCCGCTCTCTCGTGACCTAAAATTTGGATTCCAGCGAGAGGTCAGGAATTACGAATTATGCAAATGTACAACCTCAAACTAGTCGAATCTCGCTCATCGGCCTCAGTGATACGGTTTAGGGCACCGTAAACGTGTTTATTGCTTTTTCGCCTTCGTTTTTCATCTCTAGAATGCAACTGTTTTTTTTTTAATTCAAAAATTTTCAGCTCACCTCCAGCTTGGCATACTGCCAAATTTGATAGAGCGCTGTGTTTGATCCGGCATACTCTCATTTAACTTTTCATCAGATGATGTAGGAATCTCTACGACTGATCGTCGCCGGTAGCAGAACAGCAAACAGACAAGTAGCAGCAATAGGACAACACCCACCTAAAAAATTGAACTAGTCGGGAAGTCTTCACTATAAACGGGGAAATGCTTACAAGCAGCAAGATTCCAAGAAGAGTAGCAGTATCCAAAGTTTTTCCTTCAGCAATAGATGGGACGATGACGATGTTGCGCGACTGGCCACGATTCTTGATATGAGTACTGTTTGAGCGAGTATCGCATGCCAAACCAGTCCATCCAGCAAAACAGACACAAAGCTAAATTGAAAAAAATGCCTTATGAAAATGCACAACAAACATGATCAAAAGCAATGTTGCTCAATGAAGAAAACGACAACTTACAGATGTAGTGGTACAGTCTCCATGACCGGAGCACTGCAGCGCATGATTGTTCGATGGGCAGGTGACAGGAGTGGAAACCTAGAAAAAAATTGTATTTTTCAGACAACGTTTCTTTTAGCTGTTTCCCAACCTTATTCTGAACAGAGCGCGGCATTTGGTCCTCTCACGCAAAATAACTTTGTATTAATCCATTAAGTAATATAGTTTTTCCAGTTTAACGGAATATTTACGATATAATGCGGCTAACTGAGTCATGATTAATACCACACGCATGACTTCTACCCCCAGCTTTTCGGTAACCATTGCTACCTTCTTCGCTATATCGGAAGATGTTTTTTTTTAAAAAATTGCCAATTTCAAGTAAAGACCACTATATGGGAGAATCAGAGGAATGCAGGTCTGGCGGTATTAAAATAGTTTTTGGGTTTTCTGATTTATCTGCAAAAACACATTTCAAAGCAAAAGTCAGCCTCTATAATGAATGCCTACATATGACATATGCGACATACTATTGAAACTGCAAGAAAAAAGATCTTAGGAACTGGGCTTGTATTCAACGCACTCAATCGAAGGCTGAAATGTGAGAATGTCTCAGGAACTTACAGAAGTCATTTCCACGCACGATCCAGCAACACACACTCGACCAGAGCCACAAGTGGATCCATCTTGCACAAGTCCCACATTCGTTTCAGCAATTGACTTGCACTGTACCTAGAAAAAACGCAGAAATTTCTAGCTTTGCCCTTGATCTGACCAGTTCAGTGGCTGCACACCTGTTTCTCATTCTGCTGGAACTGGAAGGTGAACGCTCTCAAGGATGTCTGCAATGGAGTGACACCACCGTCTTGACAATGCAGTGTGCCACATCGGATATGCTCCGCTTGGCACGGGCGATACGAACCGGTGCTGTCACTCGAGCCGCAATTAGCGTATTCATGACCTCGGATGTTTTGTTTGAAGCATTCGTCGTCGGCAATACGAGCTCCTAGAAGAGGTACGGGTAAGAAGGAAATTAGAAGTGCAATGGTTTCAGCACTTATAAGCCTATTTGCCTACTGCGAAAATATTTTCTGATAAACGTTGAAGCCCATAAAAGCAGTTTTGAGCAAGGTCTCTGGCTTTTAATTGTTCAGACGATTTTACGATGTGATGAGAATTACGAAAGCTGCAAACAATAACTCCCCTTTACTTCAGATTTCAAAGCAACTTTAGAAAATCCAAAACCCCTTTCCCAATCTCGTAAAGCTTGGAGTCAGCAACACTTTTTCGGGTGCACAAAGTTCGTTCCCCCCCCCCTTCCCATTTCCAGGAAACATTTCTGGGATTTCCACGCATTCTGATACCCTTCTATGCCAATTATTGGCTGATTTTCCAATCAGGGTAGGACAGCTTAGGAAAATAACGAACCTTCACCCCAGATCATTTGACACTGATTATGCGGATCACTGCAGTTACCACGCCAACACTGTCCATCGCGTCCGCAAGCGGTACCGTCGACCAGATGTCCATCCGGAGGACAATCGCCAGATTTGCCATCGCAAGTCTCGGCCACATCGCAAGGCGAACGAGCACTTCGACAGACTTCGCCAGCCTTTCGTAGCTATAAAGATTATTTGAGAGGTTTTCCCAGTAACAATCTCAGTACTAACCTCACACCGATGGCAACACTGATGATGAGCAGCGCATTGAGCATGCGCACGCAAAGTGCAAGTCAGAGGATCACAGCAGGGATCGGTGCAGGTCTCGCGAGTACCACAGTCACATTCCTCAGACCCGTCAACGACGCCATTTCCACATTCACGAAGTTGTGAGGGTTGGAAAGGCTTGTTGAGCAGACACTGCACATGGCCAGACTGCCAAACACCATGCATTCGAGCAATCGAACACTTCGAGAACTGCCAGGCGAAACGTGCTCCCGAAAATCTACAAAGTCAGTCTTTAACTCGGAAAATTTCTGGAGAATTATTTGAAAGTAGAAATACAAGGATGATGAAGTGATCATGATGACGTACCCAGGCTTGTCGTTCATTATGCAACGCTGACTAGGTGAATCCGTATCACACTGACAAGATGGAGTATCATGGTCAAGACCGAGAAGATGACCCACTGCTTGAGCTACCAATTGGCCTGTCCACTGAGCAGCAAACGCATCGATACCCTGAAGTAAAGAATGAATATTTGCCCTCCCATCAATGGTTTGTTATTTGTGAGAGATTTATAGGTTAGAAATAGCATTTCTCAAGATTTTCATCAAACTTAGAAGTAGAAAACAGGAACATTTCAGCATACATTAGAATAGTACATTTCTTTCGTCAATTATAAAATGCTGCTTCAACGCATTCTTCATCCATAAATCCGGCTGCATAACCTCAATTACAAAAAGAGGCAATTCGGAGATTATAAGCGAAAAATACTTCAGAAAGCATGAATGGGAGAAAAAGGTCACTACCGGAAAACTCATTTCCATAGACAATTTCTAGGACAAAGTACAACGACATTAAGACTTTATGTACAACCAGCATTTAAAACTCCTTAATATTTTAAGCAAGTTTCTCATCAAGTTGACATTTATATGCTAACCTGCCATCCTTATAACTGCCTGAACTGCAAAACCATCTCCCACAAAGATGTGGTCCGTCGGGAAACTATCGATAAAGGTAAAGGAAAAGGTCAGCTTTTCAGATAAATTTAGGTGGTAAAGTGAATAACAATGGTTATTTCAAGGAGTCATTGTCAAGATTTTTCTTGATTTCTTTCCTTCTTCCTACTCCTTTTGTATATTAGCATAAGACCTACCAATCTCCGCAAGTTTCCCCAACTTCGCCTTCCCAAAATAAGCCTAAGCTATTTTTCAATGACAAAATACTTGTCATTTTGAAAATTATTCTGTGCTCTGATGTACAGATACAAATCGAAATCACAAATTTTTTATTGTTCAAACAGTCTTCGGAATGAAAGTGTATGATTCAATCACTTCCTCCACAAAAAAAGTCAAGGTACTCTTTGATCCTTTTCTTTCCCTTCCCAGCAGTGGTGGCGTAAATCAAGATGTCCAGAGACAACGAAGGCGCTCTAATTCAAGCGGGCAAATTCCTGTGGGAGACGAATTAATAGCAATAACATATGGCGGCGCGGTCTACCAGCAAATCTACGCGTCAGGGAACGCAGCCGCATTAGGGTGCGCAAATCCCAGGCCACCAAACGATTTGAAACGACAAATGAACCAGTTCCAGACCATCTTTTAAGATCTATGCCCTTAGCACATTTTCCATACAAAGATCATTTGATAGGATAAAGGACAGTTTTGAAGAATAGTCCGCACAGTAAGTGCGAAAGACCATATGTTAGCTAATGGCGCAATTATGTAAACAAACCTACAGCCGCTTCTACAACCTCTACTCCCCCCCCCCTTCTTCCAATAAATCTCGACTAAAATCACTACAAATGTTTACGGAAATTCCGAACACCCCCTAAACGCAGAACTAAGCGCAGTTCGAGGTCATGCGCTCAAGTGATCCACCGAAGCATGCAAATTCATGGGCGCTCCATGCATTTAGTCAACAAACCTCATTCCCGCTCACTGTCATATATGCAAATGTGAGTCCGACCTCGGCTCAACTGAATAACTAACGGGGGGTGTCACCAACAAAAGGTCATGTAAATACCCCAATTTGGTGAATTGTAAAGTGTATATTATTGTGTTTTTCACTGTGGACCACAATAATTCAAGGCACTTCGACGACCATGAGTGCAAAACTCATAGCGAGGAAGTATAATAGTGAAGAAATTCTAAGAGTATCCCAAAGCTTTAAAGCAACGTAGAAGGATCCAGTTGCAATTTTTTATAGCCTTATGGTTTTTTTCTGAAGCGTAAAACTTTCCACAGTCAGTGTAATGACTCGTTTCTTAAATTAACGTAGAAATGTCAAGCAATCTATTTGATCTACTAATATAACGTCTATCTGAGTACATTACACCTCTGGATATTAAGCATTCAAAGAAACCACCACTGATCAGGTATGTATCACTCTGGTGCCTGCGCATTGTGATGGGACAGGGTTCCGTAAAATAGGCTTAAATTTGGACACTTACTCAAGGAAAAAAGTACCAGATTTCTGCTACCGAAGAATGGAAGAAGAAATTACCAAAAATTTTGTTCCTGGAAAAAGAACGTTTTCATTTTACTAGCAGGCACGTTCTTTCCAGATATGGAGTTTTACGGTACGATGTCGCCACTTGCGCAATTAATTGCAAAGTTCAAGCCAAACCACGGTAAGCTTGCGCTATCGTAATTATATTAATGAAAATCCTTCTACGAAGTCATTGGACTCAAGGTTCAAGACCGTAGTATATGCCAGCAAGTCCTTTATGACAGCCGATACAAATTTTTGGATAAAAAATGATAGAGGCAGAGTAGATGTATAGATTATCCCTCAGTCTTTCAGGAACCGACATAATGGGAAACAACAGTCAGGCAAAACAGAAATTGGATGCAGATCCGAATCGCTGGTGATGTTACCAACCTTGACAATCGCTGCAGCACGGGCTGTACATGTACTGCGAAATACAGAGTTGATAGCTTCGTGGTTTGCAAACGATCCACCAGTGAACAGAATAGTCGCGTCTTTCGCTAAAAAACGAAGCGATAATTATGTGCTGACGCAAAAAGAAGACCTCAAACTCACCAATGCTATAAATATGACCAGTAGAATAATCAACCACGCCGCTCATTGTCCTTTCGATGTCTTCGAAAAGATCTATTCGCTGCACATCTAGCCAAATTTCCGCGTAGACAACAGAAAGACGAACATTGAGATCTCGTGAAAACATCTGGAAAACAATCATTTTATCACAAAAGAAAGCAGAATCACTGCGGAAGATTTTTCTTTATCCTTTTGTAACTGTGTGCATTTGATATGAGCGCCCGATTCCCCAAATAAAATCCCCCTTAAGCATATAGTTCTAGCCTTTGTTTCAATCTATACTGATGTGAATATTGGTTTTAATAAAACCATATTGGTCTTTTTCTTCAGATTTGCAGAGTGCAATCTGAAGCTTAGCATTTGTCCAGGGAATATTGGTTTACACTAGATGATAAAGAATATAACGCAAACTGTTTTCAAACATTTAAAAAAATTTTTTTCCAAAAAAATGGGTGCAAGACTTGAGTTTTATCCTAATATGTAGCTGTTTCACTGTCACATTTCATCTGGTACAGCTTAATCCTTCCGCTAAACGGAAACCTCTCGTTCTCATTCAATGTTGAATGCATAAGAGCTCGTCGCTAATGGAATTGTCGGCTCCTTTGGGGCGTACGTTTTGAGAGCACCCGAGTGGGAAATGGCACCACGATCCGAGCTTTACGACGTTACTCAACCGGACGGCTTATGCCTTAGGCTATGTGTGATGGGAACACAATGAATTATTCCACTTACCAAGTCGGCGATGTTGATCGCTTCCAGCATGTACATCAGCGAGTCCTCATCAGAGTAACTGTGTTGTTTCACCTACAAAGAAACAACCTCTTATGAAGAACGAAGAACAGTCAACAACTTACATATTCATGATCTCCAACAAGTGCTAACTCTAGATACTTCGTCTGCTTTGATAGATCTCGCGTATGACGTCGGCGATGGGATCGGAATGCCTGCAAAGGTGGTCCTTTAATTTTTGTACATATGTTCCCATGGGCACAAATGATTATAAATCATTCAGTGGTGGTTCAAACGAGTAATAGCGGGTCTTGAAATTTTGAGGTTTTGTTCCCGGAATGTCAGAGGCCTATACAGGATTTACAAACACATAGAAGGAACTTTGAAAAATATCCCCACTACACTGAAAAGCATATCGCCAATCGACATGAGAAGGGAATAATCACAATGGCTCTGTACGCACAGTCGCAAAACCTGAACTTCTGAATTCCTCAAAACCTTCTGCAATACTTTGCTGCGTGATAGAAGAAGTGTAAGTAAAACGTAGAGACCTATCAAAAATTATCTTTTCTAGAACAGACTACGCTGATTAAAACATCTACTTGTTCTCGAAATCTCTTCGTTCAAAGAAGAATAAAATGCATACTACATTTTACATGACTTCTTGCTCTTGCTTCAGCTATGCTGCTTTTTTCATGGCTTTCAAATGAAGTCAAGTTTCATTTTCAAAGTACAATATTGAGTAGCAAAAACCGATTTTCTTGAGTACAATAGCTATGATCAATGGATCGCATAGGGCTAAAGGCAGGAAGTCCACACGGACCGCTCATACTTCCGTTTCTTCAAAAGATATATATTCTAATCATTAATTTGTTGACACTAGAGATCAAATTTTCAGTTACTGCTCTGAAAAGTCACTTTCACGGCAACTACTTGTTCAGTCATTTCTGTCACAGCTTTTGCATGCTTTTGACAGCTTTCATGACAACTGCAAATCACACTTCACTTTTCACTTGAGTCTATTACACACAACATCCAAGTGCCAAATTATGCAGACCTTTCCGTGCTTGATGCCTTGTTCAACACGGGGAATTGTGATTTGCATTCGTACAGATACTGACAGTCGGGAAATTGTAAAGGGACATATCAAAAATCATTAATAACATTTCCTACACCTATCTTTTCTGCGCCAAAACTCTTCTTCTCAACGTTATTGATTCTACTTTTATCAACCCCTAAACATCCCCAAAAAGCAATGAATATGGTGTTAACCCAGGGTCATAAGCAGAGTGTCCACAGCGGCTGCAATTGTCATGCAAATCCACTGCTCTGTTTGGTGTGTTCAATGAGAGCAGCATCCGCTTGTCAAACCGGATAAATCACCGCTGACAATGGATACGGCAGTCCAATTCAATGCGCATGAACAGATGTGCCTATGACTCGAGTAAACATCAAACCCCGTGAGAGTACGCTGCGCACTTCGTTTGATCTCACCGCTAAGGCGCAAAAATCAGACAGGATGGCCTTGCAAGGAAAACCTACACTGCGACGGATGACATGCTCGATTGGAGCCATCGATGCTCCGCATCTAGCTTCCTTCGTCCACTGTGCTTCGTAGAGTATGTGCGGATGTCGACGGCCTCGGTCACCGACATCAAGTGGCCAAACTCCATACGTAGAGCCGTTGGAGAACGCGATAACACCTCTGGAACAAAACACCTATTTTTTCTATGGGAAGATTCCGAATTAAAGGCTTGTTTCTTCAATTTTGAAATTGACTAATTAGTGCAATTTGAATTCAAAACTTCGATATAACTAGGAGAACAGAAAATGTGAATTGAGTGCGGAACGCCCGCAGAATATGACGTGCATATTTTTGAAGAAGTGATAAGCTTCACCCTTCTCTAGCAAGAAAACTCACAAAGACGTCTTTATGTATCAGGAACCAAAAGTGAAAGACTGTCTTCAAAAAATAAAGAGGACTATGGAGTTTTAGTTCAATGCTTAAAAAATAATAATGTGAAAAAATCATTTCGACAAACAATAACTATGAAATCTAGCATAGCTTTGAACCCACTAAGTATCAATGCACCCTCGTGTTCATGAAAACATTTCTATCAAGAACATTAGTGATTTCATATCTGACGTCAACCACCCCAGTGTTGATCTATAAGCTTATTTGCCCTTAACCGCCTTAAATTTACAGACAACACATGTTATTTTTTATGGGCTCGGTGCTGTAGATAGATTATTTGAATAGGTCCTCCTAGTAGAAAGAATCCTTCTCGTCTGCAATAAAAAAAATTCTCCAGATCTTGCCTAAGCGGAGATTTCCTCTCAAAGGCACTTCATATATTAAGAACTATGAAATTCTAAAAATAAGCGCCCGTTGCAGACTGAGCCACTCATCTTGCCAACACTCGAAAACAGGACTAATGATAGAAGAAATCTAATGAATTTACAAAAAACTCAATTGCGCGCAAGAACTATCCAAACAATGAAGCTTTCAAAAAGATTTATGAGCCAGTAATTCTGGTCAAGCCGCTTTTTCCTGAGATTTGATGAAGACTTCAGCACTGTCATTCGAAAGCTTTTTTTGAGACAAAAGATTTTTTGTTGAAATGAACGAAACGGAACCCATTAATAGTAGTGGACAACAATTAGATCGAAATTACTTGATAAATAATAAGCAAAAACCTATATTCTGTTGTGTAGTTGCACAAGTGGGAACCAAACAATGCATGTTAAACCTCACCTGCTAACAGCATTAAGACATAAAGATCATGTAGGCCAATATCAGAAGTGTCACCAATAAACAGTGTGGAGAAATGATATTTGATTTATCTGCTAGATGGACTTTTTCATACTCAGCTCGGTAAACTTCCTAATCTTGTAGAAAACATAATTTGAGCTATAAGGGCAAAAAAATATAGTTACTGGAAGAGACCTACTCAAAAAATGCGTGAAATTACCCATAAAGTTGAAAAAATCGTTTATACGGCAAATTGCAATCGAAAGCTCAGTGTCGTTCTTAAGGAAAAAGGCTTTTGCAATACAACTGACTTCTCTATTTGCCAAATAAATGATTGCGTATTGCAGTAGGTTTATATCAGTCAAAGGAAAAGAAATATCAAAGTTCATCAACAAGCATAGAGGACGTTATATGCTGTCCAGGAAACTATTTCAATACAAAAACAAAAAGTTACCTCAGACCGTTGCACGAGGAAAGCGCAACGAAAGATGATGCATCACCGGCTACCGTGCCCTGATAGTAGCAGTTCTCAACCCGTTGAGAAAATCCATGTTCCCCACTTGAATCCAGCTGAAAATTACTTTATCGAAATGATCTACAATTTAAAGCAAACTGTCGCCACCTTGCGAAAGCTAGTTCGATTGAGGAATATGAAATTGTTCCGCTCCAGTACCAGCTTTATCCGACCTGCGACATTACTTCGGATAACAATTGTTACATGTTGATAATGTTCCGCTGCTTTCAGAAAGTAGTTGCGAGTATCTGTAATTCCAACTTTGCCACGAAACGAATTCATAATTAGCAAAGTAATCCTTACCAATTCCTATCCGTTCATTCTTATCACGAATTTGGAAAGGATGAACAACCTCGTAGTCTCCGCCAGGTATGCTGGCTATGAAAGCTTTATTTGCAGAGGACTGTCGAATATCAACTGAAACAATAAACTAGAAATTCAATTATTATACATGCTTGATCACATTCCATGATTTTTTCAAGAGTTTGTTTTTATTAATTTCTAAATCAAAATGCATCTAACAGATATTAGAATAGAGAAAAAAGAGTGCATTCGAAGACCAGCATAAGCAAATTACCTGACAAGATAGTCTACCTAATGCTCGTTCGACCAATCTCCAACGAGTTCAGTTTAGCTAGATCATCTTTCTCGACTTTCATTCAGTTTTCAGATCGGACACTGATTTCATTTTTATGGGGGAATTCAATAAAATAAATCCAGATTTCGTATCAAATCACAACGTGGCTTACCCTACCACAAACTCCCCATCAGTGCTCATAAAAGCCTCAACTCCTTGATGTTTTTCGCAATGTCCATCACAACTATGACTCAGATGGAGATTTGGAAATCACTCTAAAGCCTCGCTACGCTTATCTAGCTTGTGAATCTACTACTACGGACGGATGACCACAGAAAAAGCGAGCAATTGGTCTAGCTTTTTGAAAAATGACCGAACCAGTACGCTTTCACGAAAAACAAGGCGCTGAGAAATATTGCTTATCGCCTTCTATTCGACAAAAACCGAATTACAATACCTGACTCCAGCGAGAATAAAATATGAATTTGGAAACCGGATGAGGAAGCAAAAAACCCGGTACGAATCTCTTGGGCCAGCAAGTGCTTCAGCAGATTCATTTCTCTCCAAAAAAAAATAAAAAAAAGTGACACAATTGTGAAAACCCAAAGATTAATTCTTCCAAGATTTCTAAAAAAATCCAGGATAAAAATCAAAAAAGCCGGATGAATTTGGACGCATTTGCAAGAATCTGTCGTTCAATGTAGTATGCCGCAACTCGAAACAATCGGAATAGTATCTAAACCGAAATCTGTTTGCTCCCCTGTTTAGCAATGTTACTACCTCTAAAATTCTCCATCTTCACGTACGATTCACGCACAGATTATGTCTAGTACGTGCGAACACGACACGCAAAAAAACGCCATAAAAACACACAAAGTATTCATTCTCGTTACATATTAAAAGGCTAGTACTCACGCTTTTTCAACATCTTCGTGCTAAAAACACCAAAGTTTATTATTATTTACTATTTTCGTGCAAGATAGAGTGTTCGTTTCAAGACTGCTTATTACGAATGAATTACGTCTTTCAAGGAGTAAAAAGTGTAATTGAGCGCTAGATTGAAAATGCAATGTCATTAGCGTGCAAAGAACTTGGTTTATTCTTGCGCCTTCGAAAATTCTGCACACCCGATCTGCAGACGCAGAAATAGCACTATCCACATCGTTAGCCGAAAGTTCCAAATTCTCCAATTGTCTTTTTGCAGCAAGCTGTAGACTTTTTATCTTTGGACGAGCAGATTGAACAAAGCGAGCTCTCCATTAGTGCACTACTAGTGCAAAGTACGTACTTACAATGTTCGCGTTCAAGTAGTGCGTGAAAAAGTAACCTACTTCGCTCTTTTTTGGCAGCTATACGTCTTAAGTACCTAGGCTTCTCTCTAGGATAAATCAGCAGTGAAGAGGAAGACTGGAACCTACTAGCACGCCGCACATCATGCTTAGACTTTACGGTCGGTGTACAGTCGAATCATGTTATAAAGGATGTTCGTCGACGACAGCCCCGACTCGTGCAATCACACCATCGCGCGCGTGCGTTTTTGGAGCCTTTCCAGCTCTACAGTATGCTGCAGCGCACGGGGAACTTGCAGCTCGCAGCATTCCTGTCCTATAACCTTCTTTGTCATTTATGCCCTTTCAATCCCTTTTTCTCTGATTTTCAATTCAGGAGGAATGGAATATCGAATATCCTACAAGTTCTGGTGTGTATATCATGCAGCGCTGGGGTTTAGCTACTATTAAGCCCTCCCTGAAATAGAATGGCTCTTTAACCGTTGTTTTCTAATTGTTTTTTTTTCAATTTCTAAAGTGCAGGGTTCCAAAAGGTGGCGCTATCTAAGCATGGCCTACTTGGGCCATCGGCCACAGGTTGCCAACTTTCCAGTTTGCCAGTGTTGACTTGCTGATCTCCAGATTTCATGAGAAAATTGCATTTGTTGTGATTACGCGTGTTCTTTGCATTCTTTGCTATTAGCATCCTGTCAACAACGGCAACAATCGCAAACCTGGCACTAGTTCTCGGCAACCTATGGCCGATCGTTCGCTGATATGTAAGTTTGTCGAGTTTCATTCTGGTCAGGTGAATGCAACCCGAAATTTCCAATACCCAACATAACTTGATCTAAGAATGTTCCACAAAGACGGATGCGCATTCACTTTACCAGACTCAAAAGGTTCAACAAACACAACAGCAAAGAACGAAACCCGTAAGTTACCACTGGTTATGTTCAGAGGCCGTCTTCCTACGAGAAAAAGAACTTGTCAAAAAAAATAGCAAAAAGGAGTAAAGCGAAAAATTTCATTGATCAGGTGTTCCTTTGAGCTTGCGAGGGCAATCCGAGCGGCGTTGCGTGTGTGGCGGAAATACCCATGGATGGTGCCACGGACACATACTCTAGAACTTGTAGAATATATCCAACAGGCATGAAGAAGGAGGAATAGGTGCGAAAGGAAGGAGGAATAGGTGCCTAAAATGGATTTCATAAAGAAAAAGAAATGAGAAACGCTTAAATAACGAGGGAGGTTATAGGACATGGATGGTGCCAACTGAAAATTCCCCGCGCGCTGCAGTGTACTGTAAAGCTGGAAAGGATCCAAGAACGCACTCGCGCAATGGTGTGATTACACCAATCGGGGCTGTCGTCGACGAACATCCTTTATGATCATGTGTGTCATTGCAGACACTCTTCGCCTTCGGCGTTCTCATCCTAGATTCTTGGAGAGGGCAACCCTTTCAGTATTATCTTTATGTTCATTTTCCTTTTTAAGTACTAGTGAACTCAATGTGATGTAAGCGATGACAATCGGTCAGTCTCTTGCGTATTTGCGACTGCAAATCCAGGATGACGACGCCAAAAAAGGATGGTGTGTGCAATGCACACATGATCATATGAAATGACTCGACTGTATGTCAAAGGGCGCCATAATGCTGGACATTGAGTTGACTTGAAGTTTGTAATAGGATATATTAAATAGTTGCAAGGGTTGCTCAGCCTTGATACAACGAAGTAAGTTTCAGACATAGATGTTAAAGGTCAGAAGCCCTTCAAAATGCAACTATTATCAAATTCTTAAAAATTCCAGTCAATTTTTAAACGTCAAATGAGCAAATGGCAACTGCAAGTAATCAACCCAAAGCACTGTCCGGTATTTTTTAAAGGTCGAATGAATTGGACATTTGAGTTGGTGGCCGGCAAAGAAACCGCAAAGTAGGAACCCATCTCACTCAACTACAGAATAATAATTCTTGAGGTTAAGTTCAGAGGATGAAAAAAAGCTTTATTGTCACTCATGGTAGAGCTGTTTGAGCGGTTATAAGAGTAATTTTTTGAAAAAATCAAAATTTTTGGTAGTAATTACTGCCTTGAGAGAAGAAATCATGTTATGATATCCTGAGTCATTTAGTCTACAGTCAAATGAACTATGCATAACACTCAAGAAGAGAATGAATATCTAATGAGTGTGGAAGAGTGTGACTCATATGGAGATAATAACTCTCGATCTCAAGAAAATCAACATTCAAAAAGCTTCTTAAATTAAGCGATTGTGTCATCAGCAAGATCTTACAGAAACCATGATCAGTTCCCAAATAAGGAGAAAGAAGAGTGCAAGCGAAGAAAAAACAAATACGCTGAATATATGAGAAAACAAGGGAAACACTGTTATGCCCTTAAAAATATCAAGAAATCCGAAAATAGAAATCAAAATTTACCTTTACCTCTGGTGGCGGTACAGAGCGTTTGTAAGACATGGAAAAATAACAGACAATAATGAAGAGTCGTAGTCATATTCGTAACCGCTCGAACATCTGAAAATTGTCTCGATGTTGGAGAAGGAAAACTGTCAGTAAGTTGATTGTATTACAACATTGTCTAAATGAGGACATGTTTTGAATGAGGAAATGAGAGCTTCGAGATGACTAATGACGAGTGGCTTTTGAAAAAAAAATTGTTTGACAGACAAACGCGGACAAACAAAAAGGGATTCGTGCAAAAAGTGGAAGCGGGTGGAAAAAAATTGAATGAACTGAGTCGAAGATATTGACAGGTACACAAGGGGATGAGAAAAAAATCTCATCCATTTTTGCACCGTGATTTTTTTCAGATGAAAGGAAGGACATGATCTGCAATCACAGCCGGAGACTACTACTTTGAAAAGGCTGGCGTTGCAGCTTTCAAGATGAGAATGTATGGAAAAACGACTTAGGCTGACCTCTCTCAACTATTTTTGTTGCTAAGAAGTACTCCCAAGTATTTCAAAAAAGATGGTTTCCGAGGAATACGTTGGTTGAACATCTCACCATGTTCGTTGAGTTCGCTTCTTGCGATGAAACTATGGAGGCAACATAAAAAACGGCCCAACAACGTTTTTTAAACAAAACTTCAAACAAATCCTGGACGAATACCAATACTTTTTTTCATGAAACTGAAGTTCACGGTCTCGTTCAAGACTTCACGAAGAAGAATGCATGCTAATAGAGGATAGAATCAAAGTTGCAAACATGAACCTTAGACTCAGATAATGGATATGAAGAGGAAAATTTATGAGATGACACGCAGTCTAAAAGCACTGTATACAAATATGGATGCGTCAACCATTTCTATACGCAGAATGCATGATCGCACCGCTATACGAGTCGTATCAACTCACAATGCTATTATTCGAAGGAGCAAAATATAGCTGAATGCACCTAAACGATGTTTACCTACGACAATCCATACCTCATTAGAGATGTACGAAAAGAGCTGAGTAGGTAAAGAGCAATCAATGAATTGCAAAAGATGAAGGCTAGCACCGTAAGACACGCACGAAAGAGCTAATCATCGCGAAAGAGAGGTTGAGATCTTGTTTCTAACTAAGAATCTTGAGATTTTATTGTCAAACTGGCGAACTTTTTTTCGAGTAAAGCGAAAAAAATCAGAATTGTCTTTTCTTGCTACAAATGAATTTATGATACACTGGAAAAAATCTAAAATTGCTCTTGCTGCAAATGTTTCTTTGTTCTAATGCAAATAGCTCTTAGTTCACAGCTAGCTTCAAAGCGAGCTTTAACGAATATTAAAGCGTAAGTTCACAGCAATAATTCTAATAACCATTTTATTGTTGGATTAGCATCAACAACGCAAAAAAAAAGGAAATGGAGGAAGGCTCTTCAAATCGAAAAGCGTGGTCGAATGCTTGGAGATACAGACAAAAGTTCTGAGGAAAATGACTCAATGAAACTTGAGCAGGAAAATTCGAGAAAAGCAAATGATTTTGTTAGTTGAATCACAGTTTCAACTTTCGGCTGTTCTAAATGTCCATCAAAATTTATAAAGAATTTATTATTTTTTCGGCATAGCAGGCGCGAAAAGTTGCGACTTACGGCAAACTGGTTGGACGAGAAAAGGATAAAAAGTTGACGCATGATATGATCCATACAGGAAGCTGACAAACAAAACAACCCAAGCGCTGGAAAAAGAAACTTTTATCATGTGAATATTGAAGTTTCCGAGAATAAAACTATTGTAACTGGTTTAACTTCACGCCGCAACTGCCTAGAAAAATGACCTCGGCGCAATTTCGGTGAAATCACTTCACTGCCAATGAATGAGGGTTCGAAAAGGTGATTTCCAGATCTGACAGGGGTCACAGGAGGGACAGAGGTCAGTGATTCGCCAGGCCATAATAAACCGAATCGATCGGAGTGCTGCGCACCCGCCCTCGTCAACGCTTGCCATTTCATAATGCGAGCAGAGGGGGACAGCTGAAGAGGGCGGGTGCTTGGAGAAGGGGGCTGCTCTAGGGTGGGACTCGGACAATGAGTGCTCGTTCAAAACGAGAAACGATGAACGTCCGATTAGACCCCTCTCTGACGGTCCCCGGGGACTTTCACCGTCAATCACAACGACAAATTTTCTGCAAGATAATGTGAACTCCTGATAGTTCGAGGCAACAGTGGATAGACATTGAGGACATCTGCTCTTCAGAAGCCTGTTTTAACAAATATAACTGACTAGCATGCCCTGAGAAACTTTCGGAGGAGGGGAGGAAATAGTGCGCAGCAGTTTTTTTTTTGAGTAGCGGCACGTCTGCCGTCACGCCTCCGAAGAAAAATTTATGTTCGCTCCCCGAATGTTTTGCGGGCTTATAATCACGCCAACCAGCAAAAGTTAATCTGTATTATAGTAACGCTGATATTTATTTATTGCAAGCAACAATAAGCCAACCTCCCCTGCTATTGCTACACAAGGAACAAATTCAAAGTTCCCCAACTTATATTTTCACATTCACTTTTGAATCTCTCAAACAGTGCTGCAGTTGATATTTCAGTGCAAATATTTGGCATGGATACAAAGGTAAATGCAAGATAAACTGGAATTCAGAGAGACTCTACTCTATGAAATGCATTCATATGAAACTTCCGCAAGGCAATATACAGGTGTGGAAGTGAATAAGGCGGAATAGAAAAGGTAGTACTATTCAAATCCTGTACTTCTAGCGATGGAAACGCATCGATTAAAAGTTGCGACGTCAAAAATGAACCTTTGTCCTTTTTATAGGAGGAAAAGCCTCGCAAAATACAGTGAAAGAAAAGAGTTACCTAGTAAAGGGTAATTACTTTGCTATGGAAACGAAACCATTAATGCTCAATTTTAATTTGCTGATTAGGTGGCCTGAATGTCAGGAGCCCAAAGGTGAAGGGAGGTAGCTAGTAAAAAACAAGTGAGAGATCATGAAAGTAACTAAATGAACGTTTTTAAATTGCACTGTCTACAAGTAAACGAGATTGTGAAGAGGTAGAAAAAGCTGTTTTAGCGAAGTTTTTTCAAAGCGAATGAATCAGTCCATGCCTACCTGAAAATTGGTCAATTTTTTTCATATCACATCACTTTAGCTATTCGGTTAATTTACATCACACAGAATACATGATGATTTTTCACCAACGTGGGAGAGAAACTATTCGTAGCATCACATCGCTAAGCTTATACTTTTCGTAAACCGTGAGAGCCTTCGTATTATGGTGAAACGTTCTTTGCAATATAATTTTCGTACGGTACTGTACGAAATTATGTCTACAAAGCATTTTCAGAAAGCAAAGCAATCTCATCAAACTTGAAATCAAGATATTGATGTTTTTACTGTCTTTCACGAAAGCTCCCAAAAGTGAGACTTTGAGGCTTATGTCGAAGCAGCAGATTGAAAGTCATGCATGACAAAGCAAAACTCCTCGAAGCTTTTGCACGGATTCGAAAAAGCCAAAAAGGGGAAATTGTACAAATACAATCATCAGGCAAAGCTTGATAAATTTTTTGTTGAGTCAAAGAGCACAGATGTGCTTTATACAAACAGGGTGAATCGATTTGGCAAAGAATTTTGAAACATTCATAAGCTTTAAGACAGAATATGCCAAGGCATAGAGTCGAAAGCTCAGCACGAATCAGGCACACTATGAAGCCTTACTTCGCAGACTTAGCTTATCTATTATTTACGATATCCACGACGATTATTTATGACCAAATATCATAGATCACCTCGAAAAACTCATTTTTATATAATCCTGAAGAAAACATATATAGCAAATTTGCTTTTTGTGAAGCTAAGTTCATGGTTAGCAAAGTTTCAGTTGCAAAAAGCAAGATTTTTCAGTTAGATTTGATAGACAAATGAATTCATTCTAGTGCATAGTACCGCCCAAAAATACGAGAATCGAATATTCGGCCAAGCTAGATATTCATCAACGAAGCTTTTCGAGATAAAATTTTACGAAAAGTGAAGCCACCCCATGCAATTGCTCACATTGAAGCGGCAAGTAAGATAAACCTGCTAGGCTAAATAGCAAACTGCATTCAGCAGATTGTGAAGCAGAAAAAAAGACGGGAGCCAACAAAAAGCCAGAACAATGGCTTGCAAATTTCGTATTCAACAAGTAAGCTTAGTGGGGCTTGTAATACCACTGTTTTGCATGGTGAAAGCATCAATAAACAAGAAAAATAGATGGTAATTCAAAAATACGGTAAGACGACCAATACGCATTGAGGAGTATTGAATTTTAATCATTGGTTCGAGTCGCAGAAATGCATAAAGCGCATAAAGAAAGTTACAAAAACTTCCAAGTTCCACTTTCTTTAAACCTGGGCATTGTTCGTATTGACAAAGTATTCTGTGCCAAACAGGTTTGTTAGGTGATCTTTATTAATCCAATCGAGGCCTGACGTTTCGACGCCTTCGTCTTCCTCAGAGGCCGACAGATCACCAATATGCGAGTTTCCGCACCGGAAATGATGGTCACGGCGGAAGAATAATTAATAAAGATCACCTAACAAACCTGTTTGGCACAGAATACTTTGTCAAAGTTACAAAAAATTTTTTTTTACATAATCTGCTTGTGCTCGAAAGATGATAGGTATGGAGTGAGGTCGAATGTAATGATCTCGACAGAGACAGAGATCTTAGGCTAATTTTTGTGAGAACAAAGCGGAACATTAAGTGAATGGCAAATTTGATCTAAGGTCTTACTCAAAGTTTCTAATAGTTCACCAATAGTGATGGGAAAAAACTGAGGTAGACAGGCAGCTATGAAAGGCATGCGTAGAATGTAAGAAGTGAAACTAATGAGATGTTTCACTTTTCCTATAAGAGCTAAGCCATAACTTTTTACATCATTTTATAAATTCAACTATAGGTGTTTAGCCCACATGGCAGTACAAACTTAACTGCCGAACCTCAACGCAGAAAGGAGGATATAAAGAAACACATCATGTAACTAAATCATTGCATGCTCTTCAAGACATGAATTCACAATTACCAAACACGACCAGAAAAGTCTTAAGAACCAACAAAATTCTTTTTGTACGAAGACTAATTGTCGTTAGGGGATCGTTATCTATCCAGATGTCAAAACTGTGATTTTATAAAGCTTTCGTTATTTCTGCAGCCTACGAAATATAGACTCGAGTGCAAGGAATCAAAAAAAGTTCTTGGACTTTTTCGATGTAAGCTCTGAAATGGGTAGTGAATGCAGTCAAAATTGATAATGAATGCAGCTTAAAGATGATTGCAAATTGCATATTCAATTGTGGAAAAGACATTTCAGGGAGCCTTCTGCTGATGAACCCTTCGAAATCTATATTTCAGAAAAGAAGTCGGTCCCAGTGGACATCATGGAGCGATTCGAATGACGCTAATTCTCCCGCGGGTGGTCCAAGCTGGCACGACGCCAGCTGCGTCGCGTCTTCGACGCGGAGGTGTACAAAAGTGTATGAAGGACGATGGGCGGTCTATCTCTTTGTTTTTTTCTGTCGAGAGTATGAAAAAGTTGCAAAGTTTTGCTGCAACGCTCATCGTACAAATCGATGGTGTTTCAGTGTCGTAATTTGTCGGGTTTTATGATAAATGTTGTTTATTGTATCTGCAGGCGCATCTTTTGACAGAAGTGAGATTTGATTTGAAATCTGCTCAGTCGTTTTTCACCAATATTATCACTGCAGAATCTGCTTACTTGATAAGAAGCCTCTCAACTTCTCCGTCTTTATCTCTTTTGCAAGTTTCTAAACGAAAAAGACCACATTTATGTAGTTATAGTATGTATATCATCTATAGACACTATTGTTGATGTGGTGAGTCGTTATTACTAATCAAATCGTTCATTCATTCTGCTACTGATATCATTGTCCTTCAAACAATTTTTTTGCGTGCGATAAAGTCTTAGTTTCGTTTTTTTTCTTTTTTTCTTTTTTTGCCTGCAAGAACTATAGAGAATTCGGAAATATGAGCAGCTTTAGTGGTATTTTGAGACTAACATATGAGTGAAATAGAAGCCTGAGCTGCTCTAGTTGAGTAATTGTTGGTGAAGTCACTCTTTTGCAATTCCAGAAGTTCTTTTCCCCGGTATATTTTGAAATTTCACTGTTTTTTCGCGTGTTGTAGACTTGGATTACGTGCAAATTGCTAGTGTACTGTTTATCTTGATTTTTGCAGGTATGGCTACATCTCTAGTCCGTTCAGTAGCTCGAGTGGCGCTCACACGTGGCACGGCTCTCCGAACAATTTCTACTACTCCTAACTGTTTATCCAGCAAGGCAGATGATATTATGGAAAAATGGCCAGCAGAGAGTGAGTTCAAGTTCTGAGACTTTTATAAATTCACCGCATTCATATGTTTGATTTGCAGAGTTTGACAAGCACTTCATCGATTATTTCAACAGACCAGAAATTGATGGCTGGGAAGTGAGAAAAGGTACATTGTACTTTACAGTTTTTTTTCAAGCGTTTTTTTCTTCCTTTTGATCTACAATATTATTTTTGCATTTCTTCCAATTCAATATTCCAGCACTCACCGAGCTTCACGACTACGATGTCATACCTGATCCCAAAGTAAGCTCTTTCCGTTTGCGTCTTTTTTACTCTTTTTTTTTCGATAGAGGCATGAGTAGCGTGAAGCTATCGTTTATTCTCAGTTTCGTGCTATGGCTAGTCACTAGGTGCTAAAGAGCTGCTACTATCCTCTTTGGTGATGTATCAATAATGGTAACTCCAAGCTCCGCCGGCAAAAACTCAGTTAACAATAAGTTGCACGAAGTTGGGAATGAATTACTTGGGAATGAATTACAATGGAAGGAAAGGATACTAACTTGTTTGGTCTTCTTATTGTTAGATGACTTAAAGGCTGCTGCGTGACGAAGGCGCAATGGCGATATTGGGTAAGCGTGCGCGAACGCGACGCGCGCGTATCCTCACCGTTCTAGATCCCGCAGCTTATGCGCTCTGCAGCTAATAAAGCCGCGTTCGCGCCCGAAGGTATTGCGCCTTCGAGATGCAGCAGCCTATACATGTCTTGGGATGCAGCGTGATGCGCTGATTTCAAATTTGTGTACGGTGGCTGCGGAGCAGCCTTCTCCCGAGGGGAGTTATGGGCATTTTTCCTTGCGATTTTTGCTTGCCGTGACCCAAGGAAAGCAGCCGACTACTTTTTCGATTCTAATCTACTAGATTAGTTTCAAATATCGTACAACTATCCTTTCTTCTCTAAAGATCCCTTTTTGGCACATAACGGGCATTTCCATCAATTTGAGGCATTTCGCTTATTCTGAACCATGAATCCGCAGGAAAAAAGGCTCATAATTTTCTGAGAAGCGATCAGCAGCTGTCGAAGACAGAATCAAAATCAGCGCATTGACATGCATGGAGTGGTATATATACACTGGATCCAAAAAAGCTGGATCGACCTATTATCCTTCCTGTTTGAGTGTATGATGGTGTTTATCTTATGTGCTTTGCAGGTTGTAGAAGCAGCTCTTCGTGCTTGTCGTCGCGTTAACGATTTCGCTCTCTGTGTTCGATTTTTGGAAGCGATCAAGATCAAGTGCGGATCAAGGAAAAATAGAGATGTCATCTACACATACATAATCAAAGAGGTATGCTCTTTCTTCTAGTTCTTTTGATTCATCATTATATTTTTCTGCTATAATCTTCGTGATTCATCATGAGAAACTTTGAACTCTTGTGATCTCATCGATTTGACATTGCATTTTTGAGTTTTTGATGGTACAGGTCAAACCGGTGCTGGATGAACTTGGCATTTCAACACCAGAAGAGCTGGGCTACGACAAGCCTGAGTTCTTCATTCCTGAGCCTGAGAAGTGGTGGGAGAAGAAGTGGTGAGATTTTTAGCTTACTCAGCCTGGGATAATTACAGTGACCTTATTTCCAACAATGTTTTTCAGGTACTATGACTACGGTCTCGACAAGATACCTGCTTTCCAAATTGGTAAATAAAGCTAGTGATGTAGTCGATATAAAAGTTTGTCCCAGTTTGTTCATCTGTGTGATACTGTCTGGAGTTTCGGGAGTTTTACTGTTGTAGTGTACAGTTGATTAGGGCCCAGTCTATACATGATACTTTCAAGAGTAGCTTGATCGAGCGCTATATTACTGCCTGTTACTGATTTGAGATTAACAGCATGAATTTTTTAAATTGTATCACTGCTCAATAAACCGTCACTAACATGCAACAACTGCAAATGGCACTTTCGATTGATTTTATGTTTTTTTGTGTTCAATCTTAGCCTTTTTTTTCACGTGTGCACATGTAGTCATTTTACACTATACGTCAACAAGTGATTTTCTCTGTTTCATAGCTATTCCATGTAATTGATTCTCAGCGTTGATTACAGAGAGCGAGGAAAATTCTTATTGAAAGGATACGTTGACCATAGGCTACTGAGAAAATTCAGTCATTATCATATTAACAAGGACTTAAATGTTGTTTGGAATTTCACTCAGGTGCATTGTTTCTGACGCAATTTTTGCAGTGGTGACCTTCTCACAATTTGACTCTTTTTGATTGATGATAGACAGCCAGCAACGTGAGTGTTATTTTATAAAGTGACGTTCGCATGTGATCCTGACAGGGGCATTGCTGCTCCTCTCTCACGCATCTAGAGCGACATTGAAGAAGTCAGTCTTTTTTAAACTTTTAACGCCATCCGTGTGCTGCAGTAACCCTGAATCTTCAAACGTATGACATATCGTTCGGAACGGCTTTTCAAGCTCTTCTTAACGACTATTTAAATGTGCAGAAAATCTTTATCGTTTCAACTGAAAAGGGCAGATTATTTGAAAAGTTATTTGGCGTAGAATTTTGGACGAAAAAACGCTTTTGGCCCATAATTTCATGCATGAAGAAAAAATTAATAAATCTTGCATGGGTAGAGCTTTGAAAGCTTTATCAGAAGTTAACCGACAAAGTGAGCAGAGATCACCTTGATGATAGAATGCTATTTTTGTTGCGAAGCGCTGGGACCATCACACTATCTGGATTTGGTGACGATCCGCTCACCCCTTGCATCAAAGATATTTTCGGTATCCTCACTTCCTTTAGTTCTGCAGAGGTGCTTGAGGTTCGAAATTACTGGCAGTAACAATAAGCTTCGATTTTCAGGTTATGTTTTAACGCCATGCATAACTATTTAACCTCGATCAGAAAGTTTTGATATGTACTCTCCTCCAGAATTATGTATCCAGTCAATTTTTTGGTTCGAGAAAATGCATTTATTCTCTTGCTGCAAAAGAAAAGAAACTGAACCCATATCTGGCGCAGTGCACGAAAATGGCGAAGATGAGTATTTCGAAGCCCTCGAAATTTTAGGCTGCGCTATGATAATCACCAAATTCTCTGTTGACCAGTATGAAAAGTATCTAAGCACTGTGGTATTTGGTCCTGAATGGTAACCTTCGTGATATATTTCTTTTTAGTCGCTTTTTGTGAACCGTTAAGAACACGCTACACGATTTAAGGTCGAACACACTGCTAATTTTCTTGGCGCACACATTAACCACTTTGCTGATTATATGGGCGCGGTGAGCCACAGGCGGCCCACACACTTTTCGAGCATTTCGATGATTTTGTAATTTTCTCTGACCCCCTGAGACGAGTTGGTTTCCCACAAGCAACTCTGCATGCTTTGACTTTCCTTCCAGTATTATCTTGAAAGGCAGACTTCTGAATCATAGAAATTTCATGCTCGGTTACCTGATATATGTGCTCAAATAAATCCATAACTAGAATTGATAAGATTAAAAATAAATATCGCAATCAAGCATTGCTCATTTTCTTATGATCAAAATTGAGATGATAAAAAAAAAGACGAGAAAATATATAAAACAGAACACCCTTACTCTTTGGGGCTGCTCTTTACAATAAAACTATAGAGATTTCAGTAGAATTGTAGGCTGACTTCTCCCACTTTTGAATCAAATTGCGCGTCTATTCGAATGGTCTCTTTTTGTAGAAGAGATGGAGACAGTAGATAAACTCCCTGTCGCACTCCTTCGTTCCAAGCAGGATTTCTACCTGAAACAGTCGTTTTCTACTTCAACAACGGCAAGGTAAACACTAACCTATCTGTGGCTCATGTCTGGAACCAGTAGTTCTGATATAGTTTCCCATGTGCCATTCCATCCAAAGAGGGATTCCGTTAGTATTGTGACTGAAACAATAAAAATCTTAGAATTACTGCAATAATAGATAGTTTTGGCATGAAGCAATTCTACATCTTTTGTGATTTTCAATGAAACTGAGTTTAGCGACAGCATTGGCGAATAGGGGTGTGAAAGCTTGTACCATAACGAGTACGCCATTAACTTGGGATCTCCTTCAAAAACTGCAAGGAAGGAGCTTGCTGCATAGTTGAACTCTTGAAGAGCTCTTTCAAATAATTTCTAAACAGCAGACGATGGCAAACTTCAATGTAAGGAGAGGGCTGGAACAATTCAGCGCTGCTTGAAGTTGTAAGACGGGGAGCAAAATGCAGAAATAGTAACCGGGCCGAGAAGCCTATGCTATTTCAAAGAGCTTCCAAAGCTTCCGAAATTATGTGCAGCAAACCCTACTGCTTGCAGTTCGTGAAAATGACGTGATTCTGAAGTATTGAATACAATCTTTATTATAGCTGTTATCCAAAAGATTTAGGGTAAAAGGATGGGCTCCACCAAAAATTTTTCACGGCATTCCACGCATTTCTCGCATCGCATTTCGATGCAGGGATGCCTTCCGGATATGGTACGCATACGGTAGCCGTATTTGTCAGTTTTATAGTTGTAGGTTATTCATAACTGACTGATAGATTAAATATATTAGCTGCTGTGGTAAAACTTTCCTACAGTATACCCGCTGCATCTAAGTAAGCACGCACTTCTATATTCGGAATATATACGTCATCAGCTGAGTTGTTTCTTAACCTTGTCAGAATTCGAAAGCGAAAAATGGTGAACGAAAATTCGGTAAACTCCGGGAAGACCTTTCTTCTCACAAACTTTGAACGGGTTGTATATCATCAGTTTTCAGCGTTCCCAACAACTTTTTTCTCTTTCTCACACTCAGACAAGCGCAGAAATGCTTACGGTAGCTGGACTTCCATGCTCATATGGACGTCATGTGGATCTTGATCCAGATCAAATTGCAGCAACTCGAACTTTTCGCTTGTGGCCACGCCACTGTACTCCCACAGCGGATGATTGTCCACTAGTGGAGTCGTAGCTTTTCGTGCTTTCTGTAAGTTGACTAATGTTAAAAAACTTCCTCGTGAGATAGAAAACAAATGCACGCTTACTTGAGACAAATCATCAAACAAAGAGAGATCGAAACCGTTAACTATTCCAACTGGGGCAGCTGTATTTTGGAGGTGATCGAACCTCTCACACAAGCCATATAAAATGGCTTTCTGAAAGAATAAAAATCTGATCTTTAGTTCACAAAGAAATGCCAATCTATTAGGTTGTCAAGAAAATAATGTCCGTTTTTATTTGCTTGCTTTAACAAAGCAACCAGACTCAACCCAACAAAGGGTAAGGAGTACTGTTCGATAGAGCAAAGCAAGCTCTACAAGATGGCACTCATGTCTTTGCGCCATGCTTGATCCACGGAGAGTTTGAACTCAAAATCTAAAGAATTCCAAATGCCCAAAAAATCGAAAAAAATCAGATCTTCGTTCAAATAATTTCTACGGACCTCCCACTCGCTCACATCAATGGTATCGATATCTAATATCCATATGTGCGATTGCCGTATTTTTTCCTTGACTAGAAACTGAGAAAACGAAAATTTCCCTGATTTTCTCAAAGCAATGCTGAGCCGTTTTTGCATATGTAGTTCTATACTACAAGCCTAGGTAAGTATAACTGTAGATTTTCAGCCCATACCAAGCGGTAGTTTTCGAAAAATTACGAGTTCGGATTTTTTCGTTTCAGTTTCAGTGCTAAAATCGACATTTCTCGAAAAGTACCGCTCGAAATAGGCTGAAAACCTACAGTTATGCTTACCTAGGCTTGTAGTATAGAACTGCATATGCAAAAACGGCTCAGCATTGCTTTGAGAAAATCAGGGGAATTTTCGTTTTCTCAGTTTCTAGTCAAGGAAAAAATACGGCAATCGCATAAGTGGATATCAGATATAGATAGTATTGATGTGAGCGAGTGGGAGGTCCGTAGAAATTATTTGGACGAAGATCTGATTTTTTTCGATTTTTTGGGCATTTGGAAATCTTTAGATTTTGAGTTCAAACTCTCCGTGGATCAAGCATGGCGCAAAGACATGAGTGCCATCTTGTAGAGCTTGCTTTGCTCTATCGAACAGTACCCCTTACCCTTTGTTGGGCTGAGTCTGGTTGCTTTGTTAAAGCAAGCAAATAAAAACGGACATTATTTTCTTGACAACCTAATACCTGCGGATACACTTTGATATCACTTCCTAGAGATTTTCGCAAGGACTGAACGTCGTACCAGAAACGAAGATTTTGCCAAGGGGTCATGGCAGATAGGTAAAAAGGTTCAGCAGTAATCACATCGTGCTGAAAAATAAAATTGGAAGATTTGTGGAAAAGCTAAGTACACATCTTTTGAATCACGTTACCTTTTGTACACGTTGTACTAAATATTACTAAATAATGTGTCCTCCGTTTCATAGCTGGTAAAGTTATCGTAATCTCCCTACTAAAAATGTATCGGGAGATTCTAAAGGTGGCATACAAAAGCTATACAAACGCGAAAAGAAATGCCAGTATTTCCCAAGATAGATAAAATAGAGTTCAAGTTACTTTAATAGAAATATATTTCATGGCCTGTGAGTTTGCTAAAAATTCTGAAAACATCCCCCAAGACCTTTTCAAAACCTCATTACGAACAATTCCGTCGCCTTATCCCTATTTTGGGAAAAAAGTATTCGGAGAGCAATGCTGAAAAGTGTTTGATGAATCGGAATCGTTGAAGAGTAGAGGACAAAATATTGAAAGAAAAATGTTTTAAAGTTTCACAGTTCAAGAAAAAACATTTTGAGAAAAATCCGATGTGTGCGAGCATAAGCACTCAACCACATACATTTTTTATTCAGATCGGTTCTCAGAATCCTACAAAAGTCAATGCATCATTCAACAGTACTAATTTTATAGAATAAGAATAACAAACGTGGTAGTTTCTAAGAATATTTGGTATTTTTTTATAGAGAATCCGTGGTAGTCTTTGAATGTTTGCTATCTAATTGCCAAACAGAAAAGAAGAACTTACTTGACCAGAAACCTCAGCCGTCTTTTCCACAATGGTTACATTTGTAAAGCTGTAGTACGAGATATATCTGAAATAAGCAAGTTTAAGAGAGCACTAATAAATATCTGAAGTAAAAAAAACAGCAAAAGTGCAGAGCCATACCTCTTCATGATATCACGGAAATGGGAGTTCGAGTCAACAATTGTCACTGATGTCGCAACTGGAGCTACAAGCAGGAAAAGAAAAGAGCCCTCACCAAGTACGATAACTTTGCGATCTTTACAAATCTGAAAGAACAAGTCCGACAGACTGCTACTTGCTAGAAATAATCTGTTTTCTCATTGACTGCTGACTGTAGGCGCGAAGTGAATTTAAGAAGTGGTGGAAAGCAAAAAAAACTCCGAAAGTTCTTCTCGCTGGGCTGATCAGTTTCATCAAAGAACGGTAAAAGATAGATCGAGTCATTGAAGAATAAAAACTGATTGCATAATTTTGCTATCACTCTATTAGGTTTTCCCAAAAGTAGACCCCTTTTCTAAATAAATCAAGCTGTTTTTGATTTCCAACAAACCTAGAGTACCATTCGATAGGCAAAGCAGCTCTACAAATTGTACACCTAAGTGATAATCCAGGTAAAGTTTGGAACCAAAAACTAAAATCAACTACCCTAAAAATCGGATCTCCTTCTAGAAAAATCCTATGGACCGACTAGGTCATCATACGGAAACATATTAGTATTAACAACTATTATTGCGAACCCGTTCCTCCCACATATGTGATTGCTGCAAGCCTTACTAAGCGTAACGTCAAAATCATACTGCCCTGACAAGCGAATAATAGCAAGTTTGGCATTGTAAGAAAAGCCCAAAAAGTGACGATTTGCATTTTTCGGGCCATTCTTGTTTCGTAATTTTGGGCCCAGGAAAAAAATCCAGATTATGAGTATGATATGTCTACTGTATGGTGAGCAAGTTGGACGTCCGTAGAGATTTTCCGTAAGCAAATCTGACTTTAATAACTGATCATTTTTTGGTGGTCATTTTGCAGAGCTTGCTTCGCTCTATCGACTGGTACCCCAAGTCTGCTAGGAAAAGAAATTGATTTATTCAAAAAAAGTTCACTGCTTAGGACAACCTAATAGACTGATTTTATTAGAATCCACTTCCAAGTCTCCTCTTTTTCCCCCTTGGAAACTAACAATTTCAGCATTCCGAACTGATTCAGTTCGAAAGACAGAAAGACTCACAAACTCGATTTCCTTGCGATATGACTCGTTTTCAAGTAGTTCGTTCATTGCGAATATTGTTTGCCTAGTTGCTATTGTATGCAATTGGCAGTTACAGTAGACCCTTTCATATGAACTATAACAGATCTACTTTTTATGTCAATAAGTAACCGGTCGGAGTATGAACCTACTCCTCTCCTACGCAGAACCACATGCTGAACTCGTCATGACTACATTTCAAGATGATTTCCTCATCCTTCTTCACATGTACACGATGAGGAAGATAGTAGACAGCTTGCATCCAGTGATCTCGCCACTAAAAACAAAACTACAGAGTTGTGCGATTGCGAATGTTATTAGAGAATTGCTTATTTACAGCAAAAATTAGTGGCAGGATGGCAAAAGATATATATTTTGTAAATCCATGAAATTTATTACATCATAAAGTGAACATTGCGTACTAAAGTTTTCTGAAGCATTACTGCTTGCTCATACTGAAAGAGTTGGATTGATCACCAGATATACGATCATATGAAAGTATAATCTGATTTTCCTCGTTATCTCAAGCAATTTTCTTCATGCAACACTAATTCATCTCGAGCTCTTACTAGAACTGATTCGAATTACAGAACGTCAACTGACTCGATATTTGAGTATTGGAGTTTTGAAGTCGGTTTGAAAGCAAAATCACAACCCTTAAGACTCACATAGTAAGCGTCACTTGCCCACTTTGGAGCCATATCAATCCAATATTTGCCAGTTCCATCCATGTCCAGATCCCACCTGATAGTATCAACCTATGCAATTTTTCACAGGAATAAAAAAGGCACTTACCACATAAGTATTGCATCTATTCGACCACTCTCTGTACAAGTTAGAGCTCTGTCAAAAGACTCGTCATAAATGATTGATTCCGCAGATTCAAAGTTGAACCTGAAAAGAAGCTTACCGAAGTAAGATACACACAGATACGATGTAGTCTACAATAATAAGATGCAAACTTGTTTATGTACAAAAAGCGAATTTCATAACTGTAAAACAATCTTAAATGACGACATAACTTCCCACATCATGCAAAAAATTGAGCAATTCTAAATTTGTGTGATGTACACTTATTTTAAATAATAACATATGTAAAATGACATCCTGATTTGCTTCAGTTGCTATTTGTCACGGGCAAAAATCTGCGCTTTAATTTTGGGAAAGTCTTATCGTTATGGTAGGTGCCAGAGTAAGCGAATATTTTGTTCACGTTGGGGTCCCGCGAAGAATTGACGTCACTTGGATTGACGCCAGCATGGTGAGAGACGCCAATTCTGCGCGGGACCCCAACCTGAACAAAATATTTGCTTACTCTGGCACCTACCTATGAGACAGACCACAAAACGCTTATTGTAGCGAGGAGGTTCATACTACGCTTGCGACTGCATTTACAGTAAATGATGACAATAATTTCTTAGATTTTGCAAAAAATATATTAGGTCGTTCCGAAAGTTCTTTCCGTTTTTTCAACCTATCATAAAAACACGTGGAATGAAGGTAGAGGAACGCTTTAGGCACTGTCCGACGCAGCTTTTCTTCCTCTTTTCAACTGTCGTATAATTGTGCTGCTTGCTCTTGCGGTCAGTGAGATAATGACCGAAATTTCGCACCCATAGTATTTACCATGTCCAAATTTGGCAATTTTTCACAATCTTCTTTTTTGACTTTTACGAAAGCTTTGATAGCAGTCAGATAGAGCAAGCAAAGTGCAATTTAATGCAATTTTTCGCCGTTTATAGCTAGCCTTAAAAATTTTTGAGAATTATTTTTCTGATGTTATCAAATTCCACTTTTGGGGACGCCAAGAGCCATAGAACATAAGACGGCGCACAACTAAGGTGTCATTCGATGCAGCTTTTCTTTCTCTTTCTACTGTATGTATTTTCTTTCCAATTTGCGAGGTCTTTGGCGATAAAGTTTCCATAATTCTTGATTTTGAATCCGCCCCAGCCTGTACACGTAAAATGCGAAACCTTATATTTACGAGCGGTAAACGCTCAGTTGCTTTGTGAAAATTGTGGGTAATCGTAACTGACTTTAAAAAGCTTCAAAATCCGTACACTTGCCAGTGTTCGGGGCGTTTCTGTATTTTGGAACTTTGCAAAAGTGAAAACTTTTGGAAAAATTATCTCAAAAAATACTGAAAAGCCAGCTGGATTTGCCAAAAAAATGTATTGCATTGCACTTTGTTTACCCTATTTGATTGCTATCAAAGCTTCTCCGAAAGTTGAAAACGAAGACTGTGAAAAAGCCAAATTTGGACATGGTAAAAACCATGTGTTCAAAATTTCGGCGATTATCTCAGTCATCACAAGAGTAAGCGACATGGGAATGTGACTGCTAGAAAGAGGAAGAAACGCTGCGTCGGACAGTGCCTAAAGCGTTTCCCTACCTTCATTCCACGTGTTTTTATGATAGGATAGAAAAACGGAAAGAAATTTCGGAACGACCTAATATATATAAAATTATGAAAAAATGTTCAAAAAATTCAAGGTTTAGGAGAACATAAAAAAAGTTGATCTTCCCAAATTTTTCGACGATTATTACTTGACACACTTTGTTGAACAAATCTGTCTACCCCTCCGAAATTTTTGTGGCTCCGCTGATTTTTGAATGTCTAGAGACTATCACATCAAACATAATATTTTGATGAGTTATTGATGTAGAACATTTTGCAAAAGACTGTTTTGAAGCACAGTTCGGGGCATGAAATGCACCAATAGTTTTCGGGAAACAAAGCTTTTTCGTTCCAAGCAGTGCATCCTAGTTTTTTCTTGCACGATGCAAAGCACTTTAGTGCTAGAAACCTGCTGAGATTATATGGTCTCAAAAGAATGCTTCAAAATCACTCACGAGAATGCTAAAGTAGGTTCTGCGAGTCGGGTAAAGTTTGCTGGAGCGACCTGCGAAAGCTGCACATCGTATACAGCCGCAGTTCCTGGGCATTCTCCCAAAGGTTGATCACCCTCATGAAGACACGGTATGCGATTGAATTTTGTCAGAAATTCGCTCTCAACAGGAACCACCCACACTCTACCACGAGAGGGGACAACTCGAGTACCTTCCTAGATGCGGGATCATCTTAGTAAAATACAGTGCTTCAGCCCAAACTAAAATAGACCTGAACGAGATTTTGCAGGGCCTCCTTGAATGTCCGCAGTGCCCCCTCTCCAATCAACTCAGTGTCGAAAACCTGAGCAGAGTAATTTGTGCAAATAAATATTCATGAAAAATGTATCACACTCACTTCTGCTACTATGATATTAGGCTTAGCTGTTAGGAATGTGAGTTCTGTGGATCTCGTTGATATCACCTAAAAATAAAAATTTGCCCATTCAAATGTCAAACGTAGAAAAACCAGTAAGAAATCTGCCATTTCATTCGGACGCTACCTAAATGGGTGTATGTGCCAAATTCAAAACACAAGAAGTAACTGTTATTTGTGCTTCCGCTCAATTATGGGTTGGTGTATACATTTTCTTCACCAGGTGAAAACTAACATCAATCTTATCCTTCCACCGACTAGACTGTATGATAGATCGTGCACATTCAGCCATTGGCTGAAAAACTTCCAAAGCCGTAACTTTGTCAGCTCCTTCTCGCGCAGCCATCAGTGAAAGGAGACCCGTTCCAGTGCCTGAAGCAGCACTTGAATATTTGTAAAAGCAACAGAAGATATAAAACCTATGTCAAGAACATGGGCAGAAAGTGACTGCGACTTCTTTTCTTGAATTACTGATCGAAGGCCGGCCAAAAACATTTCGTTGCGATTATAATCCAAGATCATGTCCGCGAATCTACTGCTGAAAAAAGATCTGCTATTCTAATGAACCATTTTAAGCTGAAAATATGGCTTGACAGTAACCAGTTCCGTTTAATTTCATGGAGGGTGAGAACAATTTGATTTTAGACTAAGGGCCGCATGCACTAACATCCCTGCGGCGAGGGCAGCGGCGTCCCCAATGATGAAAAACCCGCAGCGGCGTCCGCACGCGGTCCCTTCATAACGGGGGACGCCGCTCCCCTCGCCGCAAAAATGTTAGTGCATATGGGCCTAAGAAATACTTCACGAGATTTGCGCCAAATCTATTTGACTCCTCATATTTCTTGTCTTCAATCATCTGATATTTTGAAAACACCACATAACTTGAATCCATTTTTCTCAGTGTAAAGCAAAACAGTGAGATCAGAAGATGTGATACAAGTTCAGACATCATGTTATTATAGGCAGATCATGTTAAAAAAAAATTTTTTGTGAAACGCTTTAATGGTAGCAATGCTCAAGTCTTTTTCTGTTTCTATATTTAGCGAATCAAAAGTACAAGATTCTAACTTTTCCACATAAACGAAAAATCATTGCATCCTCATTAAAAGCTTCATGCTTATATGTACGGTAATCCCAGATACAAAAGTAGTCGGAAGAAAAGTCCTATCAGACTTTCCTCGTTTTCTCTGGAAAAGTCTCCTAGATGAAACAAATGGCTATCCGTAGGCATCATTTCTCTTTTGCGGATACTAGTCACAGTAATATGAAGGCGATGCTTTGATGGCCTTCAGCCCTCATTTTTCCTTCATTTCAGAAAATTGTCTTTATCTCCTTTTCATCTCTTAAGTTTTTTTTGGAGATTTCCCGGAACAGCAGTGGCAGTACGAAGGCATTTCGGGCTTTAAGGTCTTCACTAACGCCAACTTAGAAAGTTTGCCAATATTTCGGAAACATTCTAAAAATTGTGTGACACGTTATATCGAAAGGCTGCAGTCCTTCATGTAATCTGACAATGGTGAATTTTTTTGATGTCACAATTTCTTTCCTTATGGTTCAGAATATTTTCATCCACAATAACTGCAAATCAATGAGAGACAATCTGACCTCTCCGAAGAAATAACATAGTAACATATTTTTAAGAGGGGTGAATTAATTTTTTGATAGAAGTTTGCTCCGCCCCTACCGTCGCACCCGCTTTCACGTCAATCCAAAATATATATAAATGGCAGTGACGGACCGAGGGAGAGGGCGCCCCCTTCTCGAGAATGGGTCGCGAAATTTTTGAAATTTATTACGTAGATTAAAAAAATGTGCAAGCAATGTGTTTCTTTTTGTAAACAATTATAATAAATAAAAATTTTTAAAAATTCAAATTAGCCCTATAAAAACATTTTTTCGGGGACATGGCTGAACGACGCCCCCTTTTTCCAGATAGGGGTTGGGGACCCGCAAAAATTTCGAGAAGCACCCCTAAGATTTGTTCGGAGTGCTTTGCCGCCCCCCCCCGGACGGAAATCCTTGGACCGCCACTGATAAATGGATATGAGTAGAGACATGATCACACATGCCTCACGCATCATTTATTCACGCATTCGTGCTGCTATCCAGTAAACACAGATACGTCTTTAGTGATTAAGTATAAATCAAATTCAATATCAGAAGCACCCAAAATAGTCTTCATTCAAATTCTTGCATGCTGCCTTCACATGTAGGGAAATACTGACTACGCCAAATGCGTTTCCAGTGAGGAAGTTGGACGCTTGGCCTATTTCATCCTAGCAATCAGCAACTGCTACGTAAGCCGTCTCATGCCCAAACGAGGTACAGAATCCGAAGAGCCATAATCTAGAGTGGAGCTGAGTCGTCAATGAGCAAAATAAGGTTTGCGTGTATTCTTTACGTGTGATAAATTCGATACTTGCAGTTTTTTGAGAATAGAATGACGAGAAAAGTGGTTTTGTTTTAAGAAGTTGGAGGAAACCATTCAATTCCCGACCAAAATTGAAATCACAAGCTGATTGATCTATCCGCATCTTCAATGGGGAGTTATTACTTCAATCACTGCATACCAGAGGCGGATCGGGGGGGGGGGGGGGGGAGGGGTGCTTCCCCGAAAATGGGTCGCAAAATTTTTGAAATCTACTTACATGGGTTACAAAAATGTGCAAGTGACTTGTTTCTTGTTAATAATCGAAGTATTTTCTAAAAATTTTGAGATCCAAATTAGCCTTAAAAATTTTTTTTCCGCCCCTCTCCCCTCGGATGGAAATCCTGGGACCGCCACTGCTGCATACCTATATAGTCCCTTAGCAGTGGGGATAAATGAGGCTGCTTTCAAAGCCAAAGAAACACCCACTATTGCGCACGAGCACATCGGGCGGAAGAGCTGTTGATTCTGAGGGTTACTGCAGGAGACTTTTACCAGGGCAGATACAAAATCCAGCCTCAAGTCGCGATCGTCAAAGTAATCCGTAGTCTATCCTACCAACTTGTTCCAGTGCTCATGCTATCCGCTCATAAAGATCATTCGCTCCTATTATGCTGTTGAAGCAAACATTTCTCCACTTTGGGTTCTTTTTTTTTCTGGAGAAATGATTAGCGATATGCGCGATAAGCAGCCAACGGAAGAATTGGGCCACTTTTTGCGTCGCAACCAGCTTTTTGGCTTACTGACATAGCAATTCCGTAAGTGGTAAGAAAGTGACAATGATCTTATCAGTGTGTTTTAAACCCCGCACACGCATTTTAACGAATGCGGTCTAGTCTAGCGAGTCAAATATGGCGACTGTGCGTGCTACCGAGCACCCACACATCTTTTTAACATGTTGACGACCGCGTCATTTTGGCCGAAACTCCCACTAACGTCCTTCGCTCATTTGGCCCGTGCCTAGGCGCGGATGCACGAAAACATTATGTGGGAGTCTTTTTGACACTTATTCATAAAAAAAACGAACTTTGTTCAGACATACAGGTATATCACAGAGCCTTATCAGGACTTACACAAATCAAGGTTTTTGTATCGATTTTCCTTCAATAAACCATGCAACGGCTATTCTGAGGAATCCCTCTTCGAGAAAAGCGTTGTAATACCAGGTGTTTTTTGCCTGATTCATCTCTGCTTGATTTCAAAACAGCTATACAAAGTTTTCACCTTCTCGGAAAAACGTACTTAGCATGAGTTGACTACATCAAAAACGGACTGATTACCCAATTTTGCGACCAAAACTTTTGAACAGCTGCCACGATGCCCTGTGTTCTGTAAGATAATCAGGCCATTAGTAGTATTACTGCATATAAGCTACCTCAAAACTTTTCGTTTGCACCTAAAAAACTAGCGTGCATATGCGCGGATGCAGGAAAATGCTAAACGGGAGTCAGGGGGCCTAAATGCGGATGGAGGGCGTGCAGGAGTTCCTAGCACCTTTTCTCGCACCATCCTCGCACCAGCATTCACACCCAGGAGGGTTCTAGCACCTCCGTGCCTCAGAGGTCAAGCACCGCCCATTGCTCCACCCAATTATTGGTCTCATTGTGAGGTGTGCAAGCAGCGAGAACATAGATTCAGGTACTAAGCTAATGAGAGAGAAATGGAGAAAAACGAGGAACATAGTTGTCATTTCCCAAGTGAGGCGGCTTGGAAACTTCTGCCACGCCATCCTTTTGAAAAAGGAGCATTTAATCATTATTTTCAGAAGAAAAAAATCGCACAGAATTTTTTGGATAGAAAATCCAGTCATTTGAAATATTGGAGGACCTGGTTGATCAATTGTACATTCTAGTCATCTGATTGAAGTAATTTAGCATCAGGAGTTTGAGAACCCAATTACCTTCCCAACATTAAGACCTATTTCCAAAAGTGTGTCAAAGTTCCCGAATAAGCAACTGAACGCTTCTCAAAGAGGGTATCTCAACACATATACTTTTCTACTTTTGTCTGCCATCATCCGAATAAGTTTGCCAATTCCTCTAATGATCAATAAGATCCAAATTATTAAAAAGAAATTTTCAGGTGTAGTATTTCCTATCGGTGTACTAGAATACCACCTTCGTCGCATAATCGAAGAGGTGGCTATGAGCTCCAAATACGACACTAAATTTGCAATCTATGGTAATTCGCTATATTCTTAGATGATTAGAGCTTTGAAATTGACTTAGTTCTCTGTTATATTATATACTGTGACTGGAAGACTCATAACTTCTGCTTGATTTATATTAATACGATATGCCTCACAAACTTACTCAAGCGCGATTACGAGTTTTCAAGGAAGCGTCATTTTAATCGAAAACATGAAAATAATTCGAAGTGCCGGGATTCAGCTGCAGTTATTAACGGATCTAAAACCTATCGAAACCTAGATTTTTTTGTTTCTCAATTGTTTCTATTATCCTCATATCCAGTGAAGCACGCCTCACAGTGCGTGTAAACATTTTAAAATGAGGGCACCTAGAGGGAGGAGTGGTAGGCGGAGCCGCTCTTTGACCCTGAGAAGGTGTGATGTCCTTCAAGGAATTTCTGGAGGTGTCAAGTACTCCTACAAGGAAAAGCGGCTAGGCTTTGGGAACTCCTGCCACGCCGCCCACATGATCATATAATTGTATCAGGGGCCTAGACCTGCTTTTCCTATCGCGATTTCCTAGATTTGTAAAGCTGACGCTGGTATCCCATGCTAGTAAATCTTGAAGGTCAACCAATAGCATTCGAAGACAGAAGTGGAGACGGAACCTTTAACCCGTTGACGACCTTGTGTATCCGCATGGGCAGCGTGGCAGGAGTTCCCTAGTTATTTGTTGGACAACCGAGGATCTCGGTTGTCCAACAAATAACTCTCCTCGAATTAGCAGAGATGGACAGCTATCGTAGTAAATCATATGCTTTTTTGAAATTGTGACCATAATTGAGATTTTGCATCTGATACTCAATACAACCAATCAACCTGTAGCTCTAAATAGCTATGTTTACCAATTATGTTTCTCACTCCTAATCAACTCCAATTTTCCATTGTCATTTGTACGCTCAAGGCATTTCATAGAAGAAATGCAACCTTGCTCGAACAAAACAGCTCTTTCTAGCAAATAGATCTCATTGAAAATCGTTTGAGATAAGAAAAATTTACGCTGCTATCTCCTGTGCCAAATCATGGTTTTCTTCAGCCACCTCCCACTCCCGTTCACCCGTAATGTGGTTAATTTTCTCCAGAAACATTGCTGAAATTAGTTTTTGCTCAACGTGGGGAGCGAATAAGCCTTTTTTTCCCAAGCAAAGGATTTTGGAACAGAAGGGTACCACCCTAACTAACCCAGGCACCAATTATTATCAGAATTTATTAGTTTACAGAATGGCAAGCAAGTTATTTACAATGTCAACTCAAACAAGTTTTAGTTTTGCTATAAAGCCACATCACAAGCTGAGAAGGAAGTATGGAAGACAATTTTTGAGCAAATAAAAAACTCTTCGATATGTGACTATCAAATCAATCACAACATGAGAGACTAGAACAATAAGTTGAACTTATTGCATTATGCTTCAAATGGCATAAAATACTACTTTCTGAGAGAAAAACAAAAGAGAACGATGTATAAAATGTAAGAAAAAAAAAGAACACTAGCGGATTATCGGATTATGTAGAAAATCGAAAATGCGGCCGAAGCATCTATCTAGTGGTCTATCTCGGAGATCGCGGCTTGAACGTCTTCTAATGATATCGTGTCCCTAACATCGGTGACAGTATTCCATTCCCGTATTGAATTGCAACACAATTTATGAATAGGCCAATCGAGTTTCTGGCAGTCGACAGAACAATAGCACAGCTGAAATTAGAGATCTAGGACTATAAAGTAGTATTATACAGTGCTGGCCAAAATTATAGGTCCACTCTAAAAAATGCCATAACTCACTCTGTTATGGATGAAATTTTCCAAAATTTGGTAGAGACTTGTGTTTACCAGCCTACTATCAGCCTTCAAGACGGTTCTCGTTTTCGTTTGATTATTCAAGAAAAAATTAGAAATTTTGAAAAAAGCAGGCTTGAAGGCTGGCCAAAATTATAGGTCCACCTGGAGTTTTTACTGATTAAAGCACTTCTTAGCTCCCGAATTTTTTTAGGTAGGCACACATCCAAAAACGTTAAACAGCTGCATTGGTCAAGCTGTGTCATACCTCCAAAAAGAACTGATTATCTGTTTTTTTTTGCCTTGAAGATGCACTCACATGTATTTCGCTCCACAAACCTGCGTTGAGTAAGAAATTCTGCAGTTTCTCAGCTGGATCGGAAGGGACGAGGTTTCATCTATCTTCTGGATGCTTTCCGACGTGAGCATTGAGGAAAAAATCGACTTTTTGCTGCTGAAGCAAATCTGATATTGACAGTACTGCAATCCTAAGCTCAAGTTTCTGTCTTCAAACTTCTTTTACAATGTTCTCAGAAGCACTGAGTAAAGTAAAGGCATTTTTTCTATGAAGGGGAGTCCGTATACCATAGTTACAACTTTCTAAAGATCCTAGCATTCGAGTATAATTACTGAAATCACTCTGCAGAAACTGATTACGACAAGCACCAAAGCTACTTGTGGCTCCGACCAAAATTTTCAGAAGAATCATGTGCTAACATACACTGCAAGCTGTATCCACTATCTAGTAAATAATTACTGTCAAAAATCTAAGTGAGGTAGCACTTGGAAAGCTATTTTGGATCGCGTAACACCATTATTACGTTGCACACACAACCCATGTTTCGAAAAAGAAGCAAGGCAGCTTTGTGGACACTTGCGAGTATGGCGAACAGCTTTATTCTCGTGTAAAAAATGCTTCTCTAATATCTTGAGGTTATAATGACAATGCATAAAGGGTTTTAGGGCAGAAAGTGAGGCTTACTCTGCCGATTAACCGATGTCAGACTTGCTTCAGCAGCAAAAAGTCGGATTTTTTCCTCAATGCTCACGTCAAATAGCATCCAGAAGATAGATGAAAACCCGTCCCTTCCGATCCAGCTGAGAAACTGCAGAATTTTTTACTCAACGCAGGTTTGTGGAGCCAAATACATGTGAGTGCATCTTCAAGGCAAAAAAGCAGATAATCAGTTCTTTTTGGAGGTATAACACAGCTTGACCAATGCAGCTGTTTAACGTTTTTGGATGTGTGCCTACCTAAAAAAATTCGGGAGCTAAGAAGTGCTTTAATCAGTAAAAACTCCAGGTGGACCTATAATTTTGGCCAGCCTTCAAGCCTGCTTTTTTCAAAATTTCTAATTTTTTCTTAAATAATCAAACGAAAACGAGAACCGTTTTGAAGACTGGTAGTAGGCTGGTAAACACACGTCTCTACCAAATTTTGGAAAATTTCATTCACAAAAGAGCGAGTTATGGCATTTTTTAGAGTGGACCTATAATTTTGGCCAGCACTGTATACCATACCTTGCACTTGGGGCATCGTTTCTTTGCAGCACACGATCCACAAGTCGCACAAAATTTGCTAGCCATCAAAAGGCGTTGGCCGAAGAGTCCCTGTACGATATACTCAAAAGCTGTTGGTCTTTGTCCGAACGGTGTATTGGACATGGCCTAGAAACGACAAATTTCAAAAAAGATTTGGAAAGGACCATCATTCTTACCTTGATCAGAGTCTCATATAATAGCGAATGGTGATAGGGAAAAGCTTTCATGGCATTCCGAAGGAGGAGGTCGAGGTTCTTTCTGAATGAATTCACTATCTGAGAAAACGAACAAAAAAGCCCTGGGTCTAGAAAAATTTTCTCTGACCACAATTTTTGACTATATACTGGGCTGATGAAAGCCGCTATGTAGCCAAGATTCTGTCGCCAAAATTCAAAAATTTCATCTTCACTCCCAGCATAAATCTCACCTAATACTCTCGGTAATGAACCACCGTAACCACAAACCTAACACCTCTCCCATTATCCCAAAGACGACTAACGAATGAAAAAAAGAACAGATAACTAATGATTGCTTACCTCACTTGCTCTCCAGGTTCCCATGTCAGCAAATGCTTCGCATAAATAACACAAGCGTCATGGGCGTTTCTACCATTCGCTACAAGATCTGCTATGTATTTATAGATGTCACGTAGAACGAAAAGTATTATCCATAGTTTGAGAGACATGACCTAAAACAAATACTTAGTACAAATGAAAGAGTTGCTAGAGAAAGAAAATGCGATGAAATAAGACAATTACCTCATTTCCTTCCTTGCACCTAAGTTGTTTCTCGAAAATGCGGTCAACGACATATAATATCTGAAAATCGTCATCTAGATATCTCTTTGAATCTCTGCATTTGTGCCACAATATCGTCGAACCCAAAACAAATACTTATAGCCTTCTCAGAATCACAAATGTTTAAATATTGGTACACTTTCACTTTATGACTCAAGTTTTGAAAATAATTGAGTTGTATAAATGGTAACAACGATCGTGAGAAGTATCAAGGTGTTTTGCCTCTAAGGGTATATATCAAAGCAAACTATGGTTTTCATTACCTTCTTTTGGTACTTCAGAGCATCCGGGTAACTGCTCAGTTCTAAAGCTATTGCCACTGGATGGATCTGAACGCATTGAATATTGAAAAAGAAGAAGGGTAGATGGAGGCTAAACTAACCTGATGCCAGCTGCATAGCTTATGTATGAAGACGATAAGATGTTCAGGATAAACTTCGGTAATCTCTGATCCAACTTTCGGGCACAGAATCCGCTCCACTTCATCCAGCGTTACGTGATTATTTATAATGGAAACACACTCGTGCTGTCCTGGAAAACACAAGCTGGGAAAAAGACCCAAGCAGACAGTATCCTACCAACAAACGCAGCCAACTCGCTTGCTGTCTTGCCTATAGAATTTGTAGAATATGAGTGTGCGCCATGATCCAGCAAAAGCTTGCAAAGGTCAGGCTTTCCTAAACTCATTGTTACGTTGCGATTTATGAAGGAAGAGAAGCTGAAAGTAAATTCTAAAGCTAACCTGCAAGTGCGGCAAACATTAGTGGTGTATAACTCTGGCTGTGCTGTTTATCATTGACTTCCGCTCCCTTCTCCAAGCAGAGCTTAGCGATGTCAAAATTGCCTCTATAAGCATAAAAACTAAGCTATGAGTCGGTCATATGTAGAACAAATCTCGGAAACAACTCGAAAAAAATTCAAAGTGATGCACTTTAACTTACTTGTAAGCAGCTGTAGACAACGGTGACATCCCAGTTGCATCGTGGCAATTAATATCGATGCCGGAGTTGATAAGCTTTGTTGCCTTCTCGATGTCACCTAAAATTTGAGATCGAGATATAACCCTCACGTGGTAACAAACTGCGCATGGGAAGTATAGCTGGTGCATGAAGTTCTACACTTTGAAATTACAACGCTTAAGAGTCGTAGAGTTATAGTGAAGAAACAATCACGCGACAAGTCTTTTAGTCAAGAACGACGCATAACACTCCTACTCATTGAGAAAAGATACAGTTTCGGTATTCCCCATAAGTTTTAACAAGCATAAGACACATTTGAAACAGTTAAAAGGTAGGGTCCTTTTCTGCCTGCTTGCTAATTTTTGCGCCTTTATTACCTTCGCAATTCCAAGAAGTTCCGTAAAATGCCTAGGGCGCTGCTCTGCATTTAGTGTCGAAGTGTGATGGTTTTGAATTACCTTTTAATACGAAATGTAACTACTATACTGTAACTCCCAGATAAAGTCTTCATCATGATAACTATAATATAATCGAGTAGATTTCTCGCTAATGCGTGCATCGCATTTTACAATATGCTAGGGATAGGAGGCTTTATAACCTTTGATTCAACTGGCTTGGCGTCTGGAACGCGGAGCTCTCTGATCCAACTGAGCCCATTCGCGCGTGCTCTCTGATCCTTACCTAGCCTTAATTAGGTCACGAAGCCCCGCTTTCCAGCAGCCAAGCCAGTCTAATCAAAGGGTAACGTGGACGATTCAGAAGGAAAAAAAAAGATGAAAAATTTTTTTACGCTGAGACCCCATAGGCCACGACCAACGTTAAATGACAGAAGTGCAATTGCATAATTAGCAAGAAATCCTACTAAACAGTACTATACAATCTATCTCATTTGGAACGATTAAGGTTCTGCAGCTCGGCGGCCGCCTTTGTTCTCCTTCGCGGGTGTGCCCTCCAAACATTTTTCCACGCATAATTAGGAAAACAGCTTGGACTCTCCCATGCACAGGCGTCGGAAAATGTTCACAGAGCATGCTCACGAAAGAAATGAAGAGCCCAAGCAAAGTGGTGGCGCGGGACCCGACGCAAGCTCCATCACTTCCAATGAGACAGAGGGTATACATTATTAATGAGTGCATAGAATCTTGAGATACAATCTCCCAAATAACGACTACAAGTTATTAGTACGTTACCTTACTTCCCGCACCACATAGGGAGCACTTTCATTTTCACATTCATAACCCTCTTTGGGCAAGCTTTATAGATTTTGTACAAGAATGTGGTGACATGAGTTCTTTCAGAAACGCAACGGAAAGAAAACTGTGGCCGATAAATCTGCAAAGAGGAAACCCTGTTCACCGCAAGCAAAAAAACAGCAGTGTGATTGTAATCGAACAGTTATAGTAACGGCTAGGATAGCTAGGAAGCAGTTGAGGGGTGGTAACAGACTGACCTGCTTCGATGGCATCAAAAAGTTCCTTCTCCTGCCCTCCCATATGATTCGTTCACTGAAATAAAGTAACTTAATTACTTCGTGAATGGTGTATGCCTAAAGGCAAAGGTACAAAGACAACAACAATATGACAGCATGAAAAACAACAACAAGTTAATCAACAAGCCCCTTTGAGAATGGGGTTGTGGCATTGCGGATGTTACATGAATGACGGCTGCCATGCTTGCAGGAACCTGGGTGAAGACTGCAGCATTAGAGCAAGTAAAACCAAGGCGGGACAGTTCATTAATTAATCATTAATCCGAAGTCGCACGGGATCCTGTCTGAGCACGCGATCAAGCTAATAATACGAAGAATTCGTTTGTTGTCATAGTTACCTGCGAAGACGAACACGCACAGCATAAAAGATGCGCAATGCAGCCATCCAAGGTATTGGGTAGATAATAAATCACAGATTCGTTGCTATAGCGAGTCTATCTATAAGTTAATATTTCAAAACAGCTTAGCATTGTCTGAGCTGACACCTTGAGATGATAGTAAGTATTCCACAGATTATCAGACTGAAGTGATCCGGTTTAGCAGTAGAAAAATGGAACGAAGTAAAAATTTGGGACCGTTTCCCCTGCTCCCATCGCTGCGAAGAAAGTTTGTTTTTCCCTAATTTGGTGTCCACTACCAATGCCAGCAAAGTTCGTTCTGGGGCGTGGATACTGGAGAAACTAGTCGCCTTCTATCTACAGCTATGCCAATCTTTTCTCGCCATCACTCGTCGTAAAAGCATGAATTCGCGACGGTTGTCAATCAACAGTATTTTTGATTTTTCCCAGCTTCAATAAGGAAAAGGAAGTTAAGTAAATGCAATGGTTACCAAAGGATTGCTTAAGTAAACGCGGCAAAGGAAACGTCAAAAACTGTTTTGCCATAATTGAGAGGGTAATTTTTATATCTATATAAAAAACCCATTTTCAAATTGCGTGGAGGGTTGTAGTTTTTTGATATGTATGAGAGACAAGTTTTGAATTCTCTAAATTTTTTGTATTCGGCTGCTCTCAGACTAGAAAATATCTACGAAGGTGAATGAGATAACCTAGCCCCTCAATAGTAGATATCTAAAGGAAAGCACAGAGATTGAAGAAGGGTCACAAAATTGCCCTTAAGTGTTACAACTCATAATTTTGAGAGTGATGCGAATGCATAGTCTTTTCCCTCTTACTCATAACTCCCAGGTATAAGACTTTCCAAAGTTTCTACAGGCAATTCAACGTACACAGGGAGGCTATCTGCGAACGCTATCTGCTCGAATCTCAACTCAAATGCGCCTTCATTTCTCTAGGTGTCAACTGTTTCTCCCAAACGCGTGCTGGCTTAACCGGACGAAACGTCATCGAGTCTCTGCGTGCAGTGAACTGACAAGGGAAACGTGTTCAGTCAAAGTGGTTTTTTTTAGTAAGACTCATATTACTTTGAAGAGCATTGCACGGTGGCTCCAAATCTGCCTTCATTACCTGCAAAGTGCCTCAGGACGCGGAGTTATGACCGTTTTTGGAGCGAAAAATGGATGCAAAATTTGGGTAAAATCAGTTTCTTTCCAGCGCTCACATAAAGCATGCCGTTGCGTATCAGACAAAATGTGTCCATTACATGAACTGCTCTGATACTGAACTCCGAAACATTTGAGTAAATTTGGGCGATTTTGCTCCGACTCAGCGTTCAATTTTTTAATCCGAAAAACGCCCATAACTCGGCATCCAGAGGCGCTTGGCAAATAATGAAGTCAAATTTGGAATCATCCTACAATACTCTTCAAAGCAGTATGGGTTTCGTCCGAAAAGGACACTTTGACTAAACACGCTTCCCTTGTGACTAATAAGAATTCCCAAATAGACGAAAAGAATGTAGCAAGCATTTCCTAGTCTGATAGAGATGCCAATTCTTCTCATAAATTCTATCCACCTTTAGGAGGGAGATCACCGACTTCTAGGTAGTCGCCAGTGGAGGTTCGCAGAATCCGTCCGGGAGGGGAGGAGGGAGCGGCAAAAATTTTTCTCAAATGAAGGTGCTTGGTGTTAGCCACGCACACCAAAAAATTTTTTGGGGTGCCTCTCAAAATTTTTGCGAGTCCAAAACCCCTAGAATCTAGAAGGGGCGCGGCTCCTGCCACGCCCCCGAAAAATTTTGTTTACAAGGCTAAAGGCTAATTTGAATTTTTAGAAAATTATTGCCACTATTCACAAGAATAAACAAGTCACTTGCACATTTTTATAATCCCATGTAAGTAAATTTCAAGAAGTTCGCGACCCCTTTTTTTCAAAATTTATGGTAGGCTGATTACGAGACCGTGCTTTATGTCTTGCAAAAACGTCAAAGAATACTTTCTCCTAGTCGTAAAAAGTGGGTCGTACATATAGCTAGAGTATATTGTCTCCTCCCAACTCGACAACGACGGTCTTGCTGACATCACCAGCCAATCGCATGTTGTTGTAGCCATTGCGAAAGCGCTTCGAGCAACAAGAGTAAAACTTCTACCTCTGTCTTCATTTTGGGCGATAGCTTTGATTATACTCTGGAATTAGGGCGATATACCATACGTGGTAACTGCATTCGAGATGCCCGAACTTCGTTATGAACCTTACTTGGAAAGAAATGCGCCGTGCCAAATGATCTCAACCTAACAGCAAAAATAAACAACGGCAAAACAGACCCCTATAAAAGGCAAGCTGTGAGATGTCTGACTCATTTTCATACAAGCCTTAGCGGAGGAGGTGCCGTGGATATCCAGCTCGTTCGATGGCCAGCAAAGTCAAGAAGAGAACAGTACGACAGCGTCGACGACGGAACGTTGAAGCTACTTACGAAGAACCGGACACACCAAATGCACCAGGCGAGAGGAAGGTAGAGCACCGAAGGCTGCGTCCAGGGTGCCCATGTAGTGGAGGAACGAACTCCGCCAGATTTGAGCCGCCTCCGCTGGTCCAACTAGTCCTTTTACAATGTTTTTGCATGTCGTTGGGACCAGTAGTGCGCGGAGGCGGCCCAAATTGGCGGAGTTCGTCCCCTGACCCGTGCCCATGTGCCGAAGCTGTGTCCGCGCCGTGCCGAAACCCACATGCACGCTTCCCGTATTGATTGATCGAGGTTTTAGCACAGCGCTGGCACGGCACTGGAATGGCGAGGGCACGGGCAACTGTGGCCGACGCCTAAGCTTGATATTAACAATAGGAATTGCGTTCAAAAGTCCTGTTTCTAGCCGGGATCAACACGAAAAGGTGGTGTCAGCGCAGAGGTGGAAAAAAACTTGGACAGATTTGTCGAAACCTTTACCACTCTAGGTTCGCTATCTTAGACCAGATGTCTTCTGTTAAAATTTAGATTTTCAGGTGTAGAGGGCGTTCGAAAGCAGTTCAAAGAGATACTCTCACCTTATCGACCTCCAGGGGAATTGTACAAGTACACAGCATTCGCTGCTAATCCGGACAAAAATCGTTACTTGGTGAGCGTTATTAAGAACTTGCGGTTTGTAACCGCACTCAGCGTATAGATTAAGGATGTCGTCTGCCTCGATCACTCAAGAGTCCATCTCACTCTGAATGTTCCCCCGTCTACAGACTATATTCATGCAAACTGGGTTAGATTCGAAGGCCATGACAAAGTCTTCATAGCTACACAAGTGAGCCGAACTTAGCCGTGGTATTTATCTATCCGTTTAGCGAAAATTAAGGCTCCGCTGGAGAACACTATAGAAGACTTCTGGCGGATGGTCTTCCAAGAAGGATGTCCACACATTGTCAATTTAACGAAGGTACTACCGCCCCTAAGTTTTACAACCGGTCAGGCTTTACCTAGTTCAGATAATCGAAGATGGTAAAATAAAGAGTACTCAGTACTGGCCACTACAAGCTGGCCAATATCAAACGTTCGGGAAAATGTTCGTCAATACTAAGAAGGTACGATTCAACAGACAAATCAAGGCGTGGACTGTCTGCTAATTCACAAAATTGAGGTTGAATCGGAAGGAAAGTTCATGATATACACAGTAGAAGTCTTACCTGATGGTTGCTCTAATTCAAATATAGTAAAGGTCTGCTTGCTTAGCCAGAAATTGCAAATTTAGTATCAAATCATTTCAAGGTACTCCATATGACCAGTTGGCCAGATCGTGGCCTCCCCATGAGCGGTCGCCATGTGCTTCGTCTGATTCGCCAAGTTAGCGTAAGTAACCAGCCAAAGCTTGCCTTTTATACAGTCGATCTGAGGTTCGGATTCAAGTTTTCGCTTTTAGGGAGACAAACTAGACAACGGCCCTATAGTGATGCACTGCTCGGCTGGAGTAGGCAGAACTGGTACCATCATAATGATTGATGTCATTCTAAGAAAATTATTTAGCTGCAAGGAAGTCGATGTGAGCAGTAAAAAAACTGATAAGGACATTATGAAAGAGAATCCCCGCACCATAATACTTTCAGATGGTAGAAGTTTTCAAAACCCTTCGCAATCAACGCGCATCCTGCATCCAGCTCGAGGGTCAATATGTTTTCGTTATACTGAGCGTTCTTGATTATATAAAGGTGAGTACCGAATGTATTTCATCGTGACTGTGTTTGTACACTTCTTTTGCAGATCAAGTGTCCAAAGTACAAGGAACGAGTGAACAAATACATCGAAGATTTTCGAACTACGATATTTGTTGCACAGTCTGCATAACCTCATGAAAGACAGATACTTCAAATTCAAGCCAAACAGTTGAACGCTGAAATGATGACAATGAATTAAAGTCTCGCCCATCATTATGTTTGTTACGCAAGTTATAGACAAATAACCATGATGGCATGACAAAATTTTACCTCTTCTCTCAACAAAAAAGAAACATCTCACATATAAATAGTAAACGTAACAATTCATCAACAAGTAATAGCGTGCACAGATCCTAAAGTATTATATGTATAAACAAAGCCTAATTACCTAATTGTTGGTAGCTGATATTCTTTTCTTCCGTCCTCATTTCGTTATGAAAGCCTTGATCTTGTTAAGAAGACCCACATACTGCGAGTGTTCGTAGTGAGTAGCGTAAGCTACCAGAATTTTGCAGAACTGCGCATCAAATCCGCGCTCTTCTAGATAGCGGACAAAAAGCAAGTCGTGGAGATCCTAAATATCAAAATGGAGGTCCATCAAGTCATATCATTGTTGCTTACTTACAGCGCCACATGGATACCAGCAAAAAGATGACATGACACGCAAAAAGATTAATGAAGATTACAAAAATTTTACCGCTGTTCATTTCAGGTCAAATAGCGAACTTTTCTCCAGCTATGAAACGTTTTGATAAAACATCAAGTTAGAAAAACCATAATGCGATGTTCTGTATATCAGCTGTTGCAGTAGATTTTGAAAAGCACACAACTAGGCACGTGAAATGCAAAGATAATATGTACAGATTCCTGATTCAAACAAAGCTAAAAATTCATCATGTAGAGTCACTTACAGGATCAATGTATTTGCCGCTGCTTGCATAAACCTCAGCAGGGACATCCTCATCGCCTTCTTTGGCTGCAGGAGCTACATAGAACTCCTCAACTCGAAAATCATCTGAAAAGTGACATGGTGCATTGGAGGAAATAGAGCTGAAAGCTATCTAATATATTCGAAACTCACACTCTCCCTGAACATCAACGCTTTCAACTAGGTCAAGATGGAAGCACAGGCGCTCGTCACCCTTTGTGATTTCGACTGTGAAGGGCGGCAAGGCTACCGGTACAGGAGCTGCCTGAAAACATGCTTATTAACATTAAACATTATACTCATCCATGCAAACCTCTGGTTGTGATTCATCCTCAAAACCTTCGTCCATGTCTACTGAATGATTGACGTTGAAAACAACAAGAATACTGAAATGGCCTACTTTAGTTGACAAGCAGCTTGATTCGTACAAACAAGGCTGTCTGTTGATGGATATATGCGCATTGGGCCAAAATTCAATGAGTGTTCTACTTGAAGTGACAAGATTAGACGGCATTTTCCAAAAAAAAAAAGAAATGAAGAGATTGCGGTGAAAAAAATCTCACAAAAGGGCGGTGAAAAAAATCTCACAAAAGGGCAATGAAAAAAATCTCACACAAGGAAAGTATGGGTGATAAGTAAAAGGACATATGCGATGCATTAGCAACGCGAAATTAGAAGTGCATTTACAGCTACCAAAAACTACTGCGCAAATCACCACCTCTCGCTTCGCGCTTCCAATGGATATGGCGACAAAACGATACCTACTTTTCTTTTCCATGTTGCTTGGTCAAGCGAACTTCAGCGTCCTTGGTTGTTAGATTGAAACCATGGAAAGATGGGGCCGCAGATCCTCCGAGATTCTCCTGAGAAAGCTGCTGTTCTGCTTGAATTTCCCGTGTAAGAGCCTGAGTGAGTTCCGGGGCAACATTGAGAACTAAATATACTTTTCGTTATTTTGGATGCTCTAGACTAGAAGAAGGATCACTGCCTTTGTGCGAAGTCGATATAGCGCGAACAGGAACTTGACCGATTGCGCTAAGTTTGACCGCTTGTCCAGCAAGTCGAGATAACGATCGTAGTACTGCTACGGATTTCATCTGAAACAAAGTTTTTCTGAAGAGCAGCGACGAGATGGAAAGGGACGAATCTCCGCACAAAAAACAACAATTTCGTCAAGAATTCCAAACCGACTGCAAGAAGGTTTGAGAAATCAATTATGCAATTCACTGACGCAAAAAAATGCGATCAAAATCAGTCATATCGATGGATGAAACCACTCTTCCCATACAGGAAACGCTTCCCACGGTCGTTTCTCGATAGCAGCCCTGAATTCTGTTTAGAGCAGGGTATGCCAAGATAAAAAAAGTTGCTCGCCTACTGCCAGAATTTTCACTGGATCTAATCCGTTACTTTTCGTTGTAAATAACTGCACATTGTGCGAAACTTTTTGCACATCAAAAAATTTAAAAAAAATTGCAATGAACGCGACAACCTTCAGACCACTCCATTCGCAAAAAATCACGTGACGTGATGTAGCGATAGCTTCAACAAACTCATGCGCGACTATGAAAATCAAGTGAGTATTCAGCTGAAGTGGTACAGATACACGAGACAGAAATAACAGAGGCATAAGAAGTGCAAGAAAGGTGTTTACACCGATGCAACGTGACTACCATAGCTTTTGGCTTGCAAAAAGTCTTATCGGGGCACTAAGGAAAACTGCTAAGACACTTGCAATTAGGGCATGCCGCGATTCGTAAACAACAACAGCGCGCATTTAGCAAAAAATCAAAATATGACGAAATTAAAGGACGGACATGTTTGCCATGGTGCAGGACCGACAGTGGCAAGCAGCACTCAGACACTCGCTGCGGCGGCGCGCGCGTCTTATGAGTGCGGCCCCTCATGTCGCCCGCCGCCGGCCGTCAAATAGCGCGCGCGCCGCGAGTAAATGGTACGCGCGCCGTGAGTAGATGGGACGCGCGCCATACGACAATGGCACGCCGCTCGCGCGGTATGAAAATTGCCATTCGCATTCGAAGCACTGCGAAACACGGTGAATCTGTGGTAGACCTGATGACAAGCTTCAATTTCAGGCAAACAATGGCTTCAATTTCAAATATGAACTTGAAGTTTCCAAAGTTTCCAAATTTTTGAAATTTGAAAATTCAAATTTCAAAAATTCAAAAACTCAAATTCCCAAACTTGAATTCAAACTCGGCACCTACTCGCAGTGCTTATGAGGACTGAGTCTCAATGGAAGAACTAGAAGAATCCCACTTGTGTTAATGAAACAACTTTATTGCGAAACAACGATAACCTTAATGAATTGGCGATAAAGCACCCAAAACACTGCGTCGTATTTCACGCAGGTATCGCTTGTGCTTACAGCGTGTGAAAAAGCGGAAGATATCATGGCACGCCACTCACTGATAGATTGCGCGCCGCTCGCACTCTCAACTAGGGCGCGCCGTTCGCAATACAGTGTTGTAGTGGCGCAAGCGCCGCCGCGCCGAATGTCGAATAAGCGCGCCGGCGGCCGTAATAAGGCGCGCCGCTCGCCGGCTGCGAACGATGGCGCGCCACTCGCACTGCAGCCTCAAATGTGGCGCGCCGCTCGCACGGCCGCCTCAAATAGGGCGCGCCGCTCGCACGGCAGCATCAAATAGAGCGCGCCGCTCGCACTGTAGCGCTATTATGGCGCGCCCGCCGCCGCAGCGAGTGTCTGAGCATGTTCGCAGTTGGACAATGAGATTGTACCGTTTTCAATCAAATGATCGATTATCAGTATCTAGGTGTACTCTAAGGTGGGGCTGCAGCTGCCAGGAGCCAAGTGTGAAATGAGCAAAAGCGTGAGTAATGCGCGCCATGCGCCGTTTCGGCCTTTTTTTGCTGAAGCAATCGCGCGCGCACGCGCAGCTAGGGAAATTGTTTCCGAAACCGAATGCGAACCTCATGGGTGACTATAGCGGAGGACGCGCTGGAGGAACCAAAGCCTAGCCGCCTGTGTCCGCAGGAGGTAATTAAAGGCGCGAGCAATGCGGAGGAGATTTGGCCAGGTTCCAGGAGAACATGGCAGAATCCCAGGAGAGATTCTTATAAAAGTAACTAGCGGCCCAGTGGCTAGCAGATGTGAGAAATGTTGTACTGGGTCACCAAAAACTTGCATGACCCTCTTTTAATGCCGTAATTGCTCGTAACTTCGCTTGGGAAAAGGCTCGAAAATTGAGTGAGGCAATTTTGTAGCCTGTATTCTAAGGCCCCGGACAGACTTCACGCGACTTAATCGTCACGATTCAATCGCAAGATTTCCATTCATTTTCATTTCACATTCAAAAATTTCGGGCTGGAAAAGCATCACAACTGAATGCAAGTTGATCGGCATGGAATGATGTTGTAACAGTTGTCTCGTCGCGATTCAGTCGCGACGATAAAATCGCGTGAAGTCTGCCCGGGGCCTAAGGCGCATTCATTCAGGATTTTATCTACAATTGTAAGGGAACCAAAATTGTCAGATTCGTGGCTCAACTAAGCTGGATAGGAAACCATCTGAAAGGTTGAAAATATTTCTTGAAATGATCTTGATACGTTTCCAATATGGCATGGAATAGTATTACACATCGCAATCCAACTGGAAGACGGGTCCCTGTGCCCCATTTTCATACAGAATTCAAATGCTTTTGTTTACGGATTCTTCTTCGCATTGCAATCCTCGAGTAAAGAAACGTATCACAAAAAATTCAAAACGATACGGAATCGTCGATGTGATACAACATCTCAACTTTTGATAGAACGCCTTTTTGTCGACCGCAATCTCAAAAACACATCGAAATTTGCTAAAAATTGCGATGAATTTGCCGAGTATTGTAGCACTATCAAATCTAAGTTGAAATTTCTCAACTGCTAACAACTTTTTGTTAGCAGTTTTGTTTATTTGATAAGACCATTTGAAATCCAAAATTATTAATTCAAGATCTCATTTTCAACTACTGGTTCTAAATTTGCCTTCCATATTCTCAGTGATTTGCCAAGTAAAATTTTTTAGATTTTTTTAGAATTTTTTGTCTGCAAAAGTCATGAAAAATGGGTTCCAAAATTGCCTTCCGCGTATCTCCTGCGTTTTTTTAAGCAAAGTTCTGTGGAATTTCCTTAGAATTCTCTCTAAATTTCTTTGCAAAGTTTTTCTGGATCTATGCCAAATCCTCTCTACAGTGCTCGCGCTCCTAATTGCTACTTGCGGGTACGGCGGCAAGGCCTTTGGTTCCTACTTCCCCTGATGGGTGAACCTGTTGAAACTCCACGTTATAGCATTGCTTCGTACTCTCTATCAAAAACCACCATATTTTGAGTTGACAAGACTCAGGTCCACCCGAGTCTGGGAGGAGATGGTACCTACTATTTGATCGCTGGTAACTCGCTTCTCACGAAGTCTTTTCCTCGGCCAACTTCTAGTAGAGCAGACGTCAAGTCAACTTAGACTTATCACTCTTCATTACTGTATAAATACTGTAAGAACCTTGTAGAGAATTTTCAGTTTTACCCCAGAAGGGATACTCGACAAGTTGACAACCTTATTATCAGGCTAACTGAGTCGCTGAAATGTGAACCTCGCACTGTACCGTAAGACTTTTTTATAAGTTATGCCAGGTACCGCGATAACGGTTTTTCACTTTTTTCAAATGTGATATAGAAACCATTCAAGACATATGAAAATCTCGTGAATGTCTATTGAAATCAGCATGTCTGAAAATGCTGCCACACAACTTTCCAAAAACTTTTGATCCAGAATTTTTGGAACTTTTTTTCGACTCATAATGTTCTGGCGACAAGTTGACAACCTTATTACCGCTGTATATTCGAAGTTCCTCGCGTAATCTTAGTGGTAAAAAAAGCTTGAAGCTAAGCAGAAGGCTTTGTGGGAAGAGAGTTATCGAACGATTAAAAAGTGTTTACTGACTTTAGGGACATCAAATATCGTCCTCGCGGATGGTGGAGTAGCTACAGAGCTTTCTAGGCATTTCGGATCCTGTGCCTTATTTATCTACCAGGCACGACGTTAGTCTTTTGATGCAGAAGGTCCGAGATCGATGACTTCTTGGGTAGTCAAACCACGTAGTACATATTTTGAGATAGTAGATTACGGAGCTATTTGGAAAGTTACAACCTCTTCATAGTCTTTTAACAAAGACAATATAAGGGCTGCGTCTAGAGTTGTTTGTGCCAGTGCGTGCTAGCGCCGTGCCGAAAGTCGGTCGATCATACGGATTGGACTGGTGCTAAAGCCGTGCCAGTAAACGGGCAACTCTGCGCGGAGCTCAAGGACAACTGACATTCATCCAGTTGCCTTTAGCTGCTATAGAGTTGAGTGAAGACTGCCTAAAATATCAAAAGCCCCAGTCCTTAATCCTAATCCCAAACTAAATTTTTCCGTGACGAGTGATCAAGTGATTTGGCTCACTCACTCGGTAAGTTCTTGTTAGATAATTCTTTCCGCAGACAGCAGCCCTAATAAGGGAAGGATCTAGGTGACCATGGCCATTTAAACTGGAATGTGTACCACAAGATGCCTCTTGGAATGGTGAATCCAAATCTGCTCTCGCTATCTGCGAAACGATATTTTGAAGGAGGTTTAAGTGTTCATCTGAAGAAATTTTGTGCATTTTTTTGTGGTCGAAGTTGTCATTACCGTTTTAACAATAAGTTACTACTTCATACTACGAAACGAAATCTGAAGCGGAGGACTATTGTATCCAGACTAATTGTTCCAAATTCAGCAGTCAAAAAGCAAGAAAATTTTGCATTGATAATTTTGACCCTATAAAGCATGTAGAGTTTGCAAATATAATTTTTAAAACTATTCAAAGGTGCAGCCACACCTGCACGGCCTTCTGGATGCGCTATACCTAGTGCTTGAAAAGTCAAAAAAGTGCTTTTATGCGTTTGCCTATCTTGGAGATAGCCGAAGGGGATGGGCGATGGTCCGCCAACATCGCAATTGGCTGCCTGAGCCGATCAGCCAATTATCGCCGAAATGGAAGGAGTTACAGTTTCTTGCAGCCACTCACTGTTTATGGCGGGAATCCCTCGCCCATCCTCTCCAGCTTCCTCCACGGT